TAAGGCGATGTCGGGCCTGGTCCAGTTGGATATGTACAGCAGTGACCCTATCGTTGATCTATACAATTTGTTGTCTGTGAAAGGTTCAGATTCCTCATACATGGTCTTCAGAAACTCGGGTTGCATGGGGGTCTCGCTGGGTTTTGCTTCGGACATGTTGCATTTGGACAGCAGCTCGATGATCTTTTCTCTCTGGGAGAGGTGGAAGCCCTTGTTGGTTTTTATCACTTGAACCCCTAGGTATCTGTCAATCTTTCCAAGTAACTTTAAGGAGAAGTGGCTACCCAGGTCAGTGGCGAACTTGTCACACCTGTTCTTGTGTTTGCTGATGTACAAGATGTCGTCCACGTAAACGAGCACACCTTCGAATGTGTTGTTTTCTCTCCTCGTAAAAAAGCACTTGTCAGCTGAGGTGGCCTCGAAGCCCATGGATCTGAGGGCCTTGGCCAAGCAGTCATACCACCTTTTGCCCGACTGCTTGAGCCCGTACAGGCTTTTATTCAGCAGCCAGGTTTGGTTCTCGCCTTTGTTGTACCCAGGCGGTGCTTTGACGTATATTTCTTTATCCAGCTCGGCGTGCAAGTACGCTGTTTGTACGTCGAATTGGAAGACCTCCAAGCCCAGGATGGTGGCCACCACCAGGGTGCTTTTGACGCTCTCCGCCCTGACGGTTGGCGAGTAGGTGTCCGTATAGTCTTCGGGGTATCTTTGGGCAAAACCCTGCGCGACTAGTCTTGCCTTGTATAGGACCTTGTTGTCCTCTAATGTCTTAACCCTGAACACCCATTTGGTTCCTATTGGTTTTTTGTCCTCTGGAACTTGGGCAGGTGAGTATACCTGGAGGTTCCTTAGGCTTTCCATCTCCTTCTCCATGGCAAGCATCCATTTTTCTTTCTCTTCCTGGGGGAGCCCGAGGATGTCTTCATATGAGCTGGGCGTGAAATGGGTGTTGTGGATGGTCATAACGTAGTCCTCTAACTTCTTTGGTAGCTTGTTTCTGGTTTCTCTGATTGGCCTGCTGGGGGTTGGCTCGGTTTCCTGCATGTTGTCTGCCTCTTTGTCCGTCAGGTCATCTATCTTCAGTGAAGGGTGCCCTTCTTTCCAACCTTTGACGCTTGTCTTGCGATGGTTGGCTTTGTGCCCTGTGACCTCTCTGACCTCCCTTTCCCCTTGGCCATGCTCGAACATGACCCTATTGGCTGGGATGTCATTGGAGTGTACCCTCGACCAGTTTGCGTTTTCGTGGAAACTGGCTGATCTGGAAACCACAAAACGGTTATTGTTGTTGACAAATCTGTAGCCCTTTGTGCCCGGTTCGTAACCCATGAACCTCAACCTTTTTGATAATTTCTCCCCTTTTCTTCTTAGCTGTCTGGGAATGTGGACATCAGCTGGGGCACCGAATATGTGTAAGTGTGCAATGTTGGGCTTTCTGTTGTATAGCATCTCGTATGGTGTCTTATTGATAGAGCTTGACCACAGTCTATTCAGGGTGTAATTAGCGTAGTGTAATGCCTCTGACCAGAAATGCTGCCCCATCCCAGCATCCTCCAGGGCGCATCTCATCATGGTTTGCAACATTCCATTTTTTCTCTCTGAGACTCCATTTTGAAAGAGGGAGAAAGGTGAAGAGGTGTAATGCGCTATGCCCTGCTCCCTCAGCCACCTTGTGAATTCTTTGGCCATGAATTCTGAGCCCCTATCAGTCATTATCTGCCTTATTCTCATGTTATGTTGCATATCTACTCTTCTGTGGAATTCCTTAAACCTTTGGAACACTTCGTTTTTGTGTCTGAGGGAGTAGACATACCCGTATCTGGTGTAGTCATCCACAATCGTGAGGAAGAATCGCTTCCTATGTCCTACAGAGGGTTTCATTGGCCCTACCAAGTCCATATGCACCAATTGGAAGGGGTATTCCGTGGTTCGTTTGGATCCCCTGGGGATGGCCTTAACCTTGATCTTAGAACGCTTACAAACTGAACACTCTAAGTAGTTTTCGCAGTTCTTTACTTTGAGACCTTCGGTACATTCCGTCATTTTCTTTACAATGGGGAAGCTTATGTGTCTCAGTCTCCTGTGGAGGAGGTGGGCGCAGTTATCATGCAATGGCTTGCCGATAGATACAGACTTGTTTGTCTTCTCATGGCTACATCCTGCCTCCTGCTGCACCCCCTCTGTTTCTGGATACTTATCTACCTTGTGGTTTGTGCTGGCATCAATGCCTTCTTCCTCCCTTGCGTTGGGTGTGAAGTAGGGAAGCCCCTCGTGTATGGTTACCTTTCCTATCTCTTTCCCTTGCTTGATCAAGTGTGCCTTTCCATCTTTAAATTTTATTTCTAAATTTGTGTCTCGTGTCAGCTTTGTGATGGCTAGCACGTTGTGGGGAATTTCTGGTACGTACAGTACTCCTTTTAGGTCCCCTACCTGTGTGATGTGTACGTTTCCTTTCCCCACTACTTTGACCTTGCTTTGGTTTGCCACCTTTATTTCTGAGTCTATTTCGGTGAGTGAGTCTAGCAGCTCTGGGTTACAAGTAGTGTGGCTTGTGGCCCCTGAGTCCAGGAGCCATGTGTTTCTCTCTGCCTTATGTTTGTCATTTGGGTCATCGTGCCTGATCCCATACATGGAGCCAGAGTTACTGTCCCTGGAGTGGTCTCTGCGCTCGTGGTGTTTCCTGGGGTTGGGTGACCACCCTCGCCCTCTTTCCTTTGGGTGCCTGTGTTCAGGTGACCTTCCCCCTCTACTGTCGTGCTGTCCCCTATCCCTATGGTTCCTGGGGCAATCCTTCTTTAAGTGGTTCCTTGATCCACAAGAATAACATTCTGAGGTATCCCTGGCCCTATCCTGGAAATCCACCCTCTTTGTGGGCCTAGGGTCCCCTTTGGCTAGTTGGCGTTCCCTCCTCAGAGTGTCCTCTGCAACGAGCTGACTGGTCAGTGCGCCTAGTGTGAGGTATTGCAAGTTGAGGCTATTTAGTTGGGTCATGAAGCTGTCCCAGCTGCTATCAAGAGAGTTTATGATTATGCTTATCATGCTCTCTTCAGTGATGATTTCCCCCCTCTGCATGAGTTCTGCCCTTGCAGCATTCATTTTTAAGATGTGCTCACTCATGGGGACCCCTGCCTTATGCTTGGTGGAGTGGAACTCCCTAGATAGTCTAGTGGTAGTGGCTCTGCTTTGGCTATAAAACAGGTTACATAGTTTTTGCATAATATCATAAACAGTTAGATTGTCCTCAATGGATGGATACATAGCAGATGGAATGGAGGTTAACATGATACAAAATGCCCTGTGATGAATGCAGTCAATTTCCAGTGACCAGGGCTTTTGGGGAGGTCTGTTAGCTAGGAACAGTGCATTCTCTCTCATGAGAGCAACTCTTAATTGTTGGCTCCATTCTATAATATTACCCCCATCTAACTGCAATTTTGGCAAATTGGTATAATTTGCCCCAGAAATATTAGTAAGGTTACTTACTGGGGGGAGCTGTCCATGGTCCAAAATGTGATTAAACTCACAATAAGGCTTTGGGATGTCTGTGGCCATTCTGTACTTGCTTGGATCTATGTAACTTGCTTCTCTTGTTACAGGCAGGTACTGGGCATGCGCGAAGCTCATTCCGCGTTGGAGTCCATCGGGTGAGGTTCCTGTTGCTGGAGCTCCCAGGCCTAGGCCTAGGCCTGTCGGTGGGAGGCTGGACCCACCCCCGGTGGGTCCGAAGATTCCCCCTGAGGCTGGACACCACTGCTGGATGGCCGGATCCCCGGCGAAGAAGGGCAGAAGGTGAGGAGGCGACGCGGTCGCAAGTCGAGGACTTTCGCGGGTCGGCGGCGCGGCAGCAGCGGAGGTCGTAGGTTGAGGATTCCCTGCACTCAGCGGCTCGGCGGTAATGGCGGCGGCGGCGGCGGATCCTCCCTCGTGGTCGCTGGTCCCTGGTCGCGTGGACTGGCCTGATGGATGTCGTGGCGTGGGTGAGTAGCCGGTTCTTCTCTTCTCCCTCGGGCCTCGGGTTGTCGGTGTAGCGGGTGGTGAGTTCGAGTTCTGCAGTTGATTCTTCCTGCAGGTGGGCGGTCTTTTGTGCCGGTTGTTGGTGTGTGCGGTGTTTTTAGTTGGCTGTGACTCGGTTGCCTGGTCTTTGTTGGTTGTCCTGGCCTTCTTGTGCTTTCCAGGATTTTTCTTTGGTTTATTGAGTGCTGCGGGAGGCTCGAAAGCGGAGCCTAGGGCAGCGGTGATGGTCTCGATTGCCTTTTGCAATTCGAGATCGGTAGGCGTTTTTCTTTTTATTATTGTGGTCTCTTCGTGGTCACTTTCAGAGCTGGGCTCTTCGTAGTCGCTTTCTGAGTCCCCCTCGTCTGTTTCGGGGTTCGGGCATTTTCGCGCCAAGGGATTCAAATCCTGGCTTCCCATTGGCTGGTGCTCGTCCCAAGATGGCCGCCGGGAAGGGGGCGCAGAAATGGGTTCTGCCGGCTCAGGATCATCGGGTTGGGGTGGCTTACCCTTTTTTGCTGGTTTTTCTTTCTCGGTGGTCTTTGGGGCCTCAATCGCTGCTTCTTGTTGCTCGAAGAGGCTTTGAAGGTCCGCGATGAGGTTTTCTTTGTCGCTGCTTGCCTCCATCAGTTTCAGGATGGAGAGTTTGAATTTATTCATTTTCTGTGCTGTTTCTTCTTCCGGGGCGGTGATCTCCTTGGATGGCCCCTCTTCATCTGATTGTGAGTCCAGGCTGGAGTCCTGCTCGCTTCCAGCTTCTGTCTCCTCCATGGCTGTGGCTTTGGTTGCAAGCTTCTCAGCCATCTTCTTGGTAAGAGCTCTGGTCTGTGCTCTGTTTGCTTCTTCAGGGTAGGTGTTGGGTTCAGTCATTGTCTGGAGTTATGGGCAACCGACCTCTGCTACCATTCTGTTATAAGCTGGATCTAGCCCAATAACTCAGAGACAGACTCCAATTCTTTTCTGTAGCTTTATTATTGATCTATTGGTACTGGAGGTCACTGACCTTGTACCTTTCTCTTTCAGGTATACATCTGGAAAAGATCTGTGGACCATGTGGTTGGACCTTTTTGTACCCAGGAGGAGGGGCTAAGAGGTAAGGAGTGGTTATAAGGATTATGGGATATGTGGTTAGTTAACCCTTGAAGGTCCGGGTGATCAGGGAGACATAGTAGTTAGGCATTTATCATGACATGATGGAGCTTGGTATGTGTGTGAGGTTTAGGAATGTGCTGCAATTTTTTTTAGTTGGTCTGGGTGTTACATGACTGCCTAAACGGGTTCCTACAGTTTTTTTGGCAACATTTTCAGAAGTGGTTTGTCATTGGCCTTTTGTTCTTCCTAGGGCTGAAGGAGCAGCATTGGCCACAAATTGTCTCTATGGTTTCTTAGGAGCCTGGTGCCTAAACCAAACTGATTCTTGTGTTACAATTATTTTAGGGTAAAAGGCAGAATGGGGTTGATGGACAGCACAAAAATTAAATTTAGCATTTTGTGTAATTTGGAGTAAAATTGCTTGTTAAAAAATTTGCCATACCCAACCTTTGTTTTTCAGGGAAGATGGTCAAGCAGCAGCTTCAGAAGATCCTCAGTGAAGTAGACTTATGTGGACCCCTTTCAGTCTGGATTCAGGCCTGGTTACAGGACCAAAATGTCATTGGGGGCACATTTGGATGGGGGAAGGGGTAGTTTGTCCATTCTTGCTCTTTCTTGACTTCTCAGCAACTTTCAATACCTTTAAACATGGTAGTTTTCTGGATGGGCTCCAGAGGTTGGATGTGGGCAGTACTGTATTGTGCTGGTTCTCGTCCTTTGGGACCAGTTCCAGTCAGTGTGTCGGGATGGGGGGGAGAGAGTGCCACATTTGATCCCTGATTTGCAGAGTGCCTCAGGGTTCAATGCTTTCTCTACTTCTTCTACCCTGGAGCAATGAACGTATAAATGAAGCCACTGGGCGAGGTTATCCATCTGCACAAGATGACTTTTCTGTCTCCCAGGCTTCCCTTTTTAGAGAAGTTTATAGAGAAAATAGTGGTGCTCTAGCTTCAATGTACCCAAGAGAAAGTGGATTATTTAATTTAAATCTTGTTGCTGGTATCCTTAAGTTTTATATTGACTGTTTCCCTATGACTGTCATTAAGCGTTGTACCTTATGATTCTTGACGAATGTATCTATTTTATTCTAAACCCTTTTAAAATCAAGATTTAGGCAATGGTACTGGATAAAAATTATCTGAGTCACACTGATGGAGGATTTGTGTTGCACCTTCAGGTCATTTTCAGGCTTTTGAAATAATGAATGTGCTGGTTCAACAAGAATTCAAGTCTATATTGTATTCATCAAGATTTAAGGAACTAGACAGGAGATGAAAGGCAAAACAAAAAATCTAAAAAGAACACTGATCCGTTCTTTTCAATCAAAAAATGCACTTCCTCATACACACAGAACAGAATCAGAATCAGAAACAGCAAAGCATAACAAAGGCACAATTTTCTATAAAAGCAAAATTCCAATCTAATTTCCTATAATCTGGGAGTTGCTGTACTTTTTGCTAGATTTTTGAGGATTGGAACACTGTTGCACAAATCCTAAATCTGAATTAGAATTGGGGCTTAGAATTATGTACTAGTGACCCTTCTGACTGATAATGCATTAGTTTTCCCTGCAAGATTAAAGTGTCAGATTTGTTGTTTTAGAAATGGCTAGTTTAAACTATTATGTAAAAGTAAAAAGTTTAGGTTTGATGTTAATGCCTTATTCTACTGCACCAAAGGGAATCAGGAATCAATGCCTTTTCTTTCTTTTCCCCCTTCTTTTCCTCACTTTTTCCTTCTCTATTCTTCCTACTAATTTGCTTTTGTATTTTCTTGTATGTTATAACATAAATTAATAAAACTGTTAAATCAGAAAGATTAAAGAGTCATATCAAGAAGACTGTTTCCCCCACTCTTTAGGATTAGATTTCAAGGGAGTATCCTCTTTCTAGCCAAGCCACGTATTCCAGCTATATTCAGTAACCATCACAACACTGTAGCTAATTAAAGGATAGACAATAATTCATTGTCCATTACCATAGAAAGGTTGAGTTAAACCATAACAATCATTTTCCAAGAGTAGAAAAAGTATAGGCCTAGTTATAACATAAATTAGGTATTTGTGGAACTGTCTTTTGGACTGCACGCAGTTATGTCAAGGAATAATAGGCACAGGTAAAGCTACAGTGGCATAATTATATGTTTCAGGCCCAGATCTGTTTTTAAATTTCATTTTTTTGTTCTACCATTTCTTAAGATTTAAGATATTTTCTCATAACAGTTACTCTGAGCTCATTCCTTTTCCTGGAACTGTAATTCCATGCATGATATCAAATAATTGTTAGCACTTATATACACCTTCCGTTGGGGAAACCCTGTAAGCGCAGAAGTTGCAACTATTGAACTCATACATTTGTAATGTAAACAAATGTCTTCTTTTCCACTTTCCCCCAAGGAGGCTCCCAACTATAGTACTCATTTGGATACCATTATATAACACCTTGCTTGAACTTACCATATCCATGCCGATAACTGTTTTATGACGTTACAAATAAAACATAATTTCAGTTTATATATTGCTCAAAAAAATAAAGGGAACACAAGCAGAAAGACATCTGAGATCTAAATGAATGAAATAGCCTTATTAAATATTTTGTTCTTTACATACAGTTTATACACTGCTCAAACAACTAAAGGGAACACAAAACTACTGTATGTAACGAACAAAGTATTTAATAAGGCTATTTCATTCCTTCAGCTCTCGGATGTCTTCTGCTTGTGTTCTCTTTATTTTTTTGAGCAGTGTATATATTTGGTACATATTTAATAGACCCCAGGAAATGGACCTTTTCTGCTATCGCACCCACGTTGTGTAATATGTCTTCAGAAATGACATCAGTTTCATCTCTTGAGTTTTTGAGGGTCCCTCAAGGCCTGGTTATGTCAGCAAGCCTAGGGACCTGAGTGAACTAGTGAGGTGGCTGTTATTATTAACATCCCCCCATTTATTTTATTTTCTTGTTTCTTTTTCTTCTGAAGAAAAGTATTGCTTTTATAGTTCTAATGTTTTTATAATTATTTTTAAATAACTACAATTTTCAGTAATCCTTGTTTTATATTTATTGCTTTATTGGATGTTGTACACTGCCGAGTCACCTTCTGTGATATGGACAGCCATATAAATTTGATAAATATAATTCTATGTAGTTCATAAAATACAAACTATAATGTTCTATGATTGAGAAAAGTAACATCTACTGAAATTTGGCTATTGGCACTCTTAATTATTATTTTTTTATGAAATGGATTTCTTCCAATTTGGAGTTTTTCCCTCCAGCAGTTTTCACAGAGTTGCAGCTGATACCTAGTAGTGACTTGAAATGGTGGCCTCATTAAATAGAGTGTAAAACAAAAGAGACAACACTTTTTCTTTACTAAAAGAATAGACTTTATTAAGCACTGTAAGTCTTTCTCCATCATCAACAGATGAACAGCGCACCAAGATTCCACCAGCAAAAAACATTCCCAAAAGACACCCAAGCTTTCTGATCACAAACCTACTGCAAATTTCCCCTGATTTAGAGCAACCTGTCCAAACTTACACTGATTAAAAAACCCAACAACCTATGGAGTATGTTGTGGGGTGCAAGGATTGGGGAGATGGGAATTTGATTATCAAGATTGGGGTGGGGACAGTAAAGATAACATTTATCCATTCACTAAGAACAGGTGTTAATTAGCATAAAAAGAAATATTTTTAAAAGGTAGAAGGGAATAATGTATTGATCATTAACTTCCCATATAAATAAAGCATGAAACTTGCAATTGACGGGATCACTAACAAGAAAAATCAGATTTACTCTGTTCAGCAAAATTATTGATTTGTATTTTTTTAAGCTAAACTCTTAGGCTAAACATTTTGAAAAGGCAATTGTGGAGAGATATATATCTGGTAAAAATGCAATGTCAAGGTTACTCAAGGAAAGTATGAGGGAAAAGACTGGCTTAAAATAACAACTGAGTTTGTTTTTACTTTTAAAAATCTTACTAGGCATTTAGTTACTATCAACAAAGCATCTACCAAAATACAAGAGCAATGGTTATAATCAGAAAAGGTGTATATCCCATCTGAAAGGGTAATATCATAGACAGATATGATGCTTGTGGGAAGAAAGGGTTGATTTTTCAAAATTGAGGACAAAAATCTAATCTGAAAAATAACTAGAAAATGAGCAACAGCGTCTGACTTTAAGCAATGACCAGCAAATAGCAGTTAAAAATGGTAAGATTTGTAACAGGTGTGTTCATTAGGTTTCCTTTAAACATTAAAGGTGGACTTCAAAACAGAAATCAGCACAGGTAAAACCAAAAAGCAGAAGAGGTTTTTGGGAGGGGAGAGAATGGGAATAATAAAAAATTAAAAATAGAAGTACATGCATATTTAGCAAAGTACATGTTGTAAGTTAGCTACTATAATGATTCAACCTTGGTAGTAAAATTCTGCTAACTACATTAAAAATAAAAAAGAACACATTGTAGTTTGTGTAGGACTTGTGTGGCCTAATCTTAACCATGCTTACTTAGAAGGAGAGACCATAGTACAATGGGGCTTTTCATCTAAGTAGCTACAGTTAAGGTTTGCACTAAGTTATATTTGAAGTTGAGTGATGGGGGGGAAATGGTGGTACTCTGGCCCAAATGGCTAGTTAGTGGCACTGTGTCCTCTTCACAGGCTCAAGTGTATCTATGTATAATTTGTGGATTGGGACACCCCCATTCCCCTCCACAAGAATCATGTCCCTGTTGTAATGTTTGTTTGTCACTTTCCCCCAGGGATCCAAGGGTTCACTTGTTTGAATCTGAATCCAAGAAAGAGTGGAATTCTAAACCACACCAGAAAAAGTTAAAAGCTGTCCCTCCCTGAAAAGGCTCCCTAGTCTTTTCAAGTATATATATTATATTCAAAGTATATTTGGAATATTCCATTTTCTTAAAGAGTTCCAGCCAAGTTAACTGGTAGCAAAAGCTTAAGAATTGCTAGCCACAGTCACAATTTTCAGTACTGCCTCAGAATGGGATGAATGACTCCTAAGAGAAAGGCAAGTAATCTTGGTCAACAGGTTGGTTTTAAACGTTCCCTCCCTCCCTGGTGACAAAATTATGAAGGAAGCATGCTAAAACCCCATGTCTATGATTTGATGGGTCAAATCCTTACAAAGGTTGTTGGACTCCAGGAAATATGCTTTAGAAGTTCAGAACTGCAACCGAATACAGCAAGCTTAAAAAGATTAATTTTATATTTCTACCCTAAAAGATGTCTTCCTATATTTTAAAGGATGCAGTCTGAACTCAGAAAAACACTTTGTCACATTGGTAATTTAAGATTCAGTGTATGATGGGTAGGAAAGAATCGGATTACTTCAATGAATTGTGAACATCACAATATGCTAACTCAGCAATTGATGGCAATAAACATGACAACATAGGTGGAGTAAATGGGCCTTAATTCACTGGGATAAATACTTGACAATCTATACCACACAAAGATCCATTTTTAGAGGGAATCTAGACCAGGATCCCATGGCAAGGAACTCTCCAAAACTACTGAAGTTCAATTTCCATAATCTCTACTTTAAGGATTATGGGAGTTGAAGTCCATCTCAAATGGAGGGCACCAAAATGGGGGATACCAGGCATAAGGATTACAGAAATGAAAAAGAATGGCTTAGTTTCACAAATACTTGAGAAAACCTTTGAGTCAGTTAGTTGCAATATTTCCCTAGAAATCAACTTTAATAAACTGGACATTTGCAATTAATTGCAATCATTTTGTTTCCAGTGGTCCATATAGTTTTTTCCCAGATACAAAAAAAAATATTCCTTTTCTTTTCATAAAACGTCCATATTATCTATTATGACTATTTTAAAACTTCTAAGTTTCACAAGTTATCTTGCACTAAGTTTCCAGCTTTCTAGAAGTGCACGGATAGGAAAAATAGATGCTTTGTATATTCAGAATTTTACTCACATACTTCTCTAGGATCACAAACAGGCTAAACTTACAATACCTATTTTTTTACCAAATGATCAGCAGTGGTAAACACTCGCCTGCAGTGACATATTTGAAATGAAACACTTCCAGATTTTTAAATTCAGATACAAGGGTTTAAGGGCTACATATTTAGCATCTTTGAAATCTGAACCCTCAACTCCAAAGCAATACTTTAGATTTCTGATTTCACAAGAGGACCTCAATGTTAGAAACTGTTCTTTAATAACACAGTTTGAAAGTTTGTCATTTCAGGGTTTCAATTCAAATTAATTTTAACATTACTATTTAAGGCACAGTGTAACCTGTATTAACATTTGATTTTTGATCTCTCAAAATTTTTAGTAACTACTATAAATATATCTACTAGTTTAGGGAAAGATAGGGAATTTGCATTCTTTTGCCCCCAAATAAAGACAATAACAATATGAAAATCTTTACCTGTTGTTTTTCAAAGCACAACCCAATCTAGCACAATGCTCCTGCTGTAATTCTAATCCAACCTTTTTCAATCTGGTTCCCTCCCCAGACATGTGTTGGACTTCAGATCTCCCAATTCTCTAGCCAGTGGACTGAGGCAGGCTATTCTGATCAAAGAGAAGAGGGTCCCTAGGAGAAAGACTCTCATTTTGAAAAAATAAACCCCCAAATGATATTAATCAGCTCTATACTAAAACTTAGGCTGGGGAGGAGCCCTTCCAAATGTCTTTAATTCTCTCTCAAAAAAAGGCTTAATTACAAAATCTTTCTCCTGTTTGAATGACTTCATTATACAATAATATTCCTATTTTAGGTCTGCAGACAGGAACCATATCAGGCTGACCTGATTTGGGAAACTGCAGTAATTAAAACAGTAAATTTTTGCAACAACATATGCAAATCCACTGTTGCTTTAAAAACATTTGCCAAATTATTGCTTTTTACTGTGGATTTAAGAAGGTTATGTCATCTGGCTCTCATACCGTGGAGTAATGGGCATCGAATCAGAGACACTTTTTAAGAAATGGCCATGTAAGTGAAAGCATTAACTTATGCAAGTAAAAGATGCTTTGAACAACTGATGTGAAAATAAAAATACATTCAGAAATCTAAATATATCAATGGAGAAAGGGGTGATTCTTTGGATCCAGAAAGGAGAAACAAAATCAGTAATTTTATCCATCTCTTTGGCTCTGATACAACACTGGACTTTGAATTGCATGTTTTCATTATCCCTCTTACAGCCCCTAAGGAAGCACTTTACATTTTTATTGAGTATTTTAAAGCTGCATGATACCTTCTATTGTTTTGGATCAGCAGACAGTAAGCAACTCAAAACAAAATCATGCCTCAATCATCTACATTTATCAAGGGAAATTGAATAACATTATTTCAAATCTCATTTTCTACTAGAGCTTGGCTTAAGTCTGCATACTCCAGATCAAAACTAAGTAAAATTTAATCTTCAAACATTGAATTTTGTCATGGATATAAAATGATCAAATGCATATCTCCACAACCATTTTCTTAAATGTTAAAAAAAAAAATCTGTATCAAATTAAATTTAGGCATCATTTTCAAGATCTGAAATTTCACCCAGGCCCCTACATTTTTATAGAATATCTTTGCTAATATGAACGATTAGGATTTTTTTTTTTAAAAAAAATCAAAATGACTTTTATATTCAATCCCACATTCCATACTCCTATAGAAACACAGTACAAAACTCTGTGATATTTTTCTATTACTTGCAAAATGAACTAGTTTACACCCGAGACTCATTAATTTCTGCATCCCAAACAGATCATAAAACCACATGAATTCTACAGGGCTTCAAAAATGGGGATTGGACCAGAATGTTTTTTTTTTATCTTAGCAATATAGTCAATCAATCTCTGATCCCATTCTCGAGAGCTCCCTCTTCTGAAGCACTGGAAATAGCGTTAGAAAATGAAGATGACAGAAAACTGAGGCAGCCTTATCTGCCCCTAAACTGTGAGATATTGTAGAAAATTATTTGTATGTTATCTGTTACAAACCTCCATAATTGACTAACATAAGCAAGCAAATCTGTAGCTCTGAGATTAGATGTCAGAACTGGCAAAGATTTGGCTGCACCGACATTTCTGCTGCCTTTAGGTCAGAATCTTGCCTCCATGAATACTATCAAACTAAAGTTGACACAAAGTAAGTTGTCAAGCTATTCATCAAAGTTCACTTGGGAATCCCATTCCAAATCAATCAGTTAAACAATCTGCATCAGGAAATAATTTGACGGTTAAATGAAAGTCTTTATCTTTCCCATCCTTCATCCTGGGAATAGAAGGGCACTTCCTTGTTAGGCCCAGATTAGAGCACATTTCACAATGGAGAGCCACAGTCTCTTCAAATTAGTTGTTTCAACTGAGACTGGGGCTAGGATATCACCAGAAAAAGCAGATTCCCCCAATCTTCTTTGATGTGTGATTTAAACTTCTGTCTTGTTCTGCTATCATAACAAAAAAAATAAAATAACAAAAGCATGAATCTTAAGGCCATTGCAGAAAAATTCAGACCTGGATTCCACATTTAGCGAAAGATAGTAGCTGCAAATATAGTTAATTTATGCAGGATCTTCCATGCAAGAAGTAGAGACGTATACCTCCCCTGCAAATGCCATTCAATGCCTGATGCTGGAAGTTCATAACCTTGGGATTAATATCTGCTATTATAACTCTAGATATAGGATGCTACCTAGATACCAAGGCTAAAAGAACTGTATTCTAAATGGTACATTGGGATTTATTTATTTATTCACTTTGCTTACTGGAGAACTGGGTTTTATTTGGGGCTTTCTTGCAAAAGAAAGTTGAACATTTAAGATGTTATTTAGGGACTGCAACACGATGTAATATGAAAGAACCAAGAGAAATGGAGGGATAACTGTGATTAAAAAAAAATAAATCCCACAAATATAAAAAATGTATCCAGGCAATCTAGATTATTAGTACTCAATGGAATCCACTGATAGAATGCGAGTCATTCCTGAATGAAAGTTGGCTTGATTCTTCAAGGCAATTTTTGCATTGGACAACTAGCTTTAAATGATCAGCAAAGGTTAGAAACAAAACAAACAAGATTTTAAAAGACTTGATTACTAGTTCCATTAATTCTGCAAATAAATATTTTTTTTAAAAAAGGAAAATAAGATTTTATTTTTTCTTTGGGAGGGAAAGCTTGTAAGACGCTCTCCAAATGTATGATTCTCAGTAGTACTGCTATCTTTAAACAAGAAGATTCTCTTTGTTAACTCTCGAGCAAGTACTTCAGAACACGAAAGACATCAATTTGCCAGTTCTTCAGAATTTATCCAGCAGAACAAAAACTTTCTCTTTTCAACGTTTAGAATGTCAACCCAATCAGAATGACTAGTTTTTGCAGCTGAAAAGCATGCTGCTTTGACTATTTAAAAAAAATCTGATTTTTCCAAAATTTACCTACCAGAAATACTTTTTAAAAATCAAGTTTTCTTAATACTCAAACTTCGTATCACAAACTACTTTAAATAGCAGCTCTTTGTTTTCTAAAATAGAGTCTACTTCCCATATTACCCAGCTATAACTATGATAGTTTTCAAACAAAAATGCTCTCCCACCCTTTAGACTGCTCTAGCTACTTTCCCAAAGGTGAAAGCAACTCTTTCCTTTGGCTGTTGTCAAGTTCTTGCCTATAAGGGATTAATCTTTTTCAGGTGCTACCTCCCTTCTGGCAACCATGGATCATTTCCAAAGGTCCTGCTCTTAGAGCAATATAAGAAATTTCCCATCTCAATGAGTTTGAGTCAACAGCTGCAGAGAAAAAATAGCCAACTGGTTACAGATCGATTCCAAAACTTGTTTAACAGTTTAAATCTTTTGATGAGAGTGATCTGGCAGCTAAACTGGGAGGAGGAAGATCAGGGCTTCCTACTTTGGGTTCTGGTAGGTGAATAACTCATTCAAGAGAATGGAGCCAGCAGTAGAAATAAGATACCCTGCCCTGTTTCAGGTTTTAAAACCATTTTAACTACCCTTTTATACATTTGCAGAAAGTAAGGCAAATAAATTTGTTAAAATCTGGATAATACCCTCCCTCACTTTTTAACACAATCCTATTTTTCTTCTGCAGTAATTGAAATTTAAGAAAATATTTCTTATGAATATATAAATTCAATTTAGTTATGACTTGTTGCCCAATAATATATGGAATCTTTCACTAAAGGGTCTACAGTCGTAGCTACCAACATTTATCTTGTGGCAATTAATTTCATATAATTACTCTGCACTATTAAGAATACTTTTCTGATTTTGGTTTGAAGTGGAACCAACCATTGTTCCAGGCAGTGGGTTTAATCATGTGCCCCTCTGCTGAAGGAAGCAGAAAGGGAAACATTCAGCCTACTGGATACTGATAGCAGAAGACAAATTAAAAATCAAAACACATTTTAGATTACTCAAGTCATCTGAGGTACGTGCTATAGAAGTTGTAAGAAACTAGAAAGAAACATGCACTGCAGAAGTGCATGTATATTTGCAGCTGGAAAACTGGTTTAAAATTTCTTTCCAACAGAATGTTCAGCCTGTTCTATTTCCTAACCCAAATTATTTGATTTTTAAAAAAACTTTGAACTGCCTGCTCTATATAAACATTCTGCATTTGAAATCTGCCTCAGTACACATTTCTAATGGATTTACCAAGTTTCCAAAATTCAAGGCTTTCGGATTCTACAAGATCATCTGCAAGGATAGGTGCAATTCAAATTAGACAACCCAAAAGGATAGGGTAATAGGAGAGAAACTTGTGTATATAATGGAGTTTAGCTACACTACTGAAAATCTCGACCAACTGTTTTCAGAAAGTCTTTGAAATTTTTTCTCATTATCATCAGCATAAGAATTGATGGCAGATTGTGCGAAGCCTGGGAGTGGGCAGGGTCATTTCTAAAAGGCCCGATTCATTCTAGATTCCAGATCGTGTACTGAACTTGTAGGATTCCCTTGGAAGAGAATAAAGAATCACCAGCTGAGCAACTGCAATCAACCCCCCCACACACATCCAATGTCACCCTTTTAATGACAACAAGAGCTAGAATCCCACCCACCCCCCACCCCGTTTCTGGGTAGGATTGGTATCTCTGCAGCCTCACCCATGACTTCCCCATTTGGATGGCTATCCACCCCACATCTTTACAGCCCCAGCTATCTTCAGCCATTTGCTCACAGTCCTGGAATTGTAACAGTAAGTGCTTGTCTGTTTAAGGATAAGAAGTGTTCTGTCTGGTATCAGGAGGCCTGCCTCATCGACTGCCGCAACCTGAGGATAGGACCCAATTGCTGGCAACTGGCGAAGCAGGCCTTTAATTCATTAAACACGTAGCGCTTTGGAACGCAAGTTGTCTCCCGGGAACATTTTTACCCCTTCCGGGTTTGTAGCATTCATATTTATATATAGCTCTATTCATGTTATATATAAATATAATCTCTCTCTCTCTCTCTTTCATATATAATAAAAAGCACACGCCAACTGCTATATGCCTCTTGTGTATAATTTGCAGTGGTGGTACTACTCTTTCTTTCTTAAAAATCATTGTCTCTCATACACACCCCTTAATTCATACCAACATCACCATCCCTCAAAGCAATACTGCTATTTGGCCTAATGGTGGGGGAGTTGGCAAGAAATTAAACAAGGCAGGCAGGAAAAATCTGCCCCATTTTAAAGTAAAACCTTCCTGGCTTTTTCTTCCTTTAAAAATATCCCCCTTCCCAAAATCCAGAATTCATAATTCTTGCCCCCTAAAAAGTCTTCCCCCTATAAAATTAAAAAACAAAAATAAATTCAAATAAACTTAAAAAATTGCCGCCTTTATGGATCCGATTGGCACAGTGGCAAATTTGAGGGGTGGAATGCAAAAAAGCTGATGTTATTCTCCAAAGCAGGGGCAAGAATCCCAGCAGGCTGCTTGACCTCACAATATTATAATATCTGCTGTAGTGGAGCAATTTGATTAATTAGCCCAATGTTGTAATGTGAGCTATCAAAACAGCAATCTTCCGGTCCCTGCCCTGCCTAGCTAATAATTCCATTGCAGCACTTGATTGCATTTACATTCTAGCCAATGTGTTGAAGGGCTGAATCCTATCCTTGGCAGGTCAAAACCTTGTCATCCCACCTCACCCCACCCTCCATTTGCCAGCCAATTGGATCCACAGCGGCATCTATTCACTCCTCTTTCTGCAGAACTGGGAAGGGAAGCTTGTTCTCCGGGCATCGTTCAGAGTCCCCACCCAGCGTCCCGAAAAAGGGGCTTTTGTTATTGCATGAGTCAGTGTCTCTTGCTAAGGCACAAGGTGATGCGGCTGAAGGGCATGCTCCAACAGTGGGATCTTCGTTGGCTCTGGAGGGGGGGCCTCCATCCCCATTAAACTGGGACTGGGGTCGGCTGCAGCTGCCGCCGCCATTGCTGCCGAACTCGGGCGTCTTTGCAGTTCCGTCGGTCAAGCTCTGTTGAACACAAAGGATAACTTTAGGAAAAGATAAGGAAGCAGAAGACTCAAAGCCTGCCATAAAAGATTAAAAACACAGCTGGAAGAGGAGCTGAAATCTCCAAATGTCATTAGTTTTTGTTTTTTACATTGCAAATCAGTATGCCATCCATTTCTGAATAGTTTCAGGCAGCTTACAAAATACAGTATATACTGTATATATTTCAAGAGATTTGCAATCTTGCATTATTTTGGCTGTTTATATTTGTTACGTCTTAACATCAGAGTTCTGAAGAGACTCTTCTTACGGAATCCTGATTGCCCTGGTGCCAGCAATCGCAGTGCAGCTGATCTTTGTTGTATGCATTTGTATATTTTCAAAGATCATTCCTTCTTTAAGGGTCTACTGCATAGTGGATGAGATGGACAGAACTCAGTATGGATCAATCAGCAAAAGAGGAAAACTCTTTACAATAAAATTCACAATAAAATGAATTTCCACAATCCTTAGGGAGACATACTTGCTTGTTTACTTTCTTGTTTACTTTGGGGATTTTTCCAGAGCAATCACGGCCACGGCTGCAGAATAGGAAAAGAAAAAAAGCTGAAAGTTCAAGTTCACAGGTAGAAGAGATCATTTGTTTGTTTATTTATTTATTTGATCTACACTGTTTTATCACTTAGGGACTCTTAGCATTTTATGAACAAGATCAAAATAATTAAAACATCCAACAGTATTTAGGATAATTTAATCTCTTCACAATAAATAAATACATTTCCTGTGCTAAAAAACATAGCGACTTCTAAAGAGCCTTTCACTCAGGATATATATGAATTGTGGTCAGATAAAGATGCTTTTCACATTAAACAATTTTCAGGAAGCAACTGAGACACGGATAAAAGTTTGTAAAGATCATGGTCCTTTATGTGCATGGATGTATTTGTCAGAGTTTCAGAAGACTGACATTACATACAAATATTAAACATGAACAGCTGTATTTATTTCTTTTGGTTTTTTCCTTTCCATTAGTTATCATCCATCAGATGGGAAACAGAGTCAGCTGAAGGTTGAAATTGCCATTTAGCCTACCTTGAACTGTTTCCATCAAATCTGGTCACTATAAGAAAAATGTATCTTTAAGAAATAATGCTTTAATTTTCTGTTTGCCTTTTCCATCTTCATTCTTTCTCCTTTTAGCTCTGTTGAAGTAATAATAATCCCAGAGCAAAATATCCAAGCAAGCGTTTGTAGCCTGCGGTTAAGATGCCCTAGCATTTCTACAGGTTATAAGGAACGAAGGGAGAATCTGGCAGCAACTAATCAAGGCCATCCTCTAGTGCTACTTACCCTTTCCCTGGGCCTCCAACTGACACCACCTGCATGCCAAAGGAGCCCTGTCCCCGAGAAGGTTTGCTCCCAGCCCACTGCCCCACCACCATCCCAGCAATTTCCAATTTGCCTCCTTGTGGTGGGATTGGATGGAGTCCTGGAGAGGAAAGGCATAGTCAGTAAAAGAAAAGGTAAGAAAGGACAGGGGGACATGGGATTAGCTTTATCCACAGATCTAGGGTCCATAAATCAAATTTTTTGTTGGAAGAGACAGGGGAGGAGGAAAGCATGTGCACAAGTGCTTTTGTTGGTTAACTGTACATTAGGTTGCATCCTTTCAGTATTAAAAATACAACTATGAGTCACAAGAGAATTAGCATTTAATGCTAATTAGCATTAAATTAGCATTTAATATTCCCAAGAATTCCATGCCAAAATGACACTGTACTAATGAAGACTCTTATATTGGTACTATTAAGTTCGTTGTTTAGAACTTTGGCTCTACACTCAAAATATAGGAATCACATAAATATGAATTAAGGGTCTAGTAGAAGCATCTGAACCTCATTCACTTACCTGTGAAGCCTCTAGTCCTCCCAGGGGCTGCTTGTGGCATTGATCCAATAGTGCGAGGGTAAAGAGGCACTGGATAAAAAGGTGCTGCCATAGAGGGCACAAAGGGTGGAGGTGGGAGAAGAGGTGGAGGAGCCTGGCGATTGAGGTTGATGCCTTCCAGAATACTCTGCCTCATCTTCTCTACTTTAGAAACCTGCTCGGTCTGACCAAGACCAAATAGAAACAGAACACACAGAATAGGTATCCAGTAGAATTCTGGGGAGATCTCCATATTCTTTCGGTCTTTATCTAATATCCCCCAAGGTCAAGGAAGCACAACTGATGAGAAATCTAAGGCACATTCCTTTGGCACAATTTGGGCCAAGTGCCAACAACAAAAATCATAGCATAAATTGAAAGTAATTGGGATAAAGGAGGATATATCCAGATAATATCAGATGCCACGACTCTCTCACTGAAATCAACAAGAGCTGAACACGATTCACTTTATTTATTTATTAAATTTATTTGCCGCCCATCTTGCCTTGGAGCTGCTCTGGGCAGCCTACAACAATAAAAGAAAAAAAGATGATAAAAATGTAAAAACAACAACAGTAAAGGAATGAAACAATAAAAATAATGAAAGTGGAGAATATGAAATGAAAAAGATGGACGGAGGGAAAGCAGGAAGCACAGGAGGGGGAGGTGGGGTCAGCAAGTTAGTCTAGTAACCACCTCCTGTGATGAAACACCCCCCCCAATTGGGACTCCTCCCCAGGCCAATCAGCAGAGCCAGTTCTTCAGGCTCTTACACCCCAGGGGATAGGAAGTTCCAGAGGGCTGGTGCTACTGCAGAGAAGGCTCTTCTTCTGGATCTTGTCAGTCGGAGTTCCTTGACCGACAGGATCCTCAGCAGGCCTTCTCTGCTGGCCACGGGTTAGTTCGATCATCCTATGCAATACACTCTCTAAAGCACAAGATAAGTCAGATAGCTGGGCTATCAATTTGCTCCTAGGCTTCTTTAGGGCAGTAAGCCAAGGAGAATGATAGCACTGCACTTTTCCTGCTGTCTAATAAACACAAAGCGCACATTCAGCTATTGATGAAGGAGACAAAACTGAAAGACAAAGTTATCTGGAATATCAGCAATTTGTAAAGCTGGGTTTTTGTTTTTTTAAAATCATTTTATAAAATAATTTGAGAGCAACATCTCTATCTTTGCTCAAATGGCTTCGCTGTTGATTTCTAAGAGAGAAGAACATATAGGCAGCATTGGGACCCTCTCTTGCACATCAGAAAACCTACGAATGAAAACCAGAAACAACTGCTGCCACAATTTTGTAAGTCAGAAGCAGAAGCAACTGCTTACTACAGGATGCTTACCTGGCCATCGCAGAGGTCTATCAGAGGTGCCTTCTCTCGTGCAGCTTTAATCAGTTTGCTTTGAAAGAGTTTCCCATCAAAGTAGATCCATGGGCAGCAATGCTCCCAGGGCACAGGCTGCCCGCAAGCATCATTGGCAAAAAGGGCCGTGTCCACTCCACTCATAAACAGAGCAGCCAACTGAACTCCTCGGGGATCCAGTTTCTCAATCTGCAAGGAAAGCAACATCCCTTTACTCCTTCTCCTCTGTCTTCTGGCCTTTATGACCACAATCCAGCTTAAGTGACTTTATAAGGCAGGATACAGTAATACTACTATTTCCGTATTAAAGACAGCAGTATTAGAGGCAGCAACAACACATTCCTCTGTTCCCTATAATCATATTGAGCTACGGTGGCACAGGGATTAGAGTGCAGTACTGCAGGCTACTTCTGCTGACTGCCAGCTGCCTGCAATTTGGCAGTTCAAATCTCACCAGGCTCAAGGTTGACTCAGCCTTCCATCCTTCCAAGCTCAGTAAAATGAGGACCGAGATTGTTGTGGGCAATATGCTGACTCTGTAAACCACTTAGAGAGGGCTGTAAAGCACTGTAAAGTGGTATATAAGTCTAAGTGCTATTGTTATGGCTATATAAAGTATAAACTTCCAATTGAGCATTTATTTCACATAAGGTTTGTCTATAATGGCCGACATCCATCCCAGAGACATTAAGTATTTATGTCATACGGAAGACAAACTACAACACACCACAGTGGCTATGGGTTACACTGCTCACTTGCTCAAATCATAAGGTCTACTCCTTATGATTTTACCTCCAGGGAATGTTCAGGCAAGAGGGGGAAGAAAACTGCATTTTCTTCAAGAAAAAGCCTTCTAAGGCAGAGGTCACCTTTGTTCAATATTCCCACCCTTTCAGCATCTCCCAGACAACACCCGGGGCCCTTTAGTTCCTCTGCACTGAACATGTACTTTGGAAACACTTTCATCTTAGTACTTCTGGTCTTTTTTAAAACTGGTCTAACTCCTCTTTCTACCCACCTCTAATGAGGCCATGCCCCATTTCGAGAGAGAAAGTGATCTAATACACCTGTTTAGAATATGTACAAGAGATCTTCCAGCTTCAAGGAGTCCCTTACAACCTTTATCTTAGAATTAAGGAGTAGGCTTTCTTCCAGGACCAATGGCATAGTACTGACTTTCAAACAGAACTTTTAAGGAAAGCAGGATTGGTGACAGTCAAAGAAAGAAGGGGTTGAGGAACGTTTTTACATCTACTAAAAATGTTAACAGCATGTGTCCTGTAACATCTCAAAATACTGCCCTTACTACAGCTCTCTAGGTCTCCTTTAAGCAACCAGGCTTCAAATGTAAGCCTTCCAATATCATGTATGCAGATGTGTATTTCAGTTCTGTGACAAAAAAAGGTACCCTGCAATATAGGAGATCTAGTGCATCCTAGTACAATCTCTCCCTTGTCCCTCACATCTTAGTTCTCTATGTGCAAGGAGCTGTTCTTTACAGACAAGCATTTCACTGTATGAGCACCCATTTGTGCAAATTTACCTGCTCTTTATCAGACCAGCTGAATTAGTAAGATGAAGTTTGAATAGGGTAGAACCTGGGAGTGTTGAGTAATGGAAGAAAGGGATGCAGGGATGCATGAACAAACAGCTAATTCTATGCCTGTGAAAATGTAAGAGGAATTTACCTTTCATTAGCAAGAACAAGACTTGGGCACTCTTCTATTCTTGGCCCCCTAGCTCTAACCTCATCTTCTCTCTTCTTTCCTATTCCCACTGCGAGGACTAATACAGGAGTGATAAATAACACCAACCTTCAATTCTTGAAGCTGATCTGGTTCATATAGCTGAGCAGACACAGCCTGGGCCAAGAAAGCATCCAATTCATGTCTGTGGAGGATCCGGCCTCCAGGCCACTGTATCATGTATCTTGAAAAAAGAATAATTCAAATAAAAGTAGAAAATACATTATTAAACAAGAATCAAAATTTAAAATGCTTTTTTACTTTTGGATACTGCTGGGCCTTGGAGAAAATTATAATTGGTTTTTTTTTTAATGTTGAAATCTAGAATTTGTAATTTGACAAAAAAAGCATGAGTAGACAGATTCACTTAGCAAAAGTTATGAGCAGTAAAGCTAAAGAACTAAATGAAGTTTCACACTTCAATAGTGATCATTTGCAGAACAAATATCCCAAATGTGCACCTCAGCAAATGGTGTGGATATTATTTGTCACCATGTTTAAAATCAGGAAATGATTCTAGATTGACTTATAAGCTTTGATAGTTTTATCTTCAAGTAACATACAGCAGAAGATCACTAACATAAATATAACAATAAGCTTTCATTTACCCAAATAAATTTATCTGATAGATTTATATCCCAGTATTTGTTCATGATGGTATACATAGCACTTCCTCCTTCCATTTTACCCCACAACAAAAGAGATGGGTTGGGCTGAGACACTGTGACTCACTTAAAGTCACCCATTAAATTTCTGTGACTCAGGAGGGACTAGAACATGGATTCTTCCACTGCTAGTTCAACATCTGGAACACTGCATAATGCTTACTCCTTTATATTTTCAGATATTGTCATCTCATTCTTACCTACTAACTCCAATCCACAACCAAATCCTGGATTTTTCAATAGTACAGATCTCTCACAGCTCTTCTTCATAGCCATATCCCATTGGTGCCAACCCTAGCACACAATGTTACTTGCCACTCTTTTGACTTTTCTCTTCAGATATGCTCCACTCACCGTAATACACAACACATGAGCAGTAGGTGTGTTGGTACATTGGCAGGGTTGAGCATGCCGGGGGTGTCTGATTTCATACAAGCCAGAAATGCTCTCATACGCCGGTTCTTGTCTTCCACTGCTTTGCCCAACCAGAGCTTCTTGAGGTTGGGACAGGTCCACTCCCGAAAAGCAAGAGCTGAGACCAACTCTGGAGTCTGGGGTGATTTCCCTTTGTACGCTGACCATTCCTTGACGATAACAGGATGCGCTATGTAGGGATGAATATCTGATTAGAATAAATCACTTTCCCAGTTCATATAATAAGGAGAAACAACACTCAGATATTTTAGACCAGGTGTATTTTAATGAATGTACACTTACAGCAAAAATATATTTCAAGCTCAAAATGTGAAACAGTGCCAAGATTCGATTGTACATTTTAACGCAGTAGAGCATATAGCTTTTCTTTGCATTATATCAATTCTGATCCAGTATGCCAAGGAGTAGGTTGCTGAAAAGTATGTATGCTTCAAGGGTCAGGACTCTATGGGGAATACTGGAACATCCTATTTTTCTCACAGACTATGCTGATCTGGCAATTCCAGGGCAATCTGAGATGTTACCTGAATTAAAATATCCATAACACCATGATTTACACACTGTTCTTACTTTAAATTTAATTTTGCTTATAATTTATTCATATTTGTTATAGCTGCCCAAATCCAAAGAACTTTGGTCAGCATATAGAAGCAAAAACCATAAAAACAATTAAAACATAGAACCAGATAGTTTAGACTAAAACTATCTTAAAAGCAACACATATCACAACAGATGCTTAAATATACATATTAATATACTAACCCCTCTAGATTTCTTCTATCCCCATAATGCCAGGTTGACATGAACTAGAGGAAAAATGTAAAGTTCTGGCATTTCTTGAAATGAAATGTTTTGCAAAATCCCATTTGTGAGCCATTTTAGACATCATCATTACCACTACTGCTGATTTTGCCACTTGTAGATTTGTGCTACCATATTAGCCTCTGCTGTGCAAAAATGCTTTTGGCTGCCAAAAAAAGCAAGACATCCCATTTCAGGGCTGAATACGGGAGTAACATTCAAGCTGAACATCTGAAGCAAGGGGAAATCCCTATTTCTTCATCTCTCAATTGACTTGAAGTAATATCAGATACTAAATTAGAATGTGTACAACCTTCTTAGGTTTAGATGGAAATAAGCAGCCAAACTGTTGCATTTTGATGGAACTGGATTCCCCAAACATAAGATCATCTCATCCGATGTGTTATGTTTGAATAACAGAATAATAGAGTTGGAAGGGACCTTGGAGGTCTTCTAGACCAACCCCCCTGCTCAAGCAGGAAACCCTATAAAATGGAAGCACAATGAAACCCAAAAGTTAATAGCCATGGCATCAAACAGAAATCCTAGCACCAGTCTTTCAAGTTGCACCAAAATGGTCCCCATGAAACAGTGCATTCAATTCCATTATTGCAAGTCAAGAAAGATATCATAATTAGACTGAAATTATCCAGCATCAAACACGGAAAGCAAAGTATCAGGGACTACTGAATGGGGAGAGTTCAACATATGTCATTTAGCTGCAAATGGTACTAAGGGATTGGAAGCCATAAGGTAACACTAAAATATGGGAGGGTAATTAAAACACACCTGTTGGAGTTGAACAAGGTAATTATAAAATGCTATATGGTGGAGAAGAGGGAGGAAAAAACATTTTCCTCACTATATAAATATTATGAAGTATGCCTTTATATAAGGATATACAGTTGATTTATGCCATATAACAAAGTAATCACAATTGGAGTAAATGGCTCCAATTAAAAGGGAGAAGACTGCCAGGGCATGAATTCCACAGCTATGTGGTAGGATTACAGATCATCACAAAGTGATGCCTATACAATTATGAACAAGTTGCAGAAAAAAGCTGGCTTGGCATTAGTCCCTGCCTGGGGGGTTGCAAATCAGAAGAAAGTAGATAGAAGCAGACAAAATAAGATGAGATTCATGTTCAGGACTAAATAAATTGGCTAAGAAAGCAAAATATGAATAAATGTGAAGATCAACCATGGTACTACCAAAATATACAGGAGAAGGCAGAACCTGGTCCCTGAGCCATTCATGATGAAACAACTGAAGAGAAGGCAGGTTAATAATACCTGGCCCAGAGAATATGGATGTGCACAAAACAAACAAAAGCTCTTTCTGTTGTGAACTTAAAACAAAGCCCACTTAAAAAGTTTTGTTATGATGTTTCAAGTAGTCTGTTTTTCTGTCTTTTTTCTGGCAAAAAAATCCCTCAAAATGTTTGGCCATAAAATACAATGGACATTTTTAAAAAGTCACTAGCCCCCTTGTTTTCTGTCCTAGAACCATAAAGGCAATCCATTCTGATTCTATTAAAGTACCCAACTTATTAAAAATGACTTTTAAATATCCCCATAGCAAACAACAGCCAACAGCAAGCATACTTTGCGACTTGCCTGGTGAAAGCATCTCAGAAGGTCTAGCAAAGACGCAATAGCAACAGATTTATCTCAACCTTTAATCCATAAAAGCATACAAGACTCACTCTCTCTCTGACAATTAGCTTCAGAACTCTTACTGCACTGATATGGGGTTATAGAAAAACTACTGAATTAGGAAGTTTTGCCTTCAGAATATGCTCTGAAAAGTCAACAAAGCAATATAGCACTTCCATTTGGTAACTGGAAAGCCCAACAACACAACAACACTAATTGAAATGCAGATGCTCCATTTACACATATGCATATGGCAATCTGTCTGAAAAAATGAAAACACATAGGGACGAGGCTACATTACATCCCACAAACTCCATCATCCCATTTAGAAACACAGCAGACTTACCCCACCCCCCCATGCAGGCAGCACTAGACACTCAACTGACTCCCAGTTCTCAGCTGCCTTGAGAAAAGGGGAGTAGGAACAGGATCTCTACCTGTAGTCTTATTACCCGAGCAAATCCCACCATGACAGGGTACATCCTTCTGAACTACCTAACGTAGGTTCTGGGAATCTTGTCTCCCATATTTTTAACACCAAGCTCTAGAAACAGTGATCCAGTTTACTAATCATACTAAAGCATGTGAGGTTTACTTCATTTGGCTTCATAAGCAGTAAACAAGAATGCAGCCCCTATGTCTTACTTAATAAACTGTGGCTAAGTGACATTACTATGATTTAGCCCTAACTGAGAACTTGGAAAGTACACACATGTACAAAAGTCTGGAGAAGTTACCTACTTTCCACGGGAATGCGCTTGCGCACAGCCAGGCGTTCCATCCGCCGTTGTGTCTCAGCCACACTGAAGAGGACACCGTATACATACTGCCGTGAGGCCCGAAAAAGGACAACTGCTGGCGGCAGTTCAGTGTTACATTCATCTTCAATGCACACAGGGATTTTGATCTCACCCTGGAATGAAATGAAAATCCTGGATCACTGATTCTCAACCACCCGACTGTTCTCAAAACCACCTAGGTCTCCTGCAAGAAAACCAATTAATAGACCCGCGAAGGCTCACCGCCCGCCTCACCTTGGTAAGGACGTGGTAGATGAAAGGGTACATAAGCCCCCGCCGATGCCTGTGTTCAGCCACTCGAAGTACTTCTGGAGCAATAGGAGGCAAAGGCGGGGTGGTTATGTCCATGTGGTTTCGGGTTGCCATGGAGAGCAATGAAGGGATGTGGGCCTCAGGTCCACTCAAGGTCCTTTCTGAGTTGCCAGTGTTCCCAGGTGATTGTCCCCAGCCTTGATTCATTATCTTTTCACCCGCAGGATCCTCCCAGCCAGACTTGCGAGACACAGTTTCAGAAACATGGCTGGATGGAGAAAGAAAAGAAATACTGTCATCCTAGAATGGGATTAAAATCCAGGAGTCTTGTTTCTCCCAATTGTGTGACGGTACAACTATTCAGAAGTTTCTCCTTTCCCAGAACAAGGATAGAATGTCTTGAGATTTGGCTAATTCTCCCCCACTTTCCCCCATAAACTATCACTGTCACCCAGGGGTGAAATCTGAAACGGTTTGTTACCGGTTTCCTTGCTGCGCCAAGGGCGTGCGCATGCACAGTGTGCACCAAAAGGAGGCTCGGGAAGGTAAGTAGAACAGTCGGGGGGGAGGATCAGCTGTGGCGCACAAGCTTGGGAACCTTTTAAAAAACTTTTTTAAAGCATTTTTTTACTACCGGTTCTCTGGAACCGGTAGTAAAAATGCTTTAAGAAAGTAAAAAAAAAAAAGTTCTGACGATCGCGTGTCACTCAACTGGTCTTCGGAACTTTTTTTTTACAATCGGTTTGGCAAACCAGTAGCATTTTTTACTACCGGTTCAGGTGAACCGGCCTGAACCAGTAGCATTTCACCCCTGCCATAACCCCAGAGTTTGCTAAGAAAGTCACAAGACTCCAATGAGTTACACTCACTTGGAATTGGCTCCATTGTGCTCTTCTCCATCAGAAGAAGAAGAGGGTGAAGATCCAGGCCCAGATGACGGGGAAGGTTTGGAACCCAGGTGATGGTTAGGAAACTTGGCAGGACAATTATCATATGATACAGGCCAGTTGTTGAAGTGACCAGCCTTCAAGGCAGGATCTTCATGGAAGGGCATTGCGTCCGCCAAGCCATGAGGTGAGAAGAGAAAACTGGAACCAGGACCCGGAAGGAAAGATGAAGAGGCAGCAATGCCACCATGTGGAGCAGGTGGCTGGTACTGCATCTTTGGCCCCATTTGGGGTGCAAACTAGAGATGGGAGCAAAGAGAAAGGGGAAAAGGAATGGCTGCAATCAAAACTACTTATTCAAACCTAGGGAGGAGTGATAGCCCAGTAGCAGAGAAAATAAGCAAAGACCCTTAGCACTCAGAAGGTTTTGGATTAATTCTCTGGCATTTGTAATTAAAACAGGAACAATGAGCAAACAAGAGAAAATATCTGTCTGAAGTCTTGTAGAACTGCTGTGAACCATAATAGTTAAGTACTGGACTAGTGGACTCAATGATCTAAATCAAGACAAAAAAGCCTCTAATATACAGATAGTCTTTGGGTTACAATGGCAATTGGGACTAGAATTTCTATTGCTAAGTGATGTGATTGTAAAGTGTGATCTCATGTGACTGCATCATTTATCAACAACAATTCAAAACCAGTAGAGGAGAGTATGCAGGTGGGAGGGGGGGGGACACTTATTAGAGCATTATGCAAACATCCCGTCCAGCTTTTCCATTTGCTTGTAGGAAGTTGGCAGGGAAAATCACTAATTGCAATCACATGACTGCATGACACTACAATCATAAGTGCGAGTTGGTTGTCAAGTATCCAGATTCGCAGTCACATGACAATGGGGTGGGGAGGGCAGCTGGGATGACCAGCAGTTCGAAGACTGGCTGTAACCACCATTCATTCAGCACTATCGTAATTTTGAAATCATTGAATGAGTGGTCATTAACTGAATACTATCTATGATTCTGAAATTATTCTGTAATAGAGATTCTATTACATTTTACTCCTGAGAACATTTACAAATATTTAAATGCTTACCTCATACCAGAAACAGACAGAAAATGTACCCCCTCCCCAAGGAAAGGAAAAACCTGAAATTCCAGTCATATGTTTCAAATATCATGTGTTTATTATACACCAATGGCACATGCACAGCCATGGTATGGCTGGACTGGCACAGGGGACTTTTTGGAAAATGGTAGCAAAAGAAGTTATCTATAGATGCACAATAATTTACTAATTTGCTCAGTACATTCAGATAATTCAATTCTCCTTAGCTGAATTATATGCTTGTGCCCCATGAATGAGGAAAATTGACGTAGTAGCATTTTAAATCTCTCTTCAGACCCAACTGCAAGGGGGATGCAATTTTCTGAATGATTCTTCATATTTGTAGCTTACATGACATAAACTAGAGGGAACAGTTTAACCTAAGCTTCTCCTTGATCCGTTAATATCTTCTATGCAGTGGGCCTTATAAAGAAAAAGAGCATTCAGAAATGATTTTTCCCACATAAGGATGCAGGCCAAGTTCAGATATCTCAATCTGTGTAGTATATATTACATCTCCCTGTTGTAGCTTGAGCCTGCAAGGACCAACGGCTTTCTCTAACCCAGTGAACATTTCCATTCTAGATGGATGCAGTAATGGAAATCTCACACTAAATTTAATATCTGCCTAAAGCAGTTCTGAGCACTTACCATAGCCTTCCCAGAAGGAAGTGATACCATTGGATTGCGATTCAGAGGTGGTGCCCCTCCGAAATGGTTAGGTCCAAATGCTGGGACTGAAACAAAGAATTGGATCCTTGTTATACTTAAAAAAAATAGCCCAACATTACTATTAGGATACCCTGAGTGGAGACTTCTGCCAACAGTGTGTAGATAAAAAAAACACTTCAGACAGAAGTTATGCATGGGAAGTCATATCTTCATTGTCTGAAGCATAATCAGTCTTGCCTTTTTCCATTTTCTGTTTTTTAGAGTTGGTATCCATGGACAACTTTTTATACTTGGGCAACTTTACCCATAAAAGCCTGAGCTTCAGATTCTTGCAATAGAGTAGAGGATGTCCTGAAGTCACAAAGAGTAACAGCAGGATGCAATTCTACTGGCTGTTCCACATGAAACTGAAATTAGACTGAAGGATGGTTTGTCCACCATTACCATTTAACTCTGAAAAAAATCCTTGAGGAGCTTGGAAGTGCAGGATTAGAACATTATTTGGGAACTGTTTTAGGAGAATGGCTCTCACACACTTGACCAAGTTTCTTAGCAAAGGATGGTGTCAGAAACAGGACAGAAGCCGGATACAATGGCAACAATATGGATCCAGCCAATTTCCAGCCACTGAATCCAACAATAAATATCTAAGGAAGCATAAACTAGTGGTTAACCACCAAACCTCTTGTTGATTTTTAATAGATAACCAAATTCTTTAAGATACTGGGGTCATTATAAAGAATACTGGATCAAGGGGCATTTGGGCTAATTATATTTTAATTGCTTAAATATCTTTTGTGTACAATATTTTTGCATTGTAAAATTAAACACATAATAATGGACAGTAAGGACAACTATTAAGAATAGTGTACTATGATCTCTGAATGCAAGATCCAGGAGAGGCCCAGTAAGATTACCAGCATCTGGCTTGGAAAGGTGCTTTTGTGCCTTTAAGTAAACCATGAGACAAAGAACAAATAGAACTTCCAACTTGTTATGGCATTATTTTGAAGAAAGCATTCCAAACCTCTTCCAGCCATGTAGTTATTAAAAGGCACGAAAGCTCTCTTCGGGCCAAGAGAAGGTAATTTCAGAGTTAAATCCAGACCTGACCTCTCCCAGCAGAGGATGCTGTAAGGTATCAGGCAGGGCCTCACCTTCTTGGCCAGCGGGAGAAAACACGCTTGAGAGAGAGGTGAAGTTGACCAGCGTCGCCTGGATACTCACGAACATACGGGGACTGGCCGGCTGGTGTAGGAGGTGCTTTCATGGCCACTGAATAATATTCTACTGCTTTCTTGAAGCGTTCTATTTTATCTTCAGTCCTGGACTGGGGAGGAATGAGAAAGAAACGATGGAAATGGCAGGAAAAAAAGTGTGCAGCAACAACAGCCTAGGATTCAGCATGGAAATCCTACTATAGTTAGCTATATACTGTACGTTACCGTCTCTATTCCTAATGAAATCACAAAATAAGATTTATATTAATTATAGAGCAGAAGGAAAGAACCTGAGGAAACTAGAAACTCATTAGATTCTATAAAAAGTAAAAACACTAGTTGTCTGGCATCACATTGGCTTCTATTTTCTCTCTTTCTCTTTGTAACTTTCATACTATATAAATATTAAGCCTGATACTAGTCTAGACCCATCTCCATGATTCCCATCTCACCTGGGAGTGTTTGAAGACATCTCTCCCTATTACATCCAGGCCAGAGGGACTTTTGATGGCACCGACATATTCAGATACAGCCTTGATGACCACATCACAGGGTGGGAGGACCAACTGGTGGGCACGCACCTAGAACCAACAAGAAGCATGCACCTAGACAAAAGTTTCAGTGAAGACAAAAGGCAGCACAGTAACAACTCTATGGTCTAAAGACCTGAACAACTATCATTAGTATAATTAGTGTGAAGAACAGAATAGGAAAATTCTCCCGCCTCATCAGTCAATGATCAGGAAATATTAGTATCATAGACTTTCTCTATGGATTCCTTATGTCTGCTGACTTATGGAACCTCAGCTCAACTCCTTGTTCTGATCTACGCTTCCTGATACAGTAAAAAACACACAATTAGTCCCAAAACCCCTTTTTTTTATTTTAACGGCTGTGAATTCCTTTTATTCACAGCACGTGCTGAATCACCAAGAGTTTATAAATAGTCCAACAGAAGTCTGCCACAGTCCTTTGGATAAGGCTGGTAAACACTCTTTATCTTCTTTGACATGCTGCCAAAGACCTAATTGGCAATTATCTTGGCAAGGCCACACGGAAACACAGAGTCAAAAATGGAGCTTCAAAGTACAAACCGACACCATCCACAACGTTGCTTCCTGCAAAGGCCCATGTGCCTTTGCTCTTCCTTTATGTCTTATGGGAAGGTCCAATCATCTCCAAGCCTTATTCCCGAGTCGTCCCTTTTGTTTTAATTGTTCTTGCCTTCTGTCAGCTCTGCGCATGCGCGCACTAGGAACAGGCTTCTCCTGTTCCTCTGCCTCTCTGATGTCCGGAGTCTGCACATAACTCCCAAATGACCCTGGCCCCATCTCTGCCTCCGACGCAGAGCCCTCGTCCGAGCCTTCCCCAACCTCCAGGACTGGCCCATGTTCCTCCCCAGCCTCTTCACTGTCCGACTCTGCTGCCAGCTCCGCAGGCTGCTGGTGGACCACAATACTCCTCATAGGAGTCAGGATTTCACTTCAGGGTATCAAGGCATTTATGTAAATGTGTAATGTTCCAGAAGAGTACTCTCTCAATGTGATACAGTAATCTTGCTTATTAATGAAGTGTTAAAATGTTGATTTAGAAACTGTAAAAACATAATAAAATGCCTTCTCCCAATGCCCACGTAACATTTTTAGGGTTGCAGAACAGGTCTTCTCAATGACAGCTTCCTCTTTTGAAACCAAAAGCTGCCAAGAACCCTTTCATTTCTAACCAAAATAATCTGGCTAATGCCTTTCTGTCAAATCAAACTTTTGACCAAATGTCAGCCATGTATTTGATTTTATTGTGATTCTTTAAATTGCTTTAAATCCTCCGTATATTTATACTGTACCATTATAATCAAATCTTCACAGTAGAAAATGGCGATAACTACAGTATTTTTAAATGAGGAAAGATACTGCAGTTAACAGTCACTCAGGGGTATATTAGGCTGCTTGTAGCCTCAGACATGAATTGGCTGTTTTTTAAATTCATTCTCAGTGACCAATGTAGGTAGTCCTTAACCTACAACCATTCATTTAGTGACTCTTTCAAGTTACAATAATGCTGAAAAAAGTGACCTACAGCTGGTCCTTGCAGTTATGACTGTCAAAACTTCCCCTGAGTCATGTGATCAAAATTTGGGCACTTTGCAACCAGCAGTATTTACGATGGTGGCAGCATTCTGGGATCACATGACCGCTATTTGCGACCTTCCCACTAGCTTCTGACAAGCAAAGTAAATGGAAGCTGGATTTGCTTAACAACCATGTCATTTGCTTAACAACTGTAGTGATTTAAAAACCCTGGTAAAAAAGATCATAAAATCATGTGCGACTCACAACAACCACTTTTTTTAAGAAATGGAAATTCTGGTCCCAATTGTGGCTGTAAGTCGAGGACTACCTGTATAAACTGGAGGAGGTTAGACACCATGAACAATTCAGTGACTCCATCTTTTGCAACTTCCCCTGTAATATTAACTACAGGTAGTCCTCGACTTACGACCAGAATTGAGCCCAAAATCTATGTTGCTAAGTGAAACATTTGTTAAGTGCCCCATTTTATGACCTCTCTTGCCACAGCTGTTAAGTGAATCATTGCACTTGTTAAATTAGTAACATAGTTGTTGAGTGAATCTGGATTCCCCATTGACTTTGCTTGTCAGCAGCTCAGAAAAGCTGACTGCAGGACCCCGGGACACTGCAACCATCATAAATACAAACCAGTTGCTAAGCATCCAAATTTTGATCCCATCGCCAAGGGGATGCTGCAATGGTTGTAAGTGTGAAAAGTGGCCATAAATCACTTTTTACAGTGTCGTCGTAACTTTGAACGGCCATTAAATGAACTGTTGTAAATCAAGGACTACCTGTATAACTCTACTTGTTTTCAGCATAGGTCACACTAAGGAGCATCAGGTTGAGAAGACTGCAATAATCCATGCCAGAAATGTGACCTGTTTATTCCTGCTCTATCTGTGGTTACAGCTGTTTCCCAGCCAAAGCTGTAGAGCTTCACAAAACTATAATACAGAGAAAAAGCAACAAAAGTCTTCTGGTTTTCCAGTCCTGTTAGACAAACACTATGAAATAATGTGCCCAACTGATTCTACTTCTTAAATCTAGTCTATTTTAGCTCTATTTCTTCCTAAATCCTTTTTTTAAGTATTAGATGAATCCTTCCATTTCTTTTCAGAATTGACAATTGTGACACTTCATTTACACATTTCACATAGGTTAAAAAAATGTATCTGGCTCCATTATCATCTCTTGTTGGATTTAAAGTGATCCTTCCAATTCAAAGTTACATTATTTGGGGAAAACCCATAGCTTTCTTCAGGTAAACACAATATAAGAGGGCAATTGTTTCTTAGAACTGTCTGCAAAATTTAGGGGTGCTTTTTCTCACTCCTCCCATTAGGATGTCATTTCTAAACTCGAGAGACAGCTTAGAATCCAGACAACACTCGACTAGTTCTTTGGGTAATAACTCTGCAGTTCTTTCAATTCCTGCCTTGCTGCCCTTCAGAAGAGAACAAGGAGGGGCATGTGTCACCTTAAGTGAAGCGAGCGGGTGGTCCGGACCAAGAAGACTCCAATGGAAGGCAGCCAAGTCCTCATCTGGAAGAATGTGGTTCCCTGAGGGGAGAAAGGCACAGTAATATACTATAAGCAACAAGAATGGAATTCAAGCCCCCCCCCCACCTTACCCAAAATGGAAATAAGCAGGAAGTGTTATCAAATTTAAAGTTAAGATTTAGCAAATTATGTTTTGCAAAAGAGGAGAAAAATCTTGAACTGAACACAGTATAGTGAAAATCCCAAATCTGAAACTCTGCAAACAGAAAATCTGTACTCTAATACTAAACTTGAGTACAGCAAAGTAATTGAATTATGTTGTTTTGATTGAAACTGAAGTTCTTATTTGCTTCAGGCTGGTTAATTGGTCTCCATAAAATGCGGCTCAATTTGAGACGTTTCAGACCATATTCTGTTTTCCAGATAGCAGCAATTTCTCCTAGTGTCTAGACATATGTAACCCTCCCAACCTGTTTTATTTTTTTAAAAAATCCTTGTAATTAATGATTCTAAACATTTTAAATAACAAGAATTTAATGTATACTATATAAAGATCATGAAGGGTAGGGTAGAGATGCACCTATTCCAGTAAAAAGATTGGAGTTAAGACAGGGATTTTGCAAATGGGACATCCTTTTGCCCTTGAGAGTATTCCAAGCCAACTGCAACCTATTTTTTTCATCTGACAATGTGGGGAAAAAAAGTTATGCTCTTTCACATACATTAAGGAAGAAAAATAAATAAAAATAAAAATAAATAAATAAAAAATAAATAAAAATAAAAAAGCACAACGCACACTGAAAAGCTGCATCTTTCAAGTCACTGTAGCTTTTATAAGCCATGGTTACCACAGACTATGATCTAACATGATCTATGTAAGGTTAACCAGTTTCAATTTACCCAGCAAGGCAGCAAATATAGGAAAACTGCTCAGCTTGAGACCCAGCTGCTTGGCCACCTCTTGCATGAGGAATTGGTTAGTGGTGAGGTTTTTGCCATTCCAGCTCAGCTTCAGGGCATGGGAACTATAGTAGGAGGGGATGTTGCAGAGAGCATATTCCGAGTCATGGGCAATTAGTCCATGAAAACCATTCTCCCGAAAGAAAGACACTACTTCCTGATGATGATCCTCCAGGCTCTGGAACACCTGAAAGGAGTAAAAGGACAAGGATGAGTAAATTACAAGGGCAAATTTCTTTGCCTTAACTTGTAATAAAGTACTTGCTTTGAGATAATTTGTTCATTTGTTTTATCTTCTTTTCCTGCTTCCCACCACTCTTCAGAAGATGGAAGATGTGGAACATGGCATGGGAACACCCCCAAAGGCCTTTACAGCAAAATACTGGGGGTCATGGAAATATTTCAGTTGTGTGCTACTTTGCAAACCGTGGCTGAAGTGGGGTTCTGTATAGTCTCATGTTAATTCAGACCAGACATAGTACTAAAAACAGATGAATTGAAATGATAGGAGAAAAGAGAGGGAGTTTCTGAATCAGAATAAAAAGTCAAAGAGTGTGAGACTACTTAATGTTATGATATTGAGCAATATGTCTCCATTAAATGAAATTCCTCTGAGTTTCAAAAAAATAGCCAAGATTTCACTCCATATTAGAAGCCAAGATCATATTAGACAATTATAGAATTAGATATTTTCTTTCACATGTTTTCCCCTGTGGATAAGAGAGGGAATAAGGGGGAAAAACCTAGGCACTGTATGAAAAGAAATTTTAAAAAAAAACCCAAACAGAAATAAAATAGATGTTCCTACAAATCAAGGGGAATTAATAGGAAATTGTGATTATTTATATACTTTGGTTGTAAGATCTGTTACAGCCAAATTATAGTCCTAGCTGAAAAAAGGTAGAGTATCAGAATTTCATGAGAATCCTAAGAATGAAACTACAAAAGAGCAAAAGACTGTGGATCTTAAAGTCTTTATGGCCTTAATAAAGTTAAATATTACAGAATAAGGCTATGCTTCAGCTCAAAGAACACAAGGTTTTTTTTCAAGAATTTAAAAAAAAGTTCTTGAAAAGAGGAACCAGAGGGGACATTTCTTCCAAAGGTTTTCAATAGTGTAACATCTCAGTGACTAGTCTAGCAGGTATCTAAATTTCAATGTGCTAGAAAGAGTTTTCTAGCACTTTGTATTCACAAAGTGAGTACAAAAGTACTTCCAGCTCCTTTTAAAGTACTTTTCTCACTGTCTACCCACCTCACAGCATTGGAAACAAAACAGGTCTTAAACTAAAGATAAACAATTAAGATGTAATATGCAAATACAATGAAAGACTTGTAATTACAGATTTTGAATCTGAACTACAATACCTAGTTTAGGATTCCTTACAGACAAAATTTCAAATAAATAAATACACATGTAAAGACAAATTTGTAAAAACTCAATTTCCTTCATTCTTCTTACACATCTCTAAATACAGAAATCTGAGTAAAAAGAATTACTTCAGAGTCACTTAATACCTAATGGGTATTTTAATTTTTCTTAATTCCTTTTCCACATCCCCTAGTTTGAACAGTAGACACCATGGTACAGTATAACAATGTGCTTTGAAAGTCCATTCTTTCTAGTAGAGGTAGTCCTCAGCTTACAACCAATTGTTTAGTGACTGTTTGAAATTACAGAGGTACTGAAAAATGTGACTTATAGCCATTTTTCATATTTATGACCACTGCAGCATCCCCATGATCACGTGACCAAAATTTGGATGCTTGGCAACTGGCATCTATTTCTGATGGTTGCTGTGTCCCAGAGTCATGGGATCACCTTTTCCAACCCTCTGACAACCAAAGTCAATGGGGAAGCAAAATTCATTTAACAAATGTGTTACTAAATTAATAACTGCAATGACTGCCTTAACAACTGTGGTTGTTAAGTAAAATAGAGCAAAATTCACTTAACCGTCTTGTTTGGCAATAGAAAAGTTGGGCTCTAATGTGGTTGTAAATTGAGGACTACCTGTACCAAATCTATATCATATGGAGGTTACTATTAACACAAACCAAGAAATTATTTGTACATGTAGAACTGGTACTCTAGAAAAAGAGAAACATAAACCCCTTAACCTGTTAAATATGCTATAACTAACATTATCAAAATCTAAAACAAATCAGTTCATTCCCTTCACCAATTCACTAGAAATGAGATATTCAAGTTGAATATACTTATTTCTTCCTGATTTCAAAAACTCAAGTACACATTTCAGTAAAAAGTGATTCAATTAACCAGATTATACCCAATATTTTAAAATGCTTTTCTAAAGATGCTCAAAGTGACACTGTAAACACATACATGCAAACAACTGATTATATTGTAAGTAATTTATATCTAAGTTCCTTATATTTCAGATCAGTTGTTTCTAATGCTTCTTCAACAATAGCTAATTTCCAGGCCTTTGCTTGCAAATTCACACTTGGCCTCAAGTAGGTTATAGATAACTGACAGAAACTAATTAGGATGACGTATTCACTGAGAATATAAGTCAACAGTATCTGTCGCACATAAATGATAGGATTTACAGTGTGTCTGGATTTAATTTGTGAAGACAGTGAAACTCCAACTCCCCATGGGCATGTGATTCTGCAGCACTGGTATTCTTTAAATGTGAAAAAACTTGCTGGATCAGCCCTTAGAAAGGCCTGATAACATATAAGAGCATATAAGGCCTAAATGTTGGATATACAGTGACTTTAGGCTTGTCTTTACTTGCTTTGCATCTACATTTTAAGGTGAGTATATGCGAGAGAAAGAAAAAAATCTGGAATTTTCAAGATTTAACTAACGTCTTGTCTTCTATGATACACCTGTTCTCCAATGATATATTTTGTCATCTTCTAACATTATTGAGGTGTTGAAAAGCAGAAGCAGGAGCCTCACCTGCTTATGATCATCAACTGAGTTGTGGCTGAGGGGCAAGGATTAGCCAGCTCCCTCTCATACTGTGCTTATGCTCCACCAGATTCCCTAGGCCAGCTCATACCTATTCTCCCCCCCCCACTTGATGCTAACTTTCTATTCTATTTCCTCTTTTTTTCCCTACAGCACACTTTGGATAATAGCATCTCAGCTCTCCCTTCAATCAAGTCTCTTATTCTTGTGCATCTTACCAGAAACAATAGACTATTCCAGAGCATGTTAGTGACTCTTCCCAATTTACTAAAGATGAGAATTTCAGTCAGCATGTACATGCACATTAAAATTATACTAGGCCTAGGGTATAAGGCAATCTGTAATTCTTTCTTTTTCTTTAGTATGTTGCTGTTATATCCCATGTTGCAGGAAAGGAGGAGGAGGGAGAAGAGGAAATTATGATAATCCAAAAGCTGTCTGACATACAAAGCCTCATAAAGGATTGGTTTATGTTTCTGACAGGATTGGCTACAGTACTTTTTATACTGACAGGCTTTTATAAGCAAATCTTTTTCAAGTCCCACCATTAATATATATCCGACATCAACAGAAAAAACATATGTTTGCATGGTGGGGAATAAAACTGCTGAAGTTAAGCCCCTCCCAATTATACTTCAGAAGTGGATTTAAAACCTATTCTTTTAATACAACCTCTTAAAGGAGTTAAAAAAAACTTGTCCTGTTTTTTTAAATGTTTGTATAGTAAGCTGATCAGAATAATTCAGAAGTGGGCAGAATATAAATTTGCTAAAGAAGAGGTATAAATAAATTCCCCATACTGATGAAGCTGTATAATATAACAATTATTTTACAGCAGAGTTGTGTTAAGTCAAAAAGTGTGCATATTAATCCTCATGATTACCAGTTACTGCAGAACATATTTTTCCCCACAATGGAATCTTACTGGATTTTATAATTATATACCATTCTTATTCAAAACATGAATATTTCAAAATTTTCTGACTAAGAAAATAAAAAGAACCATTTTAGTTCAGTTGGAAGGAAAAATTTCAAAATTACACAATGATATAAACTAAGATATTTTGCTTTTCTTAAGCCCCTAATTGTTCAGGATATATTTAAATATATGATGCAGTCTTGTCATTATTTTTGCCCAAAAAGTGACATATGTATATATTATTACACAGAAGATTCTTATGTTGAGGGCTGCTCTGCACAGCTTTGAATTAATACATATGTTTCTTTCAAATGAATGCAAAATGAATACCAATCACTGCAGCTTCAAAAACATTAACACTCATTCTGAAGGAAAGAATAATCTTACATCTTAAAAATTAAGGGGCAGTTTTTTGAATTAGCATGTCATGGAGAAAAGACACACTATGGCAGGTTTATAATCTAAACATGTGACTCAGAAAGTAATGATATAAATTTGATAAACAGCTGCTCACGAGTGGCTTGAAACATATTATTAGACCCATCACAAGAACCTCACTTGACACACCCACACCTGAAGCCCTTATAAGCAGAAGAAAACTGACACTGACATCTCCTAAACTCTGTTGAAGATGTTATCTAGGCCTGGTAACGAAACATTTAGAAATGAACCCACAAGCTCGGAGAAGCAACCTTCACCCTCAAAAGCATATTATTTAAGAGTGGCAAAAGGATGAAATGATAAAAAAACGTGTTGTATGGGACAAGATAGCAAAATCAAACTATACAGATTCTTTTAGAAGGCTAAACTCTGAACTTGAAAGGGGATGGATCACATTCAGAGGGATGCAATATTTATTTCTTATATGCACCTTGATTCAGAACTGGAAAATAGCCTGAAGGACAACTGAAAATCAGACATCAGAGATTTCAGCAACATAAATAAGGAATGAAGATTTAATTACACCTGCTGCTGTGAACAGATTGCATATAAACATAAAATTTGTATGGATAAATTTAGTGGAAATATGAGATTCATTTGTACAAAACTACAGTAAGTTAAAAAAGCACCATAGCTATATAAATGTATTAGAAATGAATATAACTATAGGTTTGTGTGTATTTACATTAGATGATTGTATACAGAATTATATTTGTTTATTGCAACATTAGACTTAATTTCATTTTAATGTATGCCAATTAGTGTACTTTTAAAGTGACAATAAAGTTATTGTAAGTCTACCTTATATTTTTTTTCTGTTGTTTTTTGAAAGAATTTAAAGTACGTGATGTGTATTTTTATTGTGTCTTTTTGTGCCTTTTTTATTTTTCTACTTCTATTTCAAACACCATTTTTTAATTACAAAATAATTTTATTTAAGGAAGGAAATTAAAATTAGTAGGAATGCTTTAGAAATGCCGGTCAGGGAAAGCAACAAAAGAAATTTGAAACGGAATGAAGCTTGCAAATTATGCGGTTGCAAAGAAACAATACTTGACTGGAAATATGGATAAAATTACATCTCATTGGAGCAATACAGTAACACAGAGATGCAAGATCCAAAACAGATGGTCACGACAGAAGAAAAAGAATCCTATAGGGATACAATAGAAGTATTCAAGATTACCATAGAACCTTACCTTCACCCGGAATCGAATCATGGCCAGACGTACACAATGCCCCAAGCAGGCAGGTGGAAGAAACCAGGCTCGGGGTGGCGGGGTACCTTTGTTACCCACATGCCCTGCAATTAGCTGAGCTGTCTGTCTCTCAGCCTGGGCTTTCCTGGCCCACTCAGGCAGCCTCTCCTTTCCAAGCCCTCCATTGAAGATGACAGCTAACTCCAGGCCACCTTGGTAGAGGCAAGCCTGTGAAAGGGCAGCCAGGTAACCCACCATGGCATTCCACTGGCCCCCACACACCCAGTCTGTCTGGTAGCCACCGTACAGACGCTGCAAAGCAGAGTCAGCATCCACCAGAAGCCGAGCTGGGCATGGCGCTGGGGGTGCCAACCCCCCTGCATGCTGGGAGTGTGGGTAGCCACCAACCATGGGTGCCAGCCCCGGCGCAGCCCCGGCAGGATGGGGATAGCCAGCTGGTGGGTGGAAGGTGGTACAGTAGGCAGGGCCCCCGCCTCCACGGCCCCCTACAGCCCGTGCCAGTTTCAGGAGGTCCACGGGCACCACTGCCCCTGGGCAACGCTTTTCCACGAACTCTTGGAAGCCTTGCACCCCCATGGCTGTGCACCGCGGCGGGGATACGGCCCACTTCCACTGGGGCAGGCAGGGAAGGCTGAGGGGCTGGCACCCCGAAACCAGGACCTGGCACAGTCCAAGCTGCTCCAGCTCCTGGGGCTTCGCTTCTTACAGTTCCCAGATCTCAGGAATGGATGCAACCGCCATGTTGTAGCTTTCTTCTTCTCCTCCTCCTCCTCCTCTTGCCTCCTCCCTTTCCTCAGTTTAGGCGGTAAGCTCACCGGGAGTTGTAGTTTTGTTTTTAACCCGCTATCTATTAGTCAGCACAGAGCGGGACTACAAGTCCCGAAAGAACGCAGGAGCCGCCATGTTGTAAAGTTTTCTTCGCGGTATCCTGGCGTCGCATAGATTTATGGGGCTTGTAGTCCCATTGAAGAAAAGAGTCCCCTGTCACAACGACATAAAGTGGTGGAAAAAGTAAATTAAAACTACAACTCCAGGCGTCCACCATTTTTTTTTTAAAGAACCCGTCTTCCGTGACGTTATACGGCCACATGCTAACTGCGGAAGTAAAAAAAAAAAAGATTCCAAACATGGCTTTGGAAATACTACAACTTCCAGCAATCTCCGCGCATTAACGTAAATCCGTCCCCCCCTTTTTTTTTTGTCTCTGCCACGTAGGTGCCCTCTACCGCCCCTGGGGAGCATGGCATAGTTCTACACTCGGGATGAGAGACACAGCCACCTAAGAAGGTAAAAGGAACGGCAAGCTGCGCCTCCGCCGTATTAGCATGGCGCTTGGCATGCCGGGAGATGTAGTCCGTCACCCCTTTCCCAGGGTTTCAGAAGGGTCGTCCCGGGCGCCATGTTGAAAGGAAGAGTGACATGGTTCTCAGCCCTCCTCTTTTTCGCGTCCTTTTTTCTTAAAAAGTCGCGGGGCCTACCGATCCTCCCACGCAGTCTTGCTTACTCGGACGTAAACCGCCCCCTTTTTTTCCCCCTCCCCTCCCAGAAGGTGGCGGACCGGCCTGGTTTTCATCAGCCTCACGCCGTCTGCCACGTTTTGTGAAGGCGGGAAAAGAAGCTGGCGCCACCTGGTCGCGCAGAGCAGAGCAAAAATAATAATAATAATCGCCGATACCAGCAGCGACCTCGAGTCAAGGCAGTTGTCGCTCCGCTCCGACCTCCAAAACCCTCGTCGCGGAAGGCCATTTGATCCGGCGGCACAACCAGCCACGTCTCCCCCCCCCCCTCCGTACCAGACGACCTTGGGAATGGATCTATTTCGCTTTAAAATGTTCCAGCGTATGAAACTGGCGCTGGAGTTTTCCTAAATAACAGCCGGTGTCAGAAGCAGCAGGATATGCGCTCTGGCTAAATGTGAATGTTTTAAACGCTTACACAGCTCCTTTGCTGTATTTTCATAATTATAGTAACCTTTTAATTATGAAGACCGCCCAAGAGTCCAGAGCTTTACCAGTAAATGAGAGAACGTTTTATTAGCCCACCAACCACACTATCAAAAACAGGGCAGAATTGCCAAGACCCAACAGTTATTGTAGATTGTTCTCATTAGTACACCTCATAGCTTCTGACTTCAATTTTACTTTAAATATGCCTGCTTCAATATATGTCGTCATGTTCCTCCAGCTTTTACACCATCCTTCACAATTGATTAGATTTTTATCCCACCTTTATTACTTTTTTATGAATAAGTCGTGAATACAATACTTCCTCTCCCCCCCCCATAACAACAACCCTTTAAGGTGGGTTGGGCTGAGAGTGACTTGCCCAAGGTCACCCAGTCGGAAGTAAATTCAAAGACTTCCTATCTGGTTTTCTTCTGGATTCCTTAACTTCACCAAGAATCTAGCCTGTGTTACTGGAATCCCATATTGTTTGGTTTGACTTAGCATGTAGCGCAAACTCAAGTCACTGGGGGATTGCAAACCATAACTGATTTGCGTGATGAGTGAAGCGTGTATGCATTTTATTACTGTTGTGTAACTAAATTCTAGAATAATAGCCATTTAAAAATCAGGAAACAAATGCAATGAAGGCTTTGCAGCACCTTAAAAACAATTTTGTAAGAATGGAGAATAGTCCTTGGCTGAACTACCACATTATCACCCACTAAGATTTCCTGGGTGATAGTGTGGTAGTTCAGCCAAGGACTAATCTTGCCTAGTTCATGTTGGCATGGTAAAAGTGGTGATAGGAAGATAACTTTTTGTTTTCTGTTTTTTGATGACAGTTTGTAAATTTGAAAAAATAACTACAATTACACCCTTAGAAAAGTATGATTTCTGCTGTAAACATGCATTTCAGAAACAGTAAATGTGTTTCCTATTTTAGCAATAAAGACTAGGCATTTTTTTTCCCAACACAGCCTTTATTTTCCTTTGTAACAGTTTAAAAAAATATTTGTTAATGGTTGTGTACAAATGAAGTCAACTCACAGCTTGCAAAAATAATTAAAAAAACACATGAAACAACTGCTGATAAAAGACATTCGTTTTCTACCATAAAGATTTAGGGCTATGTTTTTTTAAAAAAGTGAATGGGATGCCTCATCCATGTTATAATGAACAGGTCACCCACATTCTATGTTCAGTCAGAAACATCTCAGCTTTAATGCCAAGTTGATGGGTTGAAAATAAGTCCTATGATGTTACATTAAGATATAATTCACATAGAGACATAAGAAAATTCCTATTTCTGAAAGTGAAACATTGCCAACGTGTGTAAATCTAAGGAGACATTTATTCACAGGATATACCTGATCATATTGTCATACATTAGGCCCATATGCTCCTCAGTTATTTCTAGCAAAGAATGAGGGGAAAAAAACAAACAGGCCTCTCTTCAAATAGGTTACTTTTTTTAAATAGAGAAGTCCTTTGTTGTATTAGAATTTTTAGAACCACAGCACCTCCAATGTGACCACCAAACCAACTAGTAGGTGATACTGTGTGGCCTAAATTAACCATAACAATGGGCCACAAACATCATCCTGCTTTGGATGCTTTAAAAGGTGGAACAGAAGCTGATACCTGGAAGTAAATTAACTCCTCAGCAACTAGGAGCATAGCTGTTTGCTCTACTATCCAGCTGTTCATGTACGTAACTTCATGTATAACAGAACCTGGATGTATATTTCTACAACTCTCAAAGATACTATTTTTCTTCCCACTTGCTGTCCTCCTGCACTTACCATCTTTTGTCAATCAAAAAGAGAGAGAAAAAATAGCTTAATAAAATGCTGGACAGATAGCTTCAAGGGATCTGCTGAAGGTCTAAAAGGCAACAACACATTCAGACTTCCACAGAGTGCTTTGTAATTCATTGCCTATCACTGATGGCTGCTTAGTATTTGGTATGTGGATCATTTCACTACAGAAAAACTGTCTGCCATGTTGTAAAATATATGGTACTTGCTATATCTGTATTCCTGTGAGAACTGGCTTCCCAAACAATACTTTATTACTCTAGCAATCAAGGAAATAATGACATGAACAATTTAGGTAATGTGTCCTATGATATAATTATTGTAATGGAAGAAACAAAACTATTAAAAAGTGATTGTATTCTTCCAGCATGCTAAATGCCATAACCACTGCTAATTTAAATTGGCTCAGTTCCATTAACTTCAAGGAGACATTTGTATGAGCACAAAGAAGTTAGTTAAAAACATGTACGCTAAGACTGTTGTTCATTGCAGTTTAATTCTAAAGAAGCTAGTAGTAGAATCATAACATGTATATATTGGGAACAGCTGTACAAATGCAATATGGTATATGGTTCTGAGAGTTAATTATGCTGTTCAAAATTATCACAATTCTTTTTTTTAAAGGAAAATGATAAAAATTTCTTTGAACCCCTAAAGTAAGTTTGTCTTTCTACCCTTTAGCTGTATCAGCTTTGAAAGTGAAATGTTTAACTGGACTAATAAACTGAAAATTACTACTTAAATCAACTGGTTTATCTTGAAAATGTAGTCTGGAAACATGACTAGAATTTTTATAGGAATGTTTCTGAGTCTGAAAATTAAAAAGGAACATATGAGTTTATTGCCTGAATGTGGTTTCATGTTTTGACTCCCAAATTCACTGTGTAAAGTCTCTTTGCCAGTGAAAAAAATCTGATCCTTTGCACTTTGTGAAGACATGAATCCATGTTTGGTATTCTCCCTCTTACACATACTTACGCATACACACATACTTATGTGAGTCTTAATGTCAGCACAAATTGTAACAGTAAAGATGTATCAAGGATTGAACAGCAACCCATGTTTTTAGCATTAAATCTTACTTGAATCTAGGACTAATGTAAACAGAAAATACAATATGCTTAGCAGAAAGGAAGGATAAAAAGAATTTGTAGTGGAACTTTTTAGACTAAACCTACAGCCTGTATTGTCTCTTTCCCATTGATCCATCAACTTCAGTTAAGAGCTAATACCTAAGAAATTTGTCTACAATCCTTCCAAGCAATTGGCATGAGAAATTCTTTTCTAAAGAAAATCTTGTTTTTCCCACTTAGATGGTGGTACTTGGGTATTGGAAGACGGATGAGACAGTTGGTCACACTCCTTGCTAAATTGCTGTAACCGGTTGGAATATACCGGTAACTGGGAAAAAATGCATGGAGCTGTTCTTTCTATTCATCTGTCATTATGTTATACTGAAGTTGATGGATAAATTTGTGAAATCTTCTTTGTGAACATTAAACATCCTCCTTAAAACAGTAAACAGAATGAGCTCTTGTGCCAAGTTACAAAAAAAGGGAGGTGGGGGGGAAGGAAAAAGCATGTGTCAAAACACTGTATCCAATTTAAACAGACAGAAACAGTAGAATACATTGTTTATGCCATAGCCTAGATTTAAACAGCACTAACAAATGAGGTAGGTAGAAACATGAAATTTCAACAAAGAAAACGATTCAGATTGAACACTACTAAAAATTCACAAAAGTTATTAAAATTATACATTCCATTCATATCATACAAGCTCAGGCTCAAGCTTCACAGCAGAAAAGTGCCTTCCAAAACATCTCCCAAAACCAAATTCACAGTTTGATTTGTTTTAAAGAGGGTGCATGCTGCAAAGAGAAACAATGAAAAAGCAACAGGGAAGAGAAGAAAAACTGGGCAGTAAATGTTTCACATTAAATGCAGAGACTCAAAAATACATAAACATAGTACGTATGTTTCCTCCATTGCCGGTGCCTTTACATAGCTTCAAAGAAGGGGACAATCCAACTAGAAGAAATCCTGTTCCTCATCTTTTCCCCAAACCTAAAGATATAGTAATACTAATATTGCCTGGGTTTACGAAGTTTTTTATAGTGTTTCAAAAACCTATGAAATCAAAGCGTCTTGAGACTTTTTGGGGCAGAGTAATTTACTATCCACATCACAGTTAACACATTGGCCATGTCATATTCTCTGAACTCTAGCCACTGAAGACAGGAAGTAAACTTTATAAAAGGATGCCACTTCACATTTCTCCCCCCCTCCCCCCATAACACAATCTCATTATGCTTTTCCACTTGAAATGAAGAAACTCAGCACATAATCATGTTAAATTATGTGTTCTATATTGGTAAGGCTTTTGAAAATGATAAGCAGGGGAAAGTATGGATGTTGTTATCAGCGTCAACCACTTAGCATCTAATTCCAGCTTAAACTGAAATCACAGATATTGTTATCTGTGATACTGTGGTACTGTTTTGAATATATTTGGTGTCAAACAAGTTTTTTCATGAATACCACTTTCATTCTCTTTATCAGTAGAAACATAAGCCACATAAGGATTTCCCAACTTCTCAAGGCTTCAAAGAAAGCCTTCTCCTGTCAACTGTAAAACAGTGGATTCTTTGAGGGAATTCTAATTAAACCAAAAGGAAGAAAAGACTAAATGCAAGTTTTACTTAAGAGGCATTACCTTCACTCAACCCGTGCTACCCACATACAGAAAATAGGAATCAGGTCTGTTCTCATTGTTTGCAAAATGGGTATTCTGCCAAACTGCTTCTTAATTCCAATACCAAGTTATTTCTGAATTCTACCCAAGAAGGAAAGGGGCTATGTAAATCTCACAGTTAATCCGCATAAATTAAGGTTTATTTTCCCTTGCCTACTGTTGTTCAGTTGTACACTTTCCTGCTCTTAAAAAGTCCCAGGCTCCATACTTTAAATAGTATAAGCAGGATTTTAATTTTTTTTGTGTAGCCTAATTTGACCCAAATGAGGTATTTTTAGGGGTATTTTGTTTTGTTATAAATGAAGGGTTTTTTTTTTTTGCATAATAAAATAAAGCCTCATGTCTGTGCTACATGGCTACATTTTTCTAAATAAAGAAGCAATATATATTGTAATTCTCAACTGATACAAACTACATCAGATTATGGGTTATGCCAGTTCTACATGAAAATCGGGAATTGAATTAGAAACATCATGGGCAAGGCAAGAGGTGTACAATTTTTCTCTTCAAAATTGCTTTTTGCAAGTGGGAATACCCTGGTTTCAAAATTCCATCAAGAGAGAAGCAGCAAGGAGAGACTATTTTATGAAGTAGGGAAGGTAGAAATTCAGTGAATACACAGCACTTTAAACTGACCCTGTCCTCTACAGAAAATCAGCAGCAATGTAACCCTGATATTGCTATTGTTACACTGGTTTCCCTCCAATACTGAAGTACACTCTACAGTTTACTCAATAATCAGGATTGCACAAATGCACCAGTGTTACACCACATTTCCATAACAGAAACACAATTCGTATATTTGTGTGCCTGAGAGAGCTAAATGGGCCAAGGATCCTTAATATAGATAAATCAACCTTTAAGACTATCACGGGTACTTCCTAGCAGCTTGCATTTTTATGAACATTAAGTTACATAACAGCAAACTAGACTACAACATTTTATGCTTTCCTAACAAGTCAAAGTGAATTGCTGACAAAGGGTTTATTTTAATGACTTTAAAGCTGGGGGGAAAAAAAGATGGAAGCAAATGTCATGTGGTCAGCTGTCTGCTCACTTTGTGCCCTCCCCTTCCTTATGGAGCAGATTATAAAGGCACAGATAGGACTGTAGGAAGAGACATAATCATCTCTCAACTGCTCTATGAGTGGAAACTGTTTCTGCTCATGGAAATGCACCACTGATTTTCCCACAAATCATATGTATGTCTTTTAAAAAAATAACACTGTTTTTGCCTAAGTTCTTCAAACTGAAACTTTCTTTAAGGTATATATGATTTTACTGCTGCAAATCAGCAATGTACTTTTCAAGCATCAAAAGGCTATAACTATTTTTTTCAACTTTCCAGTAAAAATCTGAAAAGATACTAAGATTATCCATTACAAGGCACTGCAAATCTTTGCAGGCAGAACAAAGAGGCTGCATTAAATGGAAGCAGAATCTTTGTCCAGAATGCAGAGGGGAGAAATATAGTCTATAATGTATCACTAAGACTACAGATGATGTTTTATAAAACAAAAAACAAACAAACAAGTAACTGGTGTCTGAAACTGATTTAAATAAAACAATCTCCAGCAATTCAGATATTCCTGGCCACAGTACTATTAAACCAATGGTACATTAATTTCAGATTTAAACGTGGTCTTTTAGATAAAATTCAACTACTTGATGTTTTAATGAAATTAAGCCTCTTTCTATTGCTTGCTAAAAATATCAGGCAGCTGCAAAAATGGCAGCTATCTTATAATATCCAAAAGACAATAATTTAAGTCTGAATTCAAAATGGCAATTTTCATTCCAGATTAATGAAGGAGGAAAGTGAGCTAGATGTTATTTCAGCAAGTGCTTGAAAGACTTGCAACAAAGGAAGCAACCTCTGAGTGCGCATAAGAATACAATTTCCAACAAGAAAGGGATAAACTGATTATGTATTAGAGAAAACAAGAAATGTTAGCTCCAGTGAATTATGACTTCCCTCATAGTTCACAGCCAATTAAGTTAAACATGTACCATTAAACTAAGCTAATTCTCTATCAAGGTGAAATCATAACAGCAATCTTCACATGGCAGCTGAAACGCAGTTGATAGAATTAGTGATTATATATGATATATACCTCCAAGGGAGGATGCCTCTTTATTTAGCAAATTTTTATATCTTAAGGATTTTGAACTAGTAAATTTTTGACTTTTTTTGCATGACATCCAATTAGGAGCACTAGATGTAACTAAAAAACAGAAAGCCTGCCAAATGGGATTCCAACACCATATCCTTACTGCCATACATACATGTAGAATTTTCTTAATTTGTAAATGTAAAGATGGACTGCTTAATCTTGCACCTTGGCAATCAAATTCAGTAGACACTAAACCTTTAATGCTCTGAGAAACAACACTAGGCATCTAAACTAGGAGACTGTATTTCACTAATCTGCTGTAAGGCAATCCATTAAATGCAAAAACTATGTGCACTAGACCCTGTTTCAATTTATATTCTTTTTCCAACAACCAAAGAAATGTTGAATATGGATCACAAATGATGCGAAAATGACCAAGATGGGACAAGTTTAAAAAAAGGCCCACAATAGTCCCCCAGCCCTAGTTCCCACCCTTTCCAATGCTACCTCCTCCCCCCCACCCATTCCATAGTATAAGATTTGTATCAGCTGCAAAATAAGCTTTAAAAAAAACTCAGGATTCCCAACACAGGTACAATAAACCAGGCCAACATTCCAATGTATCTACGGAATACAGTGTGTGTAAGGACATCTAGTTGCATTCTACAAATAGTTCTGAATTGTCCAGGACAGCTTTCCCAAATCAAAGAGAAGGCAGCAACTGTATGCCTCTTCTTTCAGCAGTGCTTCACTTCCAAAAGTCCTATCTCTGGGACAGATGAAGGAAGAGTTTACAATAGAATTCAACTAAACAAACTACAATCATTTTTTAAAAAAATCCTTAGTTAGCCTGAAGTCTGAGCTGCCAATGAAACTAAATGGAAACATAACAATAATGCGAATATAAATGTCACTCTTCTCTGCTGATCCCTTCCATTCTGTAAATTAATTCAAATGCTAGTAAGTGTATAATCCAAGAAGAGTCACTATCAACTTCAAAAAACAGTTGTCACCAAAGCAAACAAGGGATATAGGGCAGGAATGACAGGGAAGGCTTATTAATAAGCAGCACATGGCATGCTGTCCATCTCAGGAACAAAGAGATGTACAGGCCAAAGCTCTCTCAAGTACTTAAAAAAATCCCTTAAAGAAAATGAAATCAAGTATTCAAAGAGGAGAATGCAAAGACAATCTCCTACCATTCCCACATCACTGCACTGGGGAATTCACCCCCAAATCCAGGCAGCAGAATGCAAGGCAGAGGAATGGAGTCATGAGAGATAGGCACAGTCCCCATATCTAGCATTCTTTTGCTATCCATCTTCATTTGGGACTTGGGGGAATGGGAGCTGGGTTTTGCACGGGTGATGCTGGAAATGCTGGCATGCTGATCCCTGGTTGAAAGGGTCCCACTGTCTGGGCAGGGACCACGACAGATTGTTGACTTGTCCCAGAAATGCCCATCCATTGCACTGGGTAAGTTGTTCCTGCGATGGTGTTATACTGGCACAAATGTGGTATTCCATATGGCGATAGTGTGCCAGAAAAGGGTGACAGGGGAAGTCCTTGGGGTAAAGCAGCTGGTACAGTCCCGCGGATCTGGGAAAGTGAGGAAATCCATGTGGAGGTGTAGCCCACAGTAGATGCTGTTGTCTTAAACACAAGGGAAAACAGAAACTATTTTAAATGCAAGGAAACATACTCAACAGCTGTCTGTGGCACATCTTTGTGATTTTAAATAGTGCAGTATCTGCTAACAGAAGAGCATGGAAGAGGACCAAAGATGCAGTGGAAGGTGCACACACTTGAACAAACATTACCACATAGTGGAGATTTTCACTTTCAGCTTCTAATATCCTATTAACACTATTTCCTTTCTAAGTACCTGCTCCCAGCTCACCGTTCCCAGAGCTATCCATAACATAAGGCTTTGTGCAACATCGCTCCTTTCCAATACCATTCATGTAGGGCACCTGGACTTTAAACAGAGACAATATACTCAGAAAAAAAAACATAATAATCTCTTACTGGTTGAGATCTATCCAGCAAATTACAGAAAACCGAAAAACCTGGTTGAATCAGAACTATTCCAGCATTTTTCCCCACAGGGATCTACCAGATTTTTTTGGAAAGTTGAAAGTCTTTTATGTCTTTTATGTCCCCCTGCCACTGAAGTATATTAGATGTGAAACTGTGAAGAATATATAGCCTTAGCAATCTAGGGGATATATAGGATTGAATTTATCAAATACATTTGATGACTCCAGAGTAAACTCTGGTGAAAAATAGCAAGCTAGTCTTAATGCTTAGAATGGATTGTCTGCCATTTATGAGGAAACTTCAGAAAATACAGATAGTGAAAATAGTTTAATAAGAGGGATATGTGAAGAATCTAAAAATACCCCATCAGGACAATGATTTTAGTTTACCTTAGAATGATCAGAGAAAAATTTTGAACCCTTTAGAATTAAATAGTAATGTGACCCAAGATTCACCTATCTATTAATAGAGTTTAGTTAAACAGACCACATTCAAAACAGTGTTGTAACTTTACATTGTGCTTCAAATCATTGAAGGAACATTCACCATTTTCCCTGGGAAAATGTATGTTTTCCATTTATTAACTGGTGGTACTTTGTATGTATCGACTCCAAACAATTTTTTTCTGTGCCTCTTGATCAATTTTGCACATTTATTTGAAGGTATTTGGAAGCTAAACAACTTGTTTCAGGTCATGCCACAAAATTTCACAAACTGGTTTGGCTGCTCTAAAACACTTATCATTCTATGGAAGATTTTACTTGTGAGTTCCTAATTGTAGTTATGAATGAAGTTCATCTACTATTATATGAAAATCAAATTACACTGTAGGTCATCAACAGTGCAAGTTTACACTGGGTATAGCCAATACTCTACCAGGCTCCTTTGAATTAGGGGAGGCTAATTGTGATTTCCAGATTTCCCTTTGAATGCAGCGGTTGAAAATTTGGGAAGTTACAAACCCAGCACATCTGGAAGGTACCAGATTTAAGAAAGTGAATCTAATACATCACAAATTCTAAACCTTGTATGTCACGGGTGTCAAAATCGCCATGTCACATTGCCATCATGTGATGTATTGCGACGTTTTTTCCTTTCGCCAGTTTGACACCCCTGTTATATGTAAAGACCTCTTACCTCATATACTTTGCTCCAGCTGTCAGTATCCAGCCGGTGCTTGTTCTGTTTGATTTGATTGAGGCTTGGCTTGATGAGGGAGTTTCCCACCTTTTCTTTAGTCCAGTCATCCACCAGTTTATGCAAATCATCCGTGAACATTCCTTTTTTACTGGCTGTTGTCTGCTGACAAGAGGCAGTGCTACTCACGATGCAGAGTTGTTCTAAGGAGGAGCAAGGGTATTTAGAGGGTATTTAACTCTTCAAGTAGTTGTATCAAAACATTGAACCTGGGTGACAAGCAATTTCTGAGTCTTGCAAAGCACTTCTTGCCCTATCTGTAGTCTGGAAAAGATCTTCCAGTATCATACTATCATCCAAAGAGATGGGGCTGAACACATTTGCCCTTTTTTAAATTTTATTTGGGGTGACAAGACTGGGTGGTTTTAAGGGAGGGAAGGAGAGCATTTAATCTTCTCAAACTCTTGCACTTCCATCCTTAAAACTTCCCCAAATCTCCCAAAGAAAGAGAATATCATACAAGCAAAAATCAGCCACTTTGCTAACCAATTTCAGCTACATAATATGTTATGATGAACTATAGGCAGACTCCTCCTACCTACGTATCCATTCTTGTTTAATCATTATGACCTATAGCCGTGATGGCGAACCTATGGCACACGTGCCAGAAGTGGCAAGCAGAGCCATCCCTCCGGGCACGCCAGCCATCGCCCGTTGCTCTTCTGGGTTCTGGCGTGTCAGAGTGCAGGAAACTGGAAGAGCAGCTCCCTGGTGCGCATGTGCGCACCGGGAAGCTGAGCTTCCAGTTTCCAGTGCGCGCATGCGTGCCAGAAACCAGAAGACCAGGTGACCAGCATGCATGCGTATGCCAGAAACCGGAAGCTCAGCTTCCCCACGTGCTCCTGCATGCTGGGGAACTATTCTTCTGGTTTCTGGCGCTCCTGCACGTGCGTGCCGGGGAGCTGCTCTTCCGGTTTCTGGTGCTCCCCCATGCGCACGCGCACACTCCCATTTCGGCATTCAGTGCCGAAAAGGTTCGCCAACACCGATCTATAGGCTGCCTCAGTCACAGTGGGAATTTTAAATAACTTACAAACTAGAAGAAGCAGAACAGAATATCTACTAAAATATGCAAATATCTGTGACATATTTCTATGTGAGGAGGCTGAGGGAAATGACAATAAGAAAGCAAGTATAGCATCTAAATTGCCCTTGAACATTTGCAAATACCTTGGTTAGTTTCTGCTTGTGAACAGCTTTGATGCAGCAAATGGGCTTGAATGCTCAACTGATAGTCAATCACAGAGGCAGCAGTGGTTGCACAACAGCATTCTGGGTGGCAGAGAAGGGAGAAACAAACAATCAGAGGCAACTAAAATAGCATATGTGGTAGGCTGGGTGTGGGGATGATAATGAAGGCATGGATTGCATTCAGAATCAATATGCCTAAATCTGTTTAGGAAAATTAGGTTGAAAACAGTTTTAGTTCATTGGAGGAAAAGGGCAGAAAGCCAGATGGCAAACGGGAAAGACTTAAAGAGTTTTGAGTTGGCAGACATAACCTTGACAAACAATATGAAATCCTAGAGATTCATCCACAGATTAGTAAATGCAACTTTTTTTTCTGAATTAGGAAATCCTTGGCCAATCCACAAAAAGGCCCCTAGCTTTGTGTATGGCTCCCACTTGCATTTCCTTACCAGCAGCAACAATGCCATTGTCGACATGAGAGTGAGATTGTGGCCGGCTGCGCAGCTTGCTTTTGAAAGATTTAGGCCGCCGTGGGGATGACAGTTGCAGGGAGAAGTCAGAGGATTCTGACCTGCTATCTTTGATGGAGCGAAGACGTTCATATAGCTCCTGCAACTCCCTGTTCTGTTGAGCTTGCAGGCTGACTACTTCCTGGATGTGCCTTCATGGAAACAGAGGAAAAGAAGAAAACCTTGGCAAGACGTAAGTTCTCAGTTACTCTTTCACCTCAATAGTCATCTCCCACTGGAAAGCAGGGAGCGTGAAACGATCTAGCTCAGGCCAATGGCCTCTTTACTCTCAGCTTGCTTGGGTTTCCTCAAGATGCGAGGGAGAGATGTTTCATGACATACTATTGCACGTGATGAGACCATCATCTGGAGACAGGAATGCTGGAGAAGGGATCCCAATCAGTGCTCTGACTTGCTCTGGGGAAACAGCACTTCTCCTCCCCTTTCCCACTATGATATTTTAAGAACCTTCATCAAATGCTGGAGGGGTTACAATTGGAAGGGAACATTTTTTTTATATGTGGAGGACTTGTGAAAGTGGTACCTTATTGGAGGCCAACATTCAAAGAGGTCAGAATAACAACTAAGCAAAAGTAGAAGGTATTCTAAAAATAGGGTTATTATAGGGGTGAAATGCTCCGTTTGGACTGGATCGCCTGATCCAGTAGCGATGGTGGCAGGTGGTTCGGAGAACCGGTAGCAAAAATCCCTGACCCCTCCCCCACTGCCCACCTGAGCTGCACGATCATCAGAGGCTTTTTAAAATTATTTTTAAAAGCATTTTTTCTACAACCTCATCGGCCGAAAAAATGCTTTTAAAAGTAAAAAAAAAAAAAAAGCCTCTGACGATCAGGCAACTCAGCTGGGATCATCAGAGACTTTTAAAAGCATTTTTTTTACAACCTCTTCGGCCGAAAAAATGCTTTTAAAAGTGTTAAAACAAAAACAAGTTAGCCACGCCCACTCAGTCACATTACGCCCCCCCAAGTCACGCCCACAGAACCAGTAGTAACAAATTTTACATTTCACCACTGGGTTATTACCTAGAACTGCTAGGTTGGCAGGTGCTGGGGCAAGAATGGGAGTTTACCTTGTCACATGGTACTTGGGTCTCAAAACTGTTGACCGGGAGGTTGGTAGTTTGAGACCCAAGTACTGCATGATGGGGGTGAGCTCCCGTTTTTGCCCATCTCCTGCCAACCAAGCAGTTCAAAAGCATGCATGCAAGTAGATAAATAGGTACCACTTTGGTGGGAAAGTAACAGCGTTCCATGCACCTCAGTGTATAGTCATGCTGGCCACATGACAACAGAAGCATTTTCAGACAATACTAACTCCCTTGGCTTGGAAATGGAGATGAGCACTATCCCCTAGAGTCAGCCATGAGTGGACAAGGGAACCGTTTACTTTTACCTTTTACCAGGGAGATAATTGTAAACTAAGCAGAAATATCCTTATTGTATTCTTACTCCTGGCTACAAAATTAAGAATGGCTTGAAACTGGAATTTTCTAGGCAACTTCTCAATGAATAACTGGTATGCAAAAGTATGCTCAGTTTCTCTTATGGAAAAACTGATAAAATTCAAACAATGACTTTTCAAAGGGATGAATCACATTTTTATCAGATCTGGAAATATTATATGTTATGCTCATAATAACTTTTCTGCCTCACAGAATATTATAAATCTAAGAATCCTTGTGTGTAATAAGCAAGTTGTATCTCCAAGTTATGGCACTTTCTGCAGTCTATCTGATGGAATACAAATGCCTCATAGTATTTCTTCTCTTAGCTCTGACAATGGATAAAGATAAGGTAAAGGTTTCCCCTGTCCAGTCGTGTCCAACTCTAGGGGGTGGTGCTCATCTCTGTTTCTTAGCCAAGGAAGCCAGCATTGCCTGAAGACACTTCTGTGGTCATGTGGCCATCATGCTACATGCCAAGGTGCATGGAACACTGTTACCTTCCCACCGAAGTACCTATTTATCTACTTGCATTTGCATGCTTTCAAACTGCTAGGTGGGCAGGAGCTGGGGCAAAACAGTGGGAGTTCACCCACTGCGTAGTGCTCGGATCTCGAACCTGGGCTGTCAGCTTTCCAGTTGACAAGCTCAGCATCTTTAAGCGCTGAGCCATCGTGCCCCCAGACAATGGATAGGAGTAGCCCACTGTGTGGTTTCAAAACCCAGGAGCTCCCTCTACTTTACCTGCTGCAAGGCATTTTTTGCAGAATAGTGCAAGAATAATGGAATTCCCTGGGAGAGAGAATGGATTGACTTTATATCTATGATCCATCCTGGTCACGAGTACTGGGCATCTTGTTGTGATTCCAGTGATGTTGAGAACTGGTTGTTCTTTTTGCTCTATTCTGTTCTTTTTTAAGCAGAGGATTTACTGTTCTGTTTTAACTAGAAAAATATAAGTTATAGAGCTAATGTGCCAGTGTAGTCATAGATTATTTCTTCCTTTGTAGTATTGAATGGTTCCAATTACATGCTGTAACCAGGAATGCAATACTGAACTCACTTAATTTATTAGATTGATGTAATCTTCTGATTTATTAAAAAGACATTTCCAGTTTGATTAAAATTATTTGTAAGAAATACTCTATGGCCAACACGCTCCCTCACAGAAAAGTAACTGTTGTTTCTTTCACACAGAAGGAAGTTATAATTCTAAAGACATACTTGCCTTGATGCACAGGTACCATTTTAAAATAGTTTTTCCTTTAAAATGTACTGATTCATTTATGCACAAACTTATGTAAATTCAGTTGTGTAATTGATGTATAACTTATGACTGACCATTAAAGGCAGACAGATCCATACTAACAGGTAACTAATAATAAATGATAATAGAGAACAAAAAGAATAATTTCAGACTAATAAAATAAAGTTTTGTCAGACAGAGTCTATCCCTGAAACAGAAACCACAAGTAATAGCTTAACAGAGCAAAAAATATAATTGTCCCATATCCCACTCTTTTCACAACCTAGTACGGGATGAGACACAATGCAAATCTTTATACTATAAGACTTAATCTTAGTGCTCTTACTTCTCCCGCAAACGCTGTAGTTCCAATTTCAGGTCCTCATCTTCAATTTCAGATTCATCATCACTACTCATTGGAGAAGATGCCGAGTAAAAAAGAGAACTACGCCTCTTTGGGTGGGTGCCACCCCTTTCCTCTTGAGACTGCTGGTTTGACTCCCAGCCTTCTAGGCTGCCACCACCCATGGGTGCAGAAAGTTCACTGTCAGAGCTAGGTTGCTTCTGGATCACATCACCTTTAGACCATGGCTCTGAACAGAACTGCACACTGCTTGCAGTAGCAGAGATCTCTTCTACTTCCTGTTGTTCAGAGGTGGTGCAACATGCATCTGTTTCACCCATGGCACTGGGCAAGATAGCCATTTCTGTTCCTCTGGGGCAGCCTTCTTCTGTTCCAAGCTCCAAGGAAGGAGACATCTCAGAGAGTTCACTTTCTGAAACACCTGAGGACAACTGTTGTGGAACTGTGATGACCTGAAGAGGGGGAAAAAAAGACAGAGAAGAAAGGAAGGTTTAATTCAGTTGAGTTCTATCAAAATGAAGCTTAAAATGAGCTGCTACACTATTGAAAAGAATTTGAAATTCACAGGGCATAAATAATATATGTATTTCATTATGCACATTTAAAGAGTTACTTGTCTTCAACTTTATGTTATTTAATCATCTGTCCCTTGGTAGGTGAAATTAAAAGGAACTAAGAACGACATGGCCCGTGTGACGGACCATGTCAACTCAGACTTGAACTACAATTATATAAACCACACCTGATTCTATAGCCAAAAAGCCATTCAAAAAAGAAAGAAAGAAAGAAAGAAAACTCAAAAGCCCAATTGGGCTTATTATCAGGGGATGTCTTATTTTGGGGAAAACAGGGTAAGGACCAGTTTCAAAGTCAAAATTTTCTTTGTCTGCAAAGCCAGCTGACAAAGACTTGGAGAAACTAAAACTCTAATTTCTAAAACAGTTTTAGGTAGAGTGAGATACAATCACTCATCCCCTTTTTCCTATCAAGATTTCAATAATTAGAAGCATCACAACACACGTATAAGAGGAGCAGAGCTTAAGGTATGATTACATTATCTTATTTTTGTCATTTGCCCTCCAAAGCCCATTGCAGATGATTTAGAACAAAGTATTAGCACTGATTGGGAAGGAGTTGCAGTTGAGAAGTAGATGTGTCAAAAGTCTAATTTATACTCCAATCATCTCCAAATAAAAGATAAGCAGTACCATGTATTTACATTGTAAAAAATCTCTGCTAAAGAGGCAAAAGAGCCATCATAGGTTATAAAGTACCATACAAGACAGAGATATAGTTGACCTGGCATAATATAAATAACTATACAGAATCCTATATAATAGGATCCTATATAATAGGATTATTATACAGATATATATATATATATATATATATATATATATATTCTGCTGTAACATATAACAATGTCCTTTTATCCTATTGTTATGGAATCATATCTACACTGTCAGACATGCCAAAACCAGCATCGCTGTCTTTGGTGACAACTGGATAAGCATATTTTATTTAAATTAAAAAAGACAAACTGAGGATTCATCTATCCTAAGGTATAAATGTATTATTCCCAAAATTTGTTCCCTCTACTTGAGGCTTCCCATTTTCTGATGGGCAATGCCAAAAATAGGAAAGTTCCACTCTGCAGTAGATTCAAATATTAACTATGATTTCATCTTCTTGACCCACTTTCTTCTTCTGTAAGCCCTTTTTTTAAAAAAAACAAAGATAACTGCTGTTCTTTTCCTAAACCCAATTAGATGCAATTCATTGCGCACGGGGGGGGGGGGGGGATAATTTAAATATTCCTGCATCCTGTGGCACTGATGAGAATCATCTCTTAACTGCAGCAATTAGGAGGGGGAAAAATCTCCCTTGGATGCAATGGGACCTTTTTCTAAGCCTAATTACCAAGCTAGGAAATTTTCTTCAAAATGGCAAATGAGAAGCAGTGCTAGAGAAAATGGGGGGAGGAAGCAGGGAGGGAGCAAGAAATACCAGAAAATATGAATAACGAATTGCAAGAAACAACCTTCAATAAAACATTTGCTGAATCCATGTTTATTAGAAATGATTGATTACTTTGCCTGGGTTGTACTTAAAACCAAGTCAGATTATGTTTTTTGGAGGTTCACTTTGTTTTTATTTTAGTCAATTGGTTCATAATGGATCCATAATACAGTAATGATATATACTTTTTTCAGACAACCCTGAATTTGAATTTGAAGTGCCCTGTTTTGAGCTTGAAACAATTATTTCAAGAAACAGTTTTACACTCAAAGAAACATCTCCAAATTTGAATCAATGTTTCATATGTAAGCTTGTAGCTTACAGCTACAAGTCTGTGTTACTATGTAAACCTGATCCAAATACCGCAACTCAAATTCTGTAGTAATACCGAAGAGCTAGCAATGAAACATGCATTAAATGATACTCATCTGCTTCTCATAATTAATACATCAAAAAACTATAAACCAGTTATCATCCGTTCAATAAAGCTATAACCAAAATCTGAGCTTCAATTATTCTACTTTTTGCCCAAGTGAAAGATAATGACTTAAAATATATACCACCTAGAACAGTGCCTCCCAACTTTAGCAATTTCCAAGTGTATGGTTTTCAATTCTCAGAATCGTCAAATATGAGCGTTGAAGTCAACACATTAGGAGGTAAACCAGTTGGGGACCTAACTCAATACCTCCAGTAATTATTACAGATATGCACTTGCTGAAAAGCCAACAAGAATTGTTGCAGAACATACATCCTTTATTCAACACATCAACAATAAATTATTTTTGATCCTCAACAATAAATCATTGTTAGATGGGACATATTTGAGTAGGAATGAATGAATTAAATTATATTTACCTGAAATCTGCCTCGCTGGAATGATCCAGCTCCAGATTTAGAATGACCAAATGCTTTATTCTCTCTGGTTGCTTGCTCAGAAAGAGAAATCCAGTCAGAAGCAACATCAGCAGTCATCTCCTCTGCTGTGATTTTTAAAAAAGGGGAAAAAAGCAGGTAGGGAGACAAACACAAAGGAAAAACAAAACAGGTCAGGTAAAACTGTGACCATGTGAACACTAACAAACAGTACTACATTATAAAATAAATTCTAGTATACATGTAGGCTTTTTTTTTTTAATATCCCAAGTCCTATGCTTCTATGTGGAATGAAAAAACTGGTTAATCAAACCGGAAAACAAAGTGGTGACAGATGAAATGTTACACAGGGATATATGGATTTGCAGGAAATGCCCAAATTTTTTTTTAAAAAAAGGAGGAAGAGGAGGAGGAAGAAAGAGAAACGTACTTAAAGAAATCAAAACAGATGTTACCTAGTCTAGATCCCTGACTGTAAGCACACTACCTTGCCGGACTTTTGATCTCTTGAAAAAGCTGGTCTGCCGTAGCCTGTATGCCCAGCTTTTTAATTTGCGAGTCCAGGATTTCTTGCTAATAGGGTTTTTGAGACTAGGGCAAGTAAAGCTTAGGCCAAAATATCCACCTCCTGCATGCAGGTGCACAGCTCCACCACTTGATTCTGAAGCAGGACAAGCCACAGGATTCTCAGGAAATGAAGCCTCCAAGGACATCTCCTGAACAAAACAAGGGGTGCAGGGAAGCAAGTAGAAAAGAAACAATATCTGAATAAGAGGATGAGGATACTTCACATACCACTTGAGCCTCAGATGCATTAAAGATTGCCTCCTTACTTAATGTTACATCAGCAAATCTCCAAACAAATCTGAATGTCCAATTCCTAAGAATCTTAATTGGTTAAGTGAAAAAAAAGAGGAATGCTTAAAAACCAATTTTAAAACCCATTTAATTCATGCATTAAATCAATTTCCTGTTTAATTTTACATATAAACAGATCTCTGCTCCCTATGATTTCCTGATTTCACACACAGATTTCTGTTCCCGTTCAAAAACCACACGTTACAAAATTGATGAATAGGGAAAAAACAAGTTAGAACCATCTGTGTAGAGTCAATGCTTACCTTTCATTTGCCAGGATCAATGAGGGAGGTGAGTTTATATAGGCATTCAGCAATATTCTGTATTTCTTTAGTAGGCAAAACAATTTTTAGCCCCTACCAACCTTGTCAATACTCACATGTCTGCAGAAATCCCTGGGAGCAGAGGTAATAACTCTGTCCTCTTGCTTCATCACTGGCAAGCTATCAGGATGACTTCCGGATGGAATGAGTGCAGCTTGGGGATCGGTCTCTTGGGGGGAATTAGTGTCTTGTGTTTCAGGTCCAGGGCAGGGAAAAGTATCTTCAGCAGATGAGGAAAATGGAGACTCCACTGCACTCTGTGTGTCTTTTTGGCTCTCAGGAGAAGTGCCTGACAAGCTGTGCTCCTGATACAGAAGTGTCCGCAGCTTTTCATCCAGAGTTTTGATGTTGTTGTCAACAAAATCAATCTTAGGGGGGCCCTCACTGTCTGATTCTAGAATGGATGTGGAGGGAATTCCTTCCTGACTCGGAGTCTGCGCCAAAGCAGCTGCTTGCTCAGCATTTATTACATGTTCTGCTTCCTCAGTGATCGAAGTCTGACAAGACATTGGTGTGGATTCAAAGGCTTCTGTGGACAAATTCAACTCATTCACAACAGATGCTGGATGAGGTACATATGAAGACAGGGGCGCTCCATTATACTGAGTCTCTGCTGGCAAAGGGTCCAGCCAAGCTTCTGAATCGTAAGTAGTAACATCAGTATTGTCACCTGTAGAGGCAGATGGTAATTTATCCGTGCTGCCTTCTGCTTCATGAGAAAGGGCTGAAAGTTCAGGTTCCAAAATTTGGGGTTCAGATATCACACTGTCACTTGTCAAATCCTCTGAACTGAAAGAAGGGCTAGACTTATGTTGGCTACTGAGATTGTCCACAGGTTGTGAACAATCTTTGGTTGTCTCTTCTTTTGTACTTTCCTTTATGCAATCTGTAACAAAACAAATGAACAATTGACAAAATACAAACTCAAAAAAAAAAAAAAAGATTATTAATAAAGCTTTAAAAATCTATCTCCATGTGGCTTACTACTGCCTCTTCTAAAATAGCAATAGCACTTAGACTTATATACTGCTTCATAGAGCTTCACAGCCCTCTCCAACCAGTTTCCAGAGTCAGCGTACTGCTCCCAACAAGTTATTTAAAGATTATTATAACCATGGGGGAGATGGTTTAAAAATTTCAGATGTCACTATTTTCAGACTTGCTTAGGAAATTAAGCCCTATGAATCTGAAACCGAAGATCCTCATCAGAATTGGAATCCTGGAGATATATTGAAAATCAAGATTCCCAGAATTGTCAGTTAGCACGGCTCATGACATTGCAGCACCAACATATTTAAGGGCACCAAGGTTGGGAAAGTCTGGGCAAAAAAATATATCACAGAAAGAGCCCAGAAACATTGAAATAATAAAAACTCGGTTTGAGGCAGGGGTGAAATCCAGCCGGTTCTATCAGGTCTCAGGTGAACCGGTAGCAACAGCTACGGGAGGCTCTGCCCACCCACACGGACGTCATGACGTCACTTTTTGTGACATTTTAAGCCTCTGCGCATGCACAGAAGGTTTTGCGCATGCGCAGATGACGGCATGTGCACATTGGCGAACTGATAGGGAAGGTAAGTAAATTTCACCCCTAGTTTGAGGTGATACAGTCTAGATTTTTTTTTCTTTTAAAATGTTTATTTTTAAGCTACGTCTTATTAAAATGTTTGATTAGAAATAGTAAAAAAAGAGCACAGTAAAAACTAAAAGGATGGGTTGGGGAGAGGAGGGAAAGAAAACAAGATTTTACGAACAATAACATTGAATGTCTGGGCAAATAAAGGTTGTTTTTTTACTTATTTTATTAAGATGGAAAGTTCATTGGTTTATTAAATATATGTTAAAATGTTAATTATTATAAGACAGTGATATATTTATTTCTTGCCCAACCCTAATGCCAATTAAATCACCAATTTTCTTCATCAGAGGTGATATGACACAAATTCAGTATTGAACTGAATATGGGTAAAGCTGATTATGCTAAATTCTCTATTAAAACATGAAGATTTGCTGCAGGTATTAAAGCTGATTTTATATAGTTTGTGCTGTCATTCTTTATGACTATCCATCACCATACTAATCTAAGAAAAAAATAAAGAAAAAAAATGGCAAAGTTAATTCTGTCACTATAATTATTGCGCATGAACCAATAAGGCCGCAAACAAATAAACAAACTATGTTTTTTAAGAGCGACTGAAAAGAATGGTAAAAAGTGTGAAATTTCCATAAAACATTCACACAAAATATGAACATAATCGCTTTAGCATAGTGTTAAGAAGCTGGGATCTCAAAGAACAAACAACCGCTATTAACTGGATTGGCTATCTCTAAAGTAATGAAGTATGTTCCTATGAAGAGATTCATAGGAATATATCTTCACAGGAAAATACTTTTATTACTATTTTCCCCCCCCCAAAATAATTTGCTTTCAAAATGGGAATGTGATCACATGGCAAATAAGGCTTTTTGTAAGTTTGTTTAATCTTCTGGGGGATGGGGCATGGTTTCAAATTCGGATTGCCTTCCTTTCAAGTAAATGCAGTAATATTGAAAAGGAAGAGATTCTCAAATGGTCTGCTATTCTTCACCACCATTCCCCTAATACTTTGCAATCTGAGCCACTCTCATTTAAGCAGAGTCCAGTTCCAAAATTATCCAGATATTATACTACCCCAAAAGAAAAATCTGACATTTTTTTTTCTAAACATGTATTCACCTGTTGTCTGACATCCTTGAATAGTTTTCATTGACTGTACTGGGGTATAAGATGGCTGGGTTTCTCTGTTCTTTATTGTTTGGTTGATGCAAAACCTCCAGCGGCCAACAGGGGATGACTGGGGAGCAGCATCACCTAAAAAGGAGAGAGAGAAGCAAACAGGGGAGATTACTTCATTGTTTAGATAATTACAAAAACAGCACTACTATGGCAAAAAAAGGAATCTTAGAAGTAAAAAGATACAACAATCAGTAGGGCTATCCAGAGATGTGGATTTGAAGGGGAAAAACTGATTTGCAATATGCATGGGCGCTCATGTCACACTTGTGGATAGCAGCACATGGAAAGAGTTTTATTTTTCCTGGATTTTCATGATTGCTGTTCCAAGAGCCTAAGAAAAGTTGTTTTATTTAAAGAGTTAAAAATGTCCAATGTATACATTGATGTACACTTTGAATAATTTCCCCCCCTCAAGCCTGGATCACTGTAATCCAACTAATTAGGATGCCTGTGATAATCCTTAATAGTAGGATTAAGATTAGGATTAGGGTTTAATAGACATAAGGGAACACTAAAGTGTGTACATCAGAGTAAATACTAATTCTGACACTGTAGACTTTCCTCCTTCATGGTTTTTTTAAACATTATTTAGATGCATTTTTAAATATGAAAGTAGTGTTCCTTTAGAAGCCACTAATGAAACATAAAAGCCTTTCTTTCCCCTTTCCTTTCTGTATAAATCAATTATTCAAAATTATCCATCTTCTGGCTGACAATACACACACATTTGTTTATTCATTGTTAATGTATTAATTAATTCAATTTAGAGACCATCTAACTTCGTAAGAAACTCATTCTGGGTAATTTACAACATTAACTGCAAGAAAACAATACAACAATGAAATCAAGTTGTGAATATCTGGAGGAGCAATCAGATAAAATTCTACAGACACTTGATACCACCCTACCCCAAAGCCTAAGTTCAAAGATGTTCATTAGTAAAAACAATGCTTCTCAGGCCATATTTCCACCATATTTATCATAAATTGCATACACATCTATGAAATTTGCATTATGTGACACACCTGTCCTTTCTTTGTCTTTATTAAATGTATTGGTACATGATATATTGATCCTGCTTCAATAGAACCATTCTGTATTAATTAATTTTATTCATTTGTACTATTATTTAATTTCAACTGAATCAATCAATAGCACTGCTGAAGTATCAGACAGTAACCATGATTTTAATTTTCATGGAACGAAGCTCAAATCAACAAAGGAAAAAAGATATCTAAAATGTAATCAATAAAATATTCAAATGATTAGTGAATTCAACAGATTTCCTTTTAATCCAGAGTTTTATTCTTTCTCAAGAGAAGGCTATCAGATACACATCTGGCTTGCACGACTTATTTCTATTTTATCAAAATTTACATTGTTTGTCTCATTAATCAATTAACCCAGAAAAAGATCCATAACTTTTACTCAAACCACAGATTGCAGGATTAGAATCCAAACAGCTGTATCAAGCTCCACCAAAGTTTAAACAAACTTATGATAAGAAAGACTTCTGCTTTATAAACACAACTAATTATCACTCAACTCAGTCTCCCCAGCTTGCTAATTCTAACTCCCAAAACGGCCAGCCAGCATAATAGCTGGAAATTCTGCAAGTTGTATCCTAGTATTTATTTAGTAGCTTTATTGGCCAGCTCAACCCAAAAGAACTATAGACATTGCTAAGCTCCACAGAAAACCAGGTTAGGACAAACTATAATGATGTTTGAATTATGGAACTTTGGATTATGGCCAGAATCATAAACATTCTGGTCCTCTGGGGACCTAAAAGACATGTATGTTAGAATTAAGTGAAATTACAAAATCAAAAAACAGATGCTTACTTTGAGAACAATAATAAAACTGTTATTGTTCTGTTAATGCAATTATTGAAACAAAATTATGAAATCAACCATGTTTGAAACGGACTGATTTTGTATCATATAAAGGATCACAATAAATAGTTCACCTAGACAATCCATAATCCATTGGGTCCTCGTTTCAGATATTTTATTAAAGAGACAACCAGAATGAGCAGGGGTGGACAAAAAAGCAGTGGGATTATCAGTGACTTTGGACTTCCTGTTGGCTTCTCCATTAAGTTTCCTTGAGGGAAACTGGCAAGGAATATTAGAATCAATCCTTCCTTCCTTCCTCCCTCACAATTTTTTTTCTTTCCTTCCTTGCTGTCTTCTGGATGTTAAAAATACAAACTAAATTGGCCAAAATGATCATTCCATGTTTGGACACAGCACCCTGTAGTAGCTGCGAGCAGGACATCATTGTCCTGGAGCAAGGTCTAGGAGAAACTATGATACAGGTCTTGCATGGTGCGAATTACCAGCAATGGCGATAATGCCAAACCTTAGTGTGTGCCAACTTTCACAGGAAAGTTGCCAAAAGGCTGGCGGTGCATTTTACTCAGCTGCTGGTATTGGCATAATGTTGGCATTATGACCCATTTTATGAGTAGTTCAGGCACATCATGGTCACGTACTTAAAATTCATGTCGTTGATAGCTTTGATAACCTCTTGAGATGCATAGTCCTGTGCAGGCCTGGGCCAATGTTAGAGGAGCCAACGGGGATTTGCAAGTGTGGAAATAAGTACTGCTAGCCATTTAAGATTAACCTTGCCCTGCCATCCATTTTTATCCTTAATGCATATGTAGTATTTAATGTCTTTTGCTGCTCTGGCATACATTTTCACTGGTTAATATAGGCAGTTCTCAACATATGGCCACAAGTGAACCTAAAATTTCTGTTGCTAAGTGAGACATTTGTTAAGTGAGTTTTACCCCATTTTATGACTTTTCTTGCCATGGTTGTTAAGTGAATTACTGCAGTTCTTAAGTTAGTAACACGTGGTTAAGTGAATCTGGCTTCCCCATTGATTTTGCTTGTCAAAAGGTTGCAAAAGGAGATCACATGACCCAGGGAACACTGCAACCGTCATAAATATGAGTCAGTTGCCAAGCATTTGAGTTTTGGTTACATGACCATAGAGATGCTGCAATGGTTGTAAGTGTGAAAAACAGTCGTAAATCCGTTTTTTCAATGCAGGGATAATCTTAAGGAGTTGGTAGTGAATACAATTTACATGTCTATGAGGCATAGCTTTTACCAAATGGGCTCCTAATATTTCTAAATTTTCTTAAAGGTCCACCAAGCAAACTCCAGAAATAATGCTAATTTAGCAACGCTCATTAGGAGCTCATTATTTACCATTCTTCAGCCTATGATAATGTCATTAAAATGTTTAGAATATTCCATTAAAATCAACAGGACTACTGCAGAGTCAACTATTGACTCTCTGCAGCAGTCCAGAGAATCAAAGGTAAACTATCATAAGGGGATTGAAAGGACAAAATGGAAAAGAGCTGAGAATAGACCTTTGTCAAAAATCCACTGTGTTCCATAGATTTATTTTTAAATAAGGATGGTTTTAGTCTTGTGAGTTTCAGAGTGTTGCTTTGGTCCTGCAGGGTTAAATGTTTTAAAATAGTTACTTACTGCCACTTTGAGTAGATGCTGGATTTATCTGAACTTGTTCAGAAGATCCTGTCTGAATTAAAAATGAATAGATAAATATAAAAAGGGAGTTTCCCAATATAAGTACACATCTTTCCAGAAAACTGGGATTACTAAAGAAGCTAAACTTACTTGGGAGTTGTTTGGATCAGAAGGAGCAGATTCCATGCCAGCGGCTCGTTCTTCAATAGGAAGACTAGAAATGATATCTTGAGCCTGGCAAACAATAGCTTTCAGTTCATCAACAAATTTATCCTTCTCATTTTCCAATACAAAATTATCTTCAACCTAGTAAGTGGGAAAGGGAAGGGGAGGGAGAAACAGGATAGAAGATATGGATACAAACCTTATTTTGCTCTTCAAATTCTGGCTATCACCCATTCCAATAGGCTGTAGAAAATTAGATCTCACTCATAAATATTCACATTCCAAATATTCAGAGTTATTACAAAACATGTTGAAAAGAACATTAATCTTGAAAAAGTATTCTAAAAAAACTTTCTTAAGCTTTATTTCCCAATAATTCTAATTTGTGTTCCTTTATGAATGCCAACTCTTCTCACATGATGCCAGTGTCCAGTTCTTCTATTATATTTTGTAGTAGTGGAAATACCTCAGTTTTTGAAATATTAATATTATCTGGCTTCATATCCAACTTTTTATTTTTACTTTTTTCTTACAAAGCAAAATATTAATCTCTGACATCATTGTTTTATTTTTACAAATATCTCTGGGCACCATTGGGGGGCTGGAATTATGGTAAGCAGCAACATCTATTTGTCTCCAGATGAATGCATGGTTTGTGATTAGCCTTGCCCACCAATGTTGCCCATTTTGTGAATATCCGGTAAGTGTTCTCAAAATTTCAAATGAACTCATTAATCGATCGATCATAGAACATACTTATTTTAAAGCAATACCCCTATACTATTTCCTCACAGTTGATGAGTAAGTTTGGTATAATAATTCTATAGTATGGTGTGAAGGATATAATTCTATGAATGGTCACCTGAAAGTACATCCCATGTGATGAAGTAGTTTCTAATAAAACAAATAAGGTCCATGATGTAAAGTTAGCTTTCAGATATGACATGTATATGCTTTCAAAATCTCCTCCTGCTAATTTAAATATAGACCACCTTCTGAAATGTTTTTCTAATATTTCTCTTCTCCTCCTGTCCCCTACTCCCAGGTAATATACTCCCAGAAATTCATGCCAGTAGGTCGCGGAACTTCGACTAATAGGATCCAGGAGAAAGGCTTTCGCTGCTGTAGCGCTGATGGGGAACAACTAGCCCACCCACACGGGATGAGGTTTGCCTCCACCCTCCTTCCGCCAAGGGCCTGAAGATCTGGCTTTGCCAGTTGGCTTGGAGACCCAGTGGGGGAGTACTTCAACTAGAGGTGGCTGCTAGACTAATTAACTGAGTTCATATTTCCTCCCTCAGTATTTCCTGCTCCTCCTTTTTTTAAAATTCATTTTTTGTAGTTTCCTTGTTTATTTTATTATTTCATTACTTAGCTATTTTTGTTTAATTTTTTTAAAAAAATCTCATTTTCACTGTTGTAAGCCCCCCCCCCCCCCGAATAACCCCATAGCAGGATGAGTGATGAATACATTTAACAAATAATAAAATATTTAGGACTAAAATATAGATTTCAACTTTCAGAGATTCCAAATGTGATGTTTCTAAAAGTAAAGTGCAGTCATATATTTCTATCCTTTATTCTCAGACATTCCTCGAACAGCCCTCAATCCTCTTCATTTTTATAGTCTTGCCCCAAAACCAGTATCAAAATTCATTCTCAAATAAATAAAATGTAGGCATATGAGCTGCAAAACTAAGATTTGGCTTTAGGAGGTTCTATATAACTTGTGAAATATCATGAAGAACTAGGGTACTTGCATTTGAACTATATAGCATCTAAATAATTTTTAAAAGTTTGAATGCCATTAGTAAGGAATTATCTACTTTGAAGCAAGGCATATGTAACTTGCCATGTAATCAGCTATGTCCTCTGGTGCATCTCCATCAACATCAAATTTAAATGTAACCATCTTGTTGTTATGCGTTTCAAGTTGGCACTCAACAGTATTGTCTCCAGATGTTGATACCTGATTGAACAGCAACAAAAAAAGACATTGGGCTATTAGACAGATGCAGAATACATTTTTTTTTCTGTCTTTAACATCTAGGGTAAGTTATACTTTGCCACCAGTTGCATAAAATCACACGACCAGTTCAACAAAGCACTATTATAATTGTCCTTACTATGGCAAGGCTCATCCTTTCCAATAATTTTTGTTTCAATGCATGTGTTACAGGTCACATACTGTATCATTGCAGGGAGAAAAGAATTAGGAATTATAGGAGACTGCTTCATCTTCAAATGATTGAAACGTTGTATCAGTAGAGCGAAACTAGCTGGTTCTGTTCTTTCTGCATCCTGCAATATAAATGTTCACACATATCTGAAATATTGCCTGTGAATTAGAAGAGATTGAGCCAAAGTACTGGTTCTTAACAGAAACAGAGAAAATAATTCTCCACCTTCAATAAGAATTAATGTGGTTTGTCTTGTTTTTGCTTAGCTATGGATGAACCCAAGCACTGTAGTTTACAAAATATGACTTATGTGTTAGTGTAAGGTACAAGCTCAGCCAATTGTGAGACAATTAAAATTGGTCACTGTTTCATAAGGTCAATATGTAGAACCCACTTTATTGAATGCATGGCAACATTAAATCACTGTTTTAACTGCAAGCAATAACCAGAATTGTAAAAATACTAGCAGTTAAGCTCAGATAAACAATCTTTTTATTGATGTTGTCACAAGATTTGAAGATATGCTCTTATGTAATCCTGTTCCTCTTCTACATCTTGTTCTCCAGGATCACGCAAGTAATTTGGGGCTAATGAATTATTTGTAATTTTGAAAGTGTATCTTGAGCACTGTCAGAAAATAGTGATTATAAAAGGATTTTGCCTACATATAAATTGGGCCCATAAAATGGCCAGTCATAAAACAATTACTCATCAGATAAGCTTACTTTCTACTTCTCCAAAGTTACCTTTGACTTCTATTCTAAGCACATTCCAAGCAAGGTACTAGGGTACAGTTGCTCACTGGTTTTTTAATTATTATTATTTATTAAGTATTCCTGTAACTGCTATGTGAAAGCCAGTGGCATTTTTCTCAAGAAAAGTGATGCTACTTGATGATGCTTTGCTTCACAGCATGCTAACTTCAGTAACTTCTTTGTTAAAAAAAATAAAGTCAGAGAAGGCAGGAAACCTGGCCAGTTATTTTGTTGTAATCCCCCATTTAACAGCCTCTAGTTTAAAAATATACAAACCTGCAGCACTGTGAGTTGAAATTTGGTTCCCTTCTCTGGTCGGGCACAGGAGGTCCTTCTCTGTTTGCTCTTGTCTTGTTTGCCATTTCCACATGGAAGGTCACAGCCAGTCACACCTTCCTTTGGAAGGTCCTGTACCAAGCTAAATAAAATAAAGGAATCAGAGACATTAGGAGACAGGCATATACTTACCTCCTAAACATTAGTAAATATAAAGGGTAATTTCCAATATACCAACAACTTAAATCAGAGCCAAAACAATAAATGCAGAAAAGATAAAATATAGACTATGGCAGGCACTACTTGTTCAGTAACTTAAAAATGATAAAAATGTCCCTCACTCCTCATGCTGAACACGTATATCTACTGAACTAAAATGCTTTTGACAAGGAAATAGTATAAATTATTATGTTTGAAAAACTGCCAAATTGCTTCTTTATTTGTATTATAAATCAGATTTTGTCCTCTTACTTCAAAGGTGGCAACTTTCTGAGCACACTCAGGGAATGTTCTTGCCAGTGCAAAAGAAGCTGGATCTAGCAATGTGGATCTGTTAGAAGCACTGATCCTATTCTACAGAAAAGTGTAATTGCTCTGAGATTAATCTAAATCATTCTTTTGGGGATACTTTGTACTTACAGCTTTAAAGAATATGCAATTTAAGTTAAAACTGGGTGAAACATATTGTCTTTAATCTATATTACTTTGAGTCACAAAGTCCTCATTGTAATAATTAATCAATAAGGTATAGGTCACAACTTTGGGATAGAGGGAGTGAGGACCATGTGAATGATGCCAAGGCTAAAACTATAGCCATACAATTTCACTCAAATATAAAACAAATTTGGGCATATCCTCACATCCTCCCGCTCTCTCACCACATTCCAACCTAGGGAACAGGAGAAATAGAGCTTTCTTCAATGGCAGTTTGTTATATTTCTGTGCTATGCTCTAACAAATGGACATGAGGGTAGATTGCACATAATATCTATATAGGACAGGGAAGACATAGCTATACGGATCTTTACAAATGCAATGTTGTACCTTGAGTTTTTCCCATTGCTGTTGAAATAGTATGTAGAAAACAATGTGGGCCTACTATACAGTAGGTAATTTTGCCATAGGGAGTCAGAGAAGTGGCCAAGTATTAAAACTGAATGATGCAGCAAAAAAACAGTGTTAAAGACACACACTCTTAAAAATACTTAATTTAAACTATTTCAGTAAAGAAAATCCACAAGTTTTTTTTTTAAAGATTTCATTTGATTAAAAGAACCACCTAAACATTTCATCTTTCTTCTCACATTCTTTGAGAACTGTTACCTTCTCAAGTCATCTTCTGTTTCTGGATACACTCACAGTCCTCTCAGTTCTTCACTTATGAATAAAGAATGTAGTTGTTCACCAAGTTTGGGCATAATATTCTAAGGTACCTTTTCCCCACTTAGGAGTCTCCAGTTTTGCTATATTGACTCTTGGATAATGTGAGCTGAAATCCAATCCCCTTTACTGTTGTGACAGCTAAGTGAATTAATCTTAGAGCAAACTCACCCTTGAGTAGACTCCTGTTTTTGAACTGCTGGCTGATGCTCATATTCATCTGATACTGAGATGGAAACCTGTGAGGAGAGAGGGGGTAAACTGATGTGTACCATTTGCTAATTTCCCCTGAATAGAATAAATCTTTTAGAAAAGAACTAACTCCAGAACAGGCAAATTGTTTATGTGTTTGATATAGCACACACTCATGCTTTACTAGCTAAGGTATCAAAGATAAACCAGCACAATATTTTACCTTGGAAGTTTTAACAAAGTATTGTGTTTGCTTTTTTCCTCTTAGCTATTTAAACTGTGATATTGTAGCCATTTTCTTATGATTATTTTAGTCTTCTGTAAATCATCATTTATTTATTTATTTATTATTTAAATTTTTATACCGCCCTTCTCCCGAAGGACTCAGGGCGGTGTACAGCCACAATAAAACAACATATCTCCACAAAATTTAAAAAACAGTTTAAAACATATTAAATAATTTGGCCCTTGTATTAAAAAACTAAAAACACCCAATTAAAATTCATTTTCTAAGCCAGCCCAGCCTGTTGAAACAATAGAGTCTTAAGGGCACGGCGAAAGGTTCATAGGTCAAGGATCATACGTATCTCTGGGGGCAATTCATTCCAGAGGGCAGGTACCCCCACAGAGAAGGCTCTCCCCCTGGGTGTCGCCAGTCGACATTGTTTGACCGATGGCACCCTGAGGAGTCCCTCTCTGTGGGAGCGTATTGGCCGGTGGGAGGTTATCGGTGGCAGAAGGCGATCTCGTACGTACCCAGGTCCTAAGCCATGGAGCGCTTTAAAGGTGGTAACCAACACCTTGAATTGCACCCGGAAGATGGAAGAATCATCTTTGTGACAAGATAAAGCATCTCTTCATTACTGTTATATTGGCACAGTGATGGTTAAATGATACTACAAGAGGCTACAAATCACTAATAAGGAAACAATTGTTTGTAACTTTCTCAGCTTTTACTGTACTTCATCCAGGTACAACTGATACTGCTGCCCTGACTTAGAGTCTTTGTTCTATTCAAAAATTAGATAGGAACTGCTCTCTAGTATGCAGGACTTTTTATGTGATTTTAGCCTTCAGATACATTAGACTAAAGGTTCTAACCAGAATAGTCCAACAAAAAAAAAATATGTAAAGCAACAGTACAACAGGCACATAGAAACATAATCCAAAGATTGCTACAGCTGGTGATTTATAATACAATGAAACCTCTTCTATATGTGTGTTATTTTTAAAGCTCATTAATAATCTAAGTGCTAAGAGAATTAAAAGGCTTCATGGGATTCAAGACTCAAGCCAGTCTTCTTTAAGGAACTTAAGGCATGAGATAGCAATTTTTGTGAAATTAAAACTTTAAGCTGGATCCAAGAAGATGGTGAACCGTATCATTAAGAAGACAGGATAACTGAGATGTGATACTTGTATACAATTTAAGTTACAGGGCAAAATGCCCAGGCAGCTAAAAAGAAAAGGACAGAGTCAGCAAGAAGAAGGAAAGAAAATTCTGAAGTAATGGTAGGTATTAGAAGTCATGTACCAGAGAAAAGAACCATGAAGTAGGGGAGGGGGCCACACACAAAAACAGCTGGAACTACATTATATGGGAGAGAATGATAAGAAAGACAAAATCATATACTGAGATAAACAATTGAGAACCATGATGGCACAGCAAATAGGATCAAATGCAATCAAGTAACATGTTGGCAGGGGCACAGAGTCAAAGAAAGGCATGGGAATGCTCACTTCCCCCCCTACACAGGCTCTTGGATTATACCTATTTTTTGATCTTTTAAATTCAGGAGAGCATGAAGTAACTCTTAAGAAAACCATGCCTGTCAATTTATCTTAAAACTTCACAATTAATGTTTGTGAAACAGATTAGAAATGTTCAAAGCTAATTAGCAAAATAGTTAACAAAAAGAGAGCCAAGTGGAACTTTTTCTTGTTTCTTGCCTCCAGAAATCGTGGGCGCTCCAACACTGGATGTTTTAAGAAAAGTCTAGAGAGTCAGTTATCTAAAATGGTATAGGTTCTCCTGCTTGAGCAGGGGGCTGGACTAGAAGACCTCCAAGGTCCCTTCCAGCTTGTTCTGTTCTGTTCTGTTCTGTTTTGTTCTGTTCTGTTCTGTTCTGCTCTATTAACTTTTTTTTTCTGGAAGAGTTTTTATCCAACACCAGTTCACAGAAAAGAAAATGACACATTTAGATGGTGGGGGAGGGGGGAGTTGGTAATGGTTCAGGGAGGCTATTAGACCACTGGATTCTCCATTCTTTATAATGAGTGTGCTTAAATAAAATCAGAATACATGGGGACATTTACAAAACTATAATTGTGGAAGCACTATTATTTTCCAAGTGTGGAGCTTCAGAGATGATCAACTTGTGCTTACTCTTAATTCCATCAAATTAACCAGTAACTGAACAACCTTTTGCACCCACCCTCATGTAACCATCATACTTGCAAACATTTGATAAATATCTTGTAACTTTCCCCACCTGAAAAAAATAAGATTAAAAAATAAGATAAATAAAATAAGATTTAGAGTATGTGTTTTTACCACTCCCTAGTAATATATTCATGTATTTGGTTGTTTGGCAAAAATTACAAACAAAAGACAACCAAAATTCCTTCCAAGAGATTAAAAGGTAGGGATGAGGGAAAACAACCCACCTTGCTTTTTTTTCCAAAAAAAGTCTCCAAAGTGATTGCTCCATAATAAATCTGCACTTAAGAGCCTATGACCATGGCAGCATAGGATATCAAGGAATAGGGGAGTTCTGTACAATTACATTCCTTTGTACATCTAGATTATTTGTATACAGATAGATAATTTTCTTATTAGAGAAATTAGCAAGTGGAAAGGTCTACTTCCAAATCACCATTATCCCTTTTCCCTTAATGCAAATGACTGTTAGTTAATGAAATAAAATTTGAAAGTGAAACATTAGGATTAAAAAACTTAAATGTTCTCTTATAATGAACATTTTCTCCTTTGCCCTCCTTCTTTGGGATTAGGTAGCTAAGAAAATGTTTTTTTTTGAGGGGGGGTAGATATAACAACTGGCATACCTGTAGAATGTCTTGTCCTTGATGATACTCTTGGTTTGGTTCATTCACAGCAGTAAATGCTGTTTGCTGGTTCAAAGAAGCTGCCATAGAATTCTTAAAAGGCATCTGCTCCTGGACAATCAATTCTGCAGTTAAAACTGAGTTCTGACATACTGGCTGCTGTTGAATATATGCTGGTTGTACTGGTGGAGGAATAAACTGTTGGTTATTGTCAATTGGTTGAAATGTCTGAGACTGCTGGAGGAGAGGAGCATGATTCAACAGTCCTGACACATCCAAAGATTGTTGCATTGTATAAGCTTGTTCTGACTGTTCTGATACAGAAGTTAAGGTCTGTAATGTATCAAGAGCAGACTGAGGGATTGTGGCTTTGTGCGGCTGAGTAATAGGCTGCTGGCTAAACTCCTGATAAGGAGGTTGTGATTGCATTTGTGGTGTGAAAGATGGCTGAGATGAGGCAAAAGGTGCCTGTGGCCCTGACTGTTGTCCTTCTGCAATTTTATGAGCCACATGTGGTGGGTGCAGCTGCTGGTGGCCCATGCCAGAATCTTGCTGGATAAGATATATTGTTGATTCAGGCAGATGTGGCTCAGAAGGGTAAGGATGGGTTTTTGTAGATTGTGTTGAACCGATCTGCAATTCCATGTTACCAGCATCTCCATCCTTCGACAGGTGTAATGACTGATCAGGTGAATGCACAGCAAAACTTGGTTGATCAGTATTCTGTACTGTTAAATGAGCTTGCTGAATCTCTGGAGGTTGAGCCATATATGTTGGTTGAGTTATATATGCTGCCTGCCCTTGATAAACATAAGCTGACTGGTCCAAAGAATGTCCTGAATATATTCCAGAAGCTGCATAAATCAATGGCTCTGGGCAAGGCGCCTGATTTGAACCCTGTGCTGCATAAGTGACATGCATCTGACATGCGGCTTGCTCTGGACCCTGCAGCTGGTTAGTTGGCTCTAGCTGGTGTTGCAGCTGCTCTGAAACTGGTGGATTGTGTGGGGATTGTGCTGGGTATATCATTTGTTCCTGGATTTGCAGCTGATACTGGGTCTGGATGGAATAAGCCACCTTTTCTGAAGATGAACCTGAGAATTCAGATTGCTGATGCTTTTCCATGTCTTGCTGAGAGACAGCTGGCAATGGATCTTTGGAATTAGAAGAGAGAACAAACTGCTCTTCTTTCTGCTGTTGTGGAGGCATGTGAAATAATGTATGTTGCATTACACAAGGATGCTGATTTGTGGAATGGTGTATCTGAGTCATTTGCTGCTCTTGTTGAGCCCCCAAAGTATCTAGGGATAATTCTGGGCACTGTGAGACCTGCTGCATCAGTGTCATTTGCTGTGGTACAGTAGAGACCTGATGAGCAGGTACAGTATGTTGAGATTGTGAAGTTGGCTGCCCACATGCCATCTGTTGGGAAACCAGCTGAGGTTGCTGCGAGGAGACCCCATGCTGTGTAACTTGCTGCATGGAGGCTACCTGGTGTGGAATCTGCAGAGATCCAATCTGCTGATTGGCAACTTGCTGAGATTGCAGCCCTGGTGCCATTTGCATTGATGTCCCCTGCTGGAGAACTTGCTGAGGAGCATGCTGGGATTGAGTCATAGATGCCACCTGTTGTGGAACTTGTGGGTGTCCTTGCTGTGGCTGCTGTATAGATATCATCTGCTGTGGAACTTGCTGTGGCTGCTGTATAGATGATGCTTGTTGTGCCTGAACAGTTGCCATTTGCTGTGACTGCTGCATGGTTGTTGCCTGTTGAGGAACCTGCTGTGGCTGTGGTGTGGATGTTACCTGCTGTGGAATATGAAGAACCTGCTGTGGCTGCTGTATGGGTGTCATCTGCTGCGGAATATGAAGAATATGTTGTGGCTGTTGTATGGAGGCCACCTGTTGAGGGCTTTGTTGTGGCTGCTGCATAGGTGTCACCGGTTGTGAAATAAGCTGTTGCTGTTGTATGGGTGTCACTTGGTGGGGAATATGGTGTGGCTGCTGTATGGATGCTGCTTGTTGAGATCCTTGTGGGTGCTGTATGGATGTCACCTGTTGGGGAATATGTTGTGGCTGCTGTATGGATGTCACCTGCTGAGGAACCTGCTGAGGAATATGCTGTAGTTGCTGTGTGGATGCTGCCTTTTGAGATATTTGTGGTTGCTGTATGGGTGCCACCTGCTGAGAAGCCTGCTGAGGAATGTGCTGTGGTTGCTGTATGGATACGGCCTGTTGAGATCCTTGTTGTGGTTGCTGTATAGGAGTCACCTGCTGCGGAACCTGTGGAGGGCTTTGTTGTTGCTGCTGTATGGGTGTCATCTGCTGAGGAATATGCTGTAGTTGCTGTATGGATGCTGCTTGCTGAGGACCTTGTTGTGGCTGCTGTATGGGTGTCACCTGTTGTGAAACGTGCTGAAAAATATGCTGTGGCTGTTGTATAGATGCCTCCTGTTGAGGACCTTGTTGTTGCTGCTGCTGCTGTACAGGTGTCATCTGTTGTGGAACTTGTTGAAGAATATGGTGTGGCTGCTGTATAGATGCTGCCTGTGGAGGGCCTTGTTGTGGTTGCTGTATGGCTGTCACTTGCTGTATAATGTGCTGCTGTTGCATGGGTGTCACCTGCTGCGGAACCTGTTGAGGTTGTTGCATGGCTGCTGCCTGTTGAGGACTTTGTTGTGATTGCTGTAAAGGTGTCACTTGCTGTTGAACTTGCTGAGGGATATGGTGTGGCTGCTGTATGGATGTCACTTGTTGTGGAACCTGCTGAGGAATAAGATGGGGCTGCTGTGTGGATGTTACTTGTTGAGGAACCTGCTGAGGAATAAGATGGGGCTGTTGTGTGGATGTTACTTGTTGAGGATTCTGCTGAGGCTGCTGCACTGATGCCACTTGTTGGAGAATTTGCTGAGGAACTTGTGGAGGCTGGTGTATGGATGCTGCCTGTTGGGAAATTTTCTGAGGCTGCTCTAGAATCTGCTGAGTAGAAGTTACATGTGGAACAGTTTGGCTTTGCTGTATAGATGTTGCTTGTTGAGGAACTTGCTGAGACTGCTGCATAGGTATCCCTTGCTGGTGAATTTGCTGTGGTTGCTGCAAGGACACCCCTTGTTGAGGTGGCTGCATAGATGGTACCTGCTGAGACTGCTGCATAGCCATTAGTTTCTGGGGAATCTGCTGCATAGCTGCAATTTGCTGAGAAACCTGCTGTGAAGACGATGTCACCTGTGGAACCATTTGCTGGCTTGGCTGCATAGATGCCACCTGCTGAGGAACTTGCTGTGGTTGCTGTGTCGATGGCACCTGCTGTGAAACTTGCTTGGGTTGTTGAATAAGTCTAACTCCTTGTGGAACTGATTGAAGAACTTGTATGTTGTTGACAAATTGAACCGAAGGCTGCCCATGTAGCACAGGGGACTGACTGGCAGATACCAAATTGGCAGGAGCAATCTCTAATTCCACCGATCCCACAGCAGCTGTAGCCTGACTACCAAGTCTAGCAGCAGAGGTTAACTGCATGCTTGTTGGCATGTGTTGATTCCCCACCTGTGAGGCAGGTATATTCTGAGGAGAAGTTATTGTCAACATCTGCTGAGGAACTCCCATGATGGATCCATCCAAAGCTTGACTTTCTGCACTGTAGGATACCTGTGAATCTGGAGGCTGGTAAAAAATAAACATATTTTAGATGTTGATAAAGTGATTGTTTTTGTATCAAGATTTTATCCTATAAAATGTTGTCAGAAAAATAATCTTTTAAGTATCATTTCACAGAGAACTTAGTATATGCATATTAGCAACATACAGAACATAATACGGAGGATAAAATGTTGCCATAAAAATAATCTTCTGGACATTATTTCAGACAGAACAGGTTATATAAAAAGCAGCAACATATAGAATGTACAAGTTAAAAATAACAGCTGTAAAATTCCATCACCTTAGCAACACTTATTCAATGTTTTGAAAGAATTACTTTAACTATAGGAACTGAACAATTGGCTGTGCTCTAAAAAGAAAAATGGAAATGCTGAAAGTTTTTCACATTTTTATGTTTGAGATGTCTGAGCCAAAACTGCTATTAGTGAATGTTAATCCCATCTGGCAATATGCATTGTAGTGAGACAGCAATCTCTATAGCATCCAGAAATACAACCCTTTTCACAAGTCTTTAGAAGCAATAGTGGAAAAGCTTTTAGGCACATAAATGTTCAGAGAAAAAAGGCAAGGAAATAATTAAGTTCTTCAGATCCTTTTTCACTGCCAGCTGCACTACCTGGAAGCATACTTTTATTTTAACAAACATACTTATTTACATATAATCTATAATTTGGTACTTGATGTGGGATTATATAAATTGATTAAGGTTTAACGGATGAAAATTAGGTTATTTTTATTTGGAATACACCGAGTGAATTAAGTATGACTTGACCAATATAAACAAGTCTCCCTAAAGTAGTCTTAAATCTGAATTGAATGCACATCTCAGTAATTCTTTGCCATTTCCAGCTTTAAATCTTAGAAGGGAAATACAAATCTCAAGATTCAAGATTATCTAAATAAATACAATCTGAACAGATGGTTGTTTCCCAAATAACTGTATAAGGTTTCTTAAATATCTATATTGGGAGTAATGTTTCATTATTATCTGATTATTTATTAAACTAGTTTTTGGCCAAAAAATTCTGGACAGCTATAACGTGAGTTATATGTTATAGAGTAACAAAGGATAAGTTTGCTGACAATTCCAGTTTAACCTACATTACTGGTAGTAAACAGTGTTCACCCTGCTTACCTTTGGAGCCCAGCAAAGTCATTTAGGAATTGCCAGCTGTTGATACACAGGACTATGAAGTATCAGAAAAAGGGTGCTTGAAAGAGTGGCAATCATTAGTGCCATGAAATGGATACTCAGATGTATTTGTTAATGAAGTTAGATCCCCATTTGGCTCAAGCCTCATTTTACAATGCAGAGATGCATAATTTAACTGGATAAAAATTATTATCATCAGATAATATACAAAAATAGCTGGGACATACAGGTAATGCTCAATTTATGAGTTTAATGGAGCCTGCCCATTATAGGTTTAACTCAAGATGGTTGTAAAGAAGGTCACCCACGTGATCAACCCAATTTTATGACCTTTTTGTGGCAGTTGTTAAGTCGTTTGCCGTAGGGCATTTCCCCCCCAAAATTGAAAGTAAACATTGGGTTTTGGCAAAAGTGTCATAAATCGTGGTCATGTAGCTACAAGATGCTGTAAACCATTGTAAATGCAGGCCTCTTTTTGAGAACCCAAAATGTGGTCATGTGACTGGAGAGCTTGGAACTTCAGAATGGGATAGTTAGTAGCTTTCCAGAGGTCTGTTCTAACTTTAAATGGTTGCAGCTGGTGGTAAGTTAAGACTTACCTGTAGTTACCCATTTTACCTCACACCTAAGCATTTTTTCCCGAATCCTAATTTTATAATTTCATTTTCTTTGTTCTTCCCATCAGGGTTTTAGACATTATTTACTTCCAGGAGAATAATTCTGGAACTACAGCTTGGAGTTTTCGCAGAGGAAAAAAAGGGAGAACTAAATATGACCTTCACCCTGCTACTACAAACTGCCACTTATTGAGAAATGCCATCAGGCAAAACATACACATGAAATGGTACTATGTAGCTTGGTTTTAAATGAGAAGCAATAATCCACTACAGGTAGTCCTCAATTTACAACCGTTCATTTAGTGACCATTCAAAGTTACAACAGCATTGAAAAAAGTGACTTATGACCATTTTTCACACTTATGACCATTGTAGCAGTCACATGATCAAAATTCATACATTTGGCAACTAATTCATACTTATGATAGTTCAGTGTCCTGGGGTCACATAGTCCTTTTTTGCGACCTTCTAACCAGCAAAGTCAATGGGGAAGCCAGATTCACTCAACAACCAGTTACTAACTGAACAACAACTGTGATTCACTTAACAACTGTGACAAGAAAAATCATACAACGGGTCAAAATTCACTTAACAAATGTCTCAGCAACAGAAATTTTGGACTCAATTGTGGTTGTAAGTTGAGGACTACCTGTATTTCCTTCAATGATTGCTTCCATTTTATGAATGCTTCCCCCTTTTTAATTTAGATGGTTAAAATAAACTCATGGGACACATTTAGTGATGCTTTGAAAAATCTGCTAGGTAATGCAGTTTATTAGTGAAAAACCTTACCATCCTTGATGGGAATTGTTGAGCTGCAAGAGGAGAGGTTTGGGCTTGGAGAGTTGCAGGAGGTGCCAAATTGTGAGTAGGTAGACCAGAAGGCTGAGTCTGGATTAATGGTAAAACACCAGGGTGAGCCATATTTGTTGGCAACGCTGGCTGCACCTGTATAAAGAATAATTAACAGACTTCACTTAGAAAAACAAAACAATTGTCTATGCTTCAGTTCCCCTGGTCTCATCTGCCCTATTTGTAGCCTTTTCTTACACATTCCCTAGGGAAAACAAGATATCTTCCTAAGATGCAGAATTAATAACCAAAATATGTTCTTGGGCCTTTCTTTTTTTAGAACATTTACATAACCACCCATTTGTACCCAAGTCCAGGCAGCCAATAGATTTTTAAAAATCTATTTACAATAAAAAATTAAAATGCAGCGAAGAGGGGGTTGAGGGGTTTTTTATGTAAATTTTTAGCGAAATTTTTAAGGGGTTCCGGGGGGGAGGGTTGGTTTAGAACTAGGGTTGTGGGTGTGGGGGATAACCCACCGAGGAGGGGGCCTGGTCCGGCTGAGGGGCGCGGCATAGGGGGTGTGGGACTCGGGATCAAGGAGGGGGTTAGAGCTTGTTCCGATGATGGACTTTCCATCAGTACTGTGGGTGGGAGGGGCAGATATGGCGGGAACAGGGGGGCATATCGTGTTGTGGGAGCGCTCGCTCGCTGTCTTTGAGCGGTGGCGCGCTCCGGCCCCCAATGTTCTACTCGTTCCCCGGGCTGCACAGATCTTCAGGGCCTGGGCCTTCGGCTGATGTTATGCAACGCCAGGCCCGTGTTAAATAAAGCCCCCCTCATTTGTGATCTTGTTCAGGAGGAGGGAGCGGACCTGGCGGGTATTACAGAGACCTGGTTGGGCCAGGAGAGGGGGGGGTCCCCCTCATTGAAATGTGCCCACCCGGTTTTCGCGCATTTCATTAGCCAAGGTCACGGGGGGGGGTGGCGGTTGTCATTAAAGAAGGTCTTGGGTCGAGGGAGGCCACTGTTCCTCAGACAGCCAGATGTGAGTCCCTCCTTGTGAAGTGGGGTCATGGGGTCCAGATGGGCTTGCTGATCACGTACCTGGCTCCCTGCCACGTGGCGGCGGCCCTGCCTGAGCTGCTCAACATTATAGCCACGGTGGCGGTTGATACCCCCAGGCTTATGGTCATGGGGGATTTCAACTTGCCATCCATCGGTGAGGCGTCTGAGGCGGCTCGGGAGTTCATGGCTTCCATGACGGCTATGGACCTGACCCAGTTAGTTCATGGCCCTACTCACACAGGGGGGGAACACGCTGGACCTGATTTTTGTCTCTGGTCAGTGGTTGAGTGATCTTGAGATAGGGGATATAGCGATTGAGCCCTTGTCATGGTCGGACCACTCCCTTCTTCGCTTTGACCTTCGAACTGTCACACCCCGCCGCAGGGAGGCGGAACCAATGAGGTGGTTCCGCCCCAGGCGCCTGATGGAGCCTGATAGGTTCCAGACAGAGCTTGGGTCATTCCCTGAGGTTCTGGCTCACGCCTCGACTGAGGACCTAGTGGCCACCTAGGATAGGGTGGCCCAGGATAGGGGAGAGCAGTTGGAGGGCCAGCCTTTCTGAATCCGATCAAACACTGGTAAGGTCTCATATTAAGACTTACCTAGTGGCGATAAAAGCGGCAAAATGTAACTATTTTGCTGCTCTTATTGCGTCATCAGATAATCGCCCGGCCGCCCTGTTTAGGGTGACCCGCTCCCTGCTCCACCAGGGAGCGCGGGAGGACCCCTTGGAGGGTAGGGCCGAGGACTTTGTGCAGTATCTATATGACAAAATCGCTCAGATTCGGGAAGACTTGGATTCTGACTGGGTAGATTCAGGAGGGATGGCGGAGGCAGGTCTTGAGAATGTTATCTGGGAAGAGTTTGACCCTGTGACTCCCGAAGACGTGGACAGGATTCTGGGTAGACTGAACAGAGCCACATGTTTATTGGACCCGTGTCCCTCCTGGTTGGTGCTGGCTTCTCGGGTGGTGACACGAGGCTGGCTCCAGGGGATTATAAATGCTTCACTGAGTGAGGGTGACTTTCCCACCGCCTTGAAAGAGGCGGTGGTGAGGCCTCTCCTCAAGCCTTCCCTGGACCCCGCAGTGTAAGCAAACTATCGTCCAGTCTCCAACCTTCGCTTTGTGGCGAAAGTTGTTGAGAGTGTAGTTGCGCAACAGCTTTCCCAGTACCTGGATGAAACGGTTTATCTGGATCCGTTCCAGTCGGGCTTCAGGCCTGGGTACAGCACGGAAACGGCATTGGTCGCTTTGGTTGATGATCTCTGGAGGGCTCGGGACAGGGGTTGCTCCTCTGTCCTGGTCCTATTAGATCTCTCAGCGGCTTTTGATACCATCGACCATGGTATCATGCTGCACCGGTTGGAAGAGTTGGGGGTGGGGGGCACTGTGTTACAGTGGTTCTCCTCCTTTCTCTCTGACCGGTCGCAGTCTGTGTTGGCAGGGGGGCAGAGGTCGACCCCGAGGCGCCTTATATGTGGGGTGCCACAGGGGTCGGTCATCTCACCCCTTCTGTTCAACATTTATGTGAAGCTACTGGGTGAGATCATCTGTGGTTTCGGGGTGAAGTACCATCAGTACGCTGATGACACTCAGCTGTACATCTCCACCCAGGACCACCCCAATGATGCCCTTGAAGTGATGTCCCAGTGCCTGGAGGCCGTGCGGATCTGGATGGGGAGAAACAGACTCAGGCTCAACCCATCCAAGACCAAGTGGCTGTGGTTTCCGGCGTCCCGATATAGTCAGTTGGTGCCATCACTGACTATTGGGGGCAAGTCGTTGGCCCCCACGGAGAGGGCTCGCAACTTGGATGTCCTCCTGGATTCACGGCTGTCTTTAGAAGAGCATTTGACGGCTGTGGCCGGGAGGATTTTTTATCAGGTTCGCCTGATCCACCAGTTGCGTCCCTTTCTGGATTGGGACTCCTTACGCACGGTCACTCATGCTCTCATCACTTCCCACCTGGACTACTCTAATGCTCTCTACATGGGGCGAAGGTTGTTGAGAGTGTGGTTGCACGACAACTCGAGGAGCACCCGGAGGCTCCAACTGGTGCAGAGTGCGGCCACGCGGGTGGTTATGGGAGTGACGTGGGGTTCCCATGTAACACCTCTCCTGCACGAGCTGCACTGGCTCCCGGTGGTCTTCTGGGTGCGCTTCAAGGTTTTGGTTACCACCTTTAAAGCGCTCCATGGCTTAGGACCCAGGTACTTATGGGACCGCCTGCTGCCACCAGTAGCCTCTCACCGGCCAGTACGCTCTCATAGAGAGGGGCTCCTCAGGTGCCGTCGGCCAAACAGTGTCGACTGGCGGCCCCCAGGGGAAGAGCCTTCTCTGTGGGGGCATCTGCTATCTGGAATGAGCTCCCCCCGGAGATATGGAGGATCCCGGATTTACGCACCTTCCGCCGTGCCCTCAAGACCTTTTTATTCCAACAGGCTGGCCTGGCCTAACCTCTTTTTAATTTGTCTAAAACTTTAGGGGTGTTTTAGTCTGTTCCGGGCCAAATTTATTTAATTAGGTTTTTATACTGTTTTTAAATTTTGTAATCTGTGTGTTTTATCTCTTGGCTGTTCACCGCCCTGAGTCCTTCGGAAGTAGGGCGGTATATAAATCTAATAAAATAAAAATAAAATAAATAAAATAAAATAAAAAAACCATAGATATTTTTTTAAAAAAACAATTTGACACCATCGTTACATTTTGACATGAAGCCCACAACTAATTCATCTCATCGGTCTCACCCTATGCCAGCACTTGAGGGGAAAAGCTAGGTCTTAAATGCTGTTTGGAAAGTTAAAAGAATGGGGTGGTGGGGTTTATCAGGGGGAAGGCAGGAACTGTCAGGAAAAGGCACGTTTCCTAAATACCGTAAGATGGCAATATTTAAGGGAGGGGACTAGGAGTGTACCCACCCTGTTCTGGTATGGACAGATGTCCTTAGGGAGAGCAATCCTGCAGATAACCTAGTCCTGTGCCATAATAGAGTTTTAAAGGTAATAATCATTTCCTTGAATTGCACTTGGAAAGAAACTGGGAGATACTTGCACAATAGGGTATAATGTGGGTAAAACTAGGGGGGCCTATCACTGCACATCCCATTACATTCAAGGGCAACCCTACGTAAAATGCATTGCAGTAATCCAAATGGGAAGTGATTGAGGCATGAGGGACCATGAACAAGGCCTCTAGTCCAGGAAAGGGTGAAATCAGTTCACAAGATGAATCTGTGCAAAAGTCCCCCTCTACTCAAAGCTACCAGCTTTATTCCTTTCCTGGAGCCCAAAAAAATTTATACTGAAACACCATACATGTCTCTATGGGATAATGTCAGGCATGAAAGATGAGAACCACACATAAAGTTCCAATTAGACTGATTTATTGTTCATGCCTATGTTAGGAATCTACTGGACTAAAGATTTTGTGCTAGATAAGGGTTGGCAGAATTCGGGGTGGGGGGAGAATTAGTCTGTTTGTGGCTACATGGAGATTCCTCTTTTGACTCCATCCCCAGGTTCTGCCACCTTCTCCTATAGGTAAAGACACTTTCTTAATACAACAATCATAATTACTATGTTTTAAAGAATACAATAAGCCTCTTACCCCTGCATTGGACTGATAATGCCCCATCATCTGTTGAGAAGTATATATATGCCCTTGAACACTGTTTTCAGTTTGTGAGAGATTGGGGACTTGTTGAGTGCCCATCATGTGTTCCGTGGAAAATGCCAGATTATGTTGGCTAGAGGCATCTGATAGTATAACTGATCCTGCTCCTGCCTCAGACAAGTTGTCAGCTGTGCCAGTGTGAAAAGAAAGAAAAGGCAGAATGTTCATTCTTTCAGAATAAATCAAAACCACTTCCCTTCCTTCTGCCTCATTCAGGCAAACACTTGGGTTGTCAGGAAATGCAGTTTTATGTATGGATGGAATATTTACTTCAGAAAGAATACAACAAAATGAAAGCTTCTCCCTAGGAAAAGAAAACAAGGAATAGCCAAATCTTTCTTTTAAAAATTGCCACAATTGTCACAAGTGATACACTGTCACAATTTAAACCAATCTGTTTAAATAAGTGCAGTATCAAAAACTGTGTTATATTTATTTAACAGTGACCAAAGCCATCTCTATGACACATGCAAGTCAAAATTCAGGCTCAAGATGACCCATTATATCTAAATCTTCAGAGGCTTTAATGCAGGGGTGAAATCTAAAAATTTTTGCTACCGGTTCTGTGGGCATGGCTTAATTAGTGGGCGGGGCTTGGTGGTAAGGTGACTGGGAGGGCGTGGCTTGTTGGTCAGGTGGGCATGGCCAAGTCAATGTCACTTCTTTACCCTTTTTTAACCTACAAAACACAACACAACAGGCTCTCCCACAATATAAAAGCAACTATGCTAGACCCAAAATCGCCCCTGCAACAAGCAGGAATCTCACACAGCCACAAAAAGCCAAAAAACCAACTTTCACACTTTACACACAAACAACACAACACAACACAACTGGCTCACCCACAATGTAAAAGCAGCTGTGCTAGACCCAAAATGGCCCCTGCAACAAGCAGGAACCTCACACAGCCACAAAAAGCCAAAAAAACCAACTTTCACACTTTACACACACAAAATTCCACATACAGCTTTGTGAGATTTTGTGTGATTGTGTAGTTAGTGAAACACTACAGAAACACACTAAATCTCAGAAAGCTGCACAAATATTATTTTATTTTAATTTATTTTTATATAAAAGCAGCTAAATTTAAAACTTCCTAAACTTTAAATGGCTAGGTCTAAAAAAAGAACAACTAAAAAAAACCCCAATTAACTATTTTTTTTAAAGCTCCCAAAAGGGAAAAAACTTACCCAATTGAACAGGGGTCTCCAACCTTGGCAACTTTAAGACTTGTAGACTTCAACTCCCAGAATTCCTCAGCCAGCTTTGCTTTGTTGGCTGAGGAATTCTGGGAGTTGAAGTCCACAACTCCCTGCCTGCTTGATTGCAGGCAGGGAGATTCAGTTGCTTGCTGATGCAATGGATGCAGGGATTACAGCAAGGTGTTGCGACCAGCAGCTAAGGTAAGCAAGCTGAGGGGGGGAGGGGGAGGGATTTTTGCTACCGATCAGCAGGCAGAGCCATTTAAAAGGAAAAGAGTTTTTTTTCTTTTACATGGCTCTGGCGATCCAAGCTGAGTTGCCTGATTAGCAGGCAACTCAGCTGGGATCGTCAGAGCTTCGCTGGTCAGAGCCATTTAAAAGAAAAAAAAAAGGCTCTGATGATCGTGCGGCTCAGCTGGGCATGGGGGGGGCGGGGGCAGGGATTTTTGCTACCGGTTCTCCGAACTGCCCGCCGCCATCGCTACCTACTCGCCCGAGCCGGTCTGAACTGGGAGCATTTCACCCCTGCTTTAATGCCTTCTCTACTAGGCTGGCTAGATATGGAATACTGGATACTGGCTCATAGTTGTTAAAATCAGCAATGTCTAATAAAAGCTTCTTAAGTAGTTGCTTCATCATCCTTTTTTAAACAATCTAAAAGATCATGGCAGGACAGAATCCTTAAAAACCCTTAGAAGCCAAGCTAGGAAGGGATCAAACAAGTAACAGTACAAATTGAACTGAGGATTCAGTTATTTATAAGGGATCAAGCAACAAAATTGATAATGTTACAGAAGAATTCTAGGTATGACACTGCCTAAAATGAAAGAAAACCCAACTCAAATCTGAAACGTGTTGTTCAGAAAGTACTGTGTAAACTGCTCAATACTTTCTGAATAACACATTTCAGATTTGTGTTGTGTAAATGGCTCACAGTAGCTATCAGATTGTATGAGAACAATGGCCACAGTTATCGGTAGTTGGACTATCAGAGTTCTCTTGGATTATTGATTCCATGGATGTAATCAAGTGGAAAATAAATTACTACTTTTATCCGCCTAACTGCCGTGACATAGGCTCTATAAATAAGCATGCATTTTATCCAGATGGGTTCATTTGGGACCTGCACATTTCTGTCCTCACATTTCATAGCATGCAAATTGCTGTGGTTCCATTACCATGGAACATTCAAGGCACTAATACAGGACAGGGGGAATTTAGGAGTCTTCATATTTAGTGGTGAAATTTCATTATTCCACATCTTAACCAAAGCACTAATGTGGTTTAAGGTTTAAGGTTCGAGAAAAACACTGCTCAGTGCAGCATGAAATCCACAGGATCCAACAGCTTCCAGTGAGCAACGTATTCTGGTCCTCACCCTTGCAGTGGGGAACATGAGGAAGTTGCAAATGTTTTTTCAGTGAATTCAGCCTCTCTAGGAGCCTGGGGAGGGCAAAAACGGTCTCCCCCACCTCCCCAGAAGCCCTCCAGAGGCTGGAAACAGCCTGTTTCTCTACTTCCGGTGGGCCCAGAAGGCCCAAAAATCAGTTGGCCAGCACGTGCATGCGCACCGGAGCTGAGTTCGCATGCCCACCGATATGGCTGCGAGTGCAACCTGTGGCACGCATGCTATAGGTTCACCATCATGGCCATAGAGTTTTCTTCTAAAGCTGCTATTGGGAGGGGGTTCTCTCTGCTAAACTCTCATTTATTTTTATTTTATTTAAATACATTTTTATCAATATTTATTATTTTTATAAATAACTCATCAGCAAATCTACCATACCTAATACCTTTTTCTTCTCTTATTTTCCCCACAACAATCCTGAAATGGGTTGGACTGAGAGATAGTGACTGGCCCAAGGTCATCCAGCTGGCTTTCATGCCTAAGGCACAACTAGTACTCACAGTCTCTTGGTTTCTAGCCTAATGCCTTCAACACTAGACCAACTGACTCTTAGCAGTTAAAATGACTTTGCTGGTATTGAACAGAATGAAGGACTAGCAAGTTTGAAAAGATGGCTCATTCAAGTTTTGCCACCTGACAAAAGGTAGAAACCAAATGAAAGAAACAGCAATTTTCAGTAATCACAATTGGCTATCTAGAAAGAAAGAAAGAAAGAAAGAAAGAAAGAAAGAAAGAAAGAAAGAGGGAAAGAAAGAGGGAAAGAAGGAAAGAGGGAAAGAAAGGTACAGTTGCATTTTAAAGTTATGAAAATAAGCTCCCTCCCAACAAAATTTCAAGTAATTTGTGAAAGTAATGGAAAGTTTCTAAATGAACAGCTGAAAAGCTCTCTGGATAGCTATTATTGCTGTTCAAAAATGTACATGCATTAAACTCACATATGAATCATACCTTTATTATTTATTTAATAATAAATAATAAAATAATATTATGTATTAAGTGCCTATGATTGCCCATTACCAGTAAGGGAAAAGCTGTGCTGCATTTGTTGAAGAATGTGTTGTCTGGCATGTTGATCAACCTCTGTTTCCTCACACTCGGTCTTGCTTTGCTGAGAAGGTGGGGTGAATGATGAGCCTTGCGGCTGAAGTAATGGCAGTCCACTTGGAAGCTGAATTTGAGAGTCCCTCCTTTCCTCCAGGTTGCCCACCTGCCTTTGCTCCCGAGTCTTCTTGATTAGGGTGACACGATCACGAATGGATTTAGCCACAGCTTTGGAATCACTTTCATGGAAGAATCCCGACTTCACCTAGAAATCAACAAAAAGAAACATTTTAGGTAAAGTCAGTTCTTGTTAAGTATCATTTTAGTCTTTCAAGGTTTAGCAATTAAAATGAATCTGTATTTGCACATTAGAGTTCAGAATCCCATGGCAACAGACCTTACCCTGAATGCATGCCAAATTGGACCTGGACTCATTGCTCAGAGTTCCAGATGAACAATAAGTACTATAATGAACAGACAAGTAAATATATAATTCTTTTTGGTTTGGGATTATTTAGCTAGCTAGCAGCCAAGCGGCTATTCCAATATTATCTATGTCTATCGTTCTAATTGATTTTGCGCAATTGCAATGATTCAGTTTTTTAGCCAAGGAGCTAAGAATCATGGAGGTATCAACATAAAATGTATGCTGTTGCAAATACTCTAGAAAAATTAATGGTACCAAGTCCAGTAAGTTTAACACTACTAAATATTTGGTGAATCCTTTTAATGTTGCACTAAAGATTCCAAGTACAATTGTTACATTTTTTTTCTATCACAAACTTTCAATCTCAAAATTTCAATAAATGGTATTTTATCATTTTCTCCAGTTGTTTTTCATCAAGTTGACTGCCTCCAAGTATTGCCACATCAATGAACCACACTTGTTTTCTATAAAAGTAATATCTTGTGTGAGAGTCACTTTGGTGTAATGGTTTAAGGCACCAGGCTGGAAACTAGAACTATGAATTCTAGTCCTCCTTAGATCCAAAGCAGCTTGATGACTTTGGGCTAGTCACCCTCTCTCAGCACAAGGAAGAAAGCAATGGCAAATCACTCCCAAAAATATTGTCAAGAAAAAAATATGGGCTTGTCCAGACAATTTCCAGGGATCCATAATGACTCAAAGCCAGGAAAAAAAATCTGGTGCATTATGTTCTAAATGGTTATTAGATTGAATTGGAAATTCCACAATTTTGATCTCTTTATTTTGCAAAACATTTTCAGGCACGTGGTCATACAGTAGTTATCACTGTAAAGTCATAGTACAGTAGTACAAACTGTAAAGCTGTATTTTCTTCTCAAATTCCAATTTAAATTCCAATGCTTACAATCCTATCATGGTATTCTTTATTTTCTGAGTGATTTTACTATTAAAGATACAATCTAGAGTATTATTCTTAATTTTAAATAATTGCCATTTGGCATTTTGGAAAATATGTTCAATTTTTTTCTTTGATGGCATTGATTTGTAGATTTTGTTCTTGAGTTGCCACAATTATTCCTTCTGTTTCTTTTTTTAAATGTTCTAGATTTCAGACACAAACATGTTAGATTTTGATCAACTTTTCCTTCAGTATCATGCTAGCCATGGAGTGGTTGCTTTTCTAGTTATCAATCCAACTGAATTACTTTTTCCCCTGTAATCTAATTTGTTTTTTGTTGTTTTCAAGAGCCTATATAAGAATTTTCTGTAAGGAAAATTCTTTGCCTTCGTTTGTGAGAACTCTTTACATTCCCTGATATAATCATTCAGACTGTGTTCTTTTTCTTCCATAGTTGTTTTATTGTAAAGGTATATGGCAAAGAGACACTGTCAAGGGAATTACTAGATAAGAGATAGCATGGTGTACAGCTGGATAGTGGATGGGGCAAGAAGCTCAGAAGAGACTCTCTCTCCAGTATCTCAGTCTGTATAGGAGATTGGGAGAGGGGGAAAAGAATTATACTTTCAGACTTGCAAGATTATGTCAAAGTAGCTTTATGATAAAGTAGAATTAGTTCATCTGGTTGTGATTTCTATTTGGTTTACCCTGCAAGGCTGACTTCAATCTTAAAATATGAAAATACTATTCTCCACCACAACTTCTCCTATACAGCCCGAAAAAGTAGACAGGGTCTCTTCTGAGCCTCTTGCCCTGCTCAGTGATATAATTTCGGCTGAAAGGTATTTTTTTAACTTGGTCATACAATAAATCAGAAGGTTCCGTTAATCCTAAATATTTTTCTTTTTCTTTAGGTGCCAGGTGTCTAAAGATAGTTCCACTCATTGTGGTAGCCTCTCTTCTTCTATAATTTTTTTTTAATTGCCAGGTCCAAGTCACATTTTGTTTCTATGTTTTCACTGAATATGTGGACAAAGTTGACTTGATTTCAACTTTTGATTTACCTTATAGTTTTGGATCATCTATATAAAGCAAATTGTTTATTTTTGGCCTTTGCTCTTTAACTTAGTATCCACAATCGATTTTGTTCCAGTTGTTTGTGAGAGGAACATTGCCAGTACAAAGAATAATGATGATAATTGGTCTTCTTATCCCAAAGATATTCAAGAACTCACTGATATTTTTTGGTAATCTTCTAATATTTCTGTTTGTTCCAAAAAACTTTCAGGCATTTTTTTAACCCAGCTATGAAAGAATGTATCAAACGCCTTTCTATGAATAGGCCATAAAAGTTTTTTTTCCCGTTTTGTCAATCAATAGCTGATTTTGAATGATAAAAAGTCCCCTTGTATTCCACTGAGACTATTAAATTTTTTTCCAAATTATCATATATTAGATTTGGAATAATTTCAGTAAACAATTTGAGTGTTGTAAGCAGGCAAGAGATAGGCTTGAAGTTGTCAGGAATAGATTTTTCCCCCCCTTCTTTTTCTATACAAGAAATTTCTTCCAGATGTCACTCATTCTTTATTGTTTACAGATCATTCAACTGTGTGCTAGCCTGGAGTAAAGACTTGTCAAACTTGGCTTTTGAGCCAAAAATCATGTAGTTCATCTTTTTGGGGGAGCACTCTAATTTTCAATCTTTCTAATTTGTATCTGAACCGTTTATTTTGTTTTCAGTACATTTTTCCATTGCTTCCCTAACAAATGCTTTTCCAGTTCTCTTAATCTATTGTGCTTTTTTTAAACGTTCTTTTACTATATTTCCCATAAATTTTCCAATACGTATTTATTTTTTCTTTATATGGATTTGTAGGTACTTATTTTTTCTTGAGCAGCTTCTACACTTTTGTAAAACAAATATTGGTTAATTTTAGGCAAATAAGCAGGAGAAACAAAGATTGTAAAGAAAGCAAAAAGTTATTTGCTTTAATGTTAGGAGTATTCTTTATGACTCATTTGACTTTTTATTTTCTTAGCAATTGATAAGCTGATTGGTGAGCTGCAACATTTCTATTTCCCAAGATCAGAATTATATTATATTCTTGTGGTTTTCATAACTTCATTCGCTATTAGTTGTCCAGAGTTCACAGCATCTGTAATTTCATCTTATTCAGTTAACACCCAGTTATTGTTTGCCATCCACTCAACTCAGTATCAGAGAAAACTTTGCTTTTCATAGTCATACAATGCGGATCCATTTGCACTTCTTATGTAATCATTCATTCTGGGAATTTCTTTTTTAAAATATGGAACATGTTCATTTGAAATCCCCTTTCTGATGGTCTAGATTTGTAGTAACAATTTATTTTCCAGTTTTGTTCACCTCTGTTACTTTGCAGTTTCTTTGTCCTGTTTGCCTAGCAAAGATCCAGCTTTTGCTGATTCAGTTGAGAGCTGGTCTGGTAGCAAAAACTGCTTTCTGGTTTTCACTACTGGAAATGGGTTACTATTATATTATGATAATTTCTTTTTTTCCCATCATCATCACTAAATATTTATTCCACAAAACTTTACTTTTTTTTAGTTCAGTTTTCTTAGAACGATAACAAGTAGTCCTTGACTTACAACAGTTCATTTAGTGAGTATTCAAAGTTATAAAGGCACTGAAAAAAGTAACTTATGACCGTTTTTCACACTTACAACCATTTTAGCATCTCCAAATTCAGAAGCTTGGCAACTGATTCATATTTATAATGGTTGCAGTTTTGTGACAAGCAAAGTCAATGGGGAGGCCAGATTCACTTAACAACCGCGTTACTAACTTAACAACTGCAGTGATTCACTTAACAACTGTGGCCAGAAAGGTCATAAAATGGGGCAAAATTCACTTAACAACCATCTCACCTAGTGACAGAAATGTTGGGCTCAATTGTGGTCGTTAAGTCGAGTACTACCTGTAGATCAGTCATTCATTTGTAATTGCTTAGAACTTATTAAACAGAACACAATAACATTCTACAACCACCACAAAAGTATAATGAATAGACCACCCTAATGTATCACAAAAACATCTGCAACATGGCAAATATTACTTGCTACATACTTGAAATATTCATAAGGCACTTCTGGGACATACTGACCAGGATCCTACATAATGGTATGCTCCATTTGCAATTTCTTATGTTATTCATTTGTTTATTCTTAGCCTATTGCAAATCCATTATTTACAGGTTTGTTTTACATGCAAACTAGGGCACAATGGCTTAAACATGAAAACACCGATCAAAGAAAGCATTCAAGCACTGCTTTTGTGTTAAATGGAACTATTGAAGGAGAGAGTTTTAACTGTCATCTGCTGAGCAAGGTCTGTAAACCCAATCTACCCCCAAAGAAAAAGAAAAACAGAAAAGAGATCCACAAATGCATTAAAGATCCATTCCATAAGACAAGAGATCATGGGACCACTTACAAAACTTCACAGTTGGCTGGTGGGTGGGTGATGCTTAAGCAGTAGCCTTCTGCCTGCATATATTTTATATGAAATGAACAGATGCATTGCCATGTCTCCTTTCAGTAACATCAGCTGTCATTTGTCAAGATTCCTCTGTGGCCAAATGTTTTATAAAAACAGAACCAAGGCAACAGTGAGGCAAAATGAAGAATCTACAGTCTAAACACATTTTTCTTTTCTTAAGCACAGGATGATAAAAAGGAACAAAATAAAAGGAGGAAAGTAGAGACTGTTCATAGTAATACAGTATCTTGCTTATTTTAACCTCAAAACATTGTAACCAAGATTTGACTAAAACTTAGCCTGGCTTCAGTGCCATGGTGAGGAAAATATTTATTCACCGAGGAGAATCATACCAGTCTCTTAGGTGGAGAGAGGAAATGTTACTGTTAAAAGAAATGGTGGTGGAAGACTATAGAAAGTTTTGAGAATAATCTTAATAAAGTTAGCGAAGGAAGGATGACTGGGGATGCAAGTAATTTTTTTACAACGCAATAGTGAAACTTAAAAGAAAAGGGAAAAGAAAATGCAAATGATTCTGGATGAGACAAAAATGGGTGAAAATTTTAAAAAATCTCCAGGGATTATCACTAATTAAATTAAGCTTTTGTGGAGGCAATTATCTATGTTAACAGTGAGAGAGATGGAAATAAAGATGAACTATGCAAAACAAATAAATTTTAAATTTCCACATAAACCGAGAAGATGGTTGGCATACAAGCTGCGAAAAGAAAAAGGAAGTGATATTAAAGTTTCAAGAAAAAAATATTGTACTAACATATTAACAATCAGAGACAAATTTTTAATGGACCTCTAACATTAAGGGAACTATGTGAAATTGTCACAAAGATTAGAACAGGAAAGATACCTAATACAGATGGGCTGCTGCCCCTTATTACAAATGTTTTGAAGATGAGTTTTTACAAACTTTACAACAGATAATGAATACTATTTTGCAATATGGAAAGATTCCCGACAGATAGAAGGAGGCTAATATAATAATACCTAAAAAGGGATAAGACTTGACTTTAACAAGAAACAATCAACCAATATATCTAAAAAAGAATTGCGAAATAATGCTAGAAACACTTCGAACATGTAGAAATATTTGGAGCAACATAATGAAAAACAAGCTGCACTGATATTCTTAGATCCAGAGAAGGCCTTGAAGTGGATATTTGGTTTAGTGTTCTGGAACATATGGAACTTGGATATAATTTTACTAAATGAGTAAGGTTGATTTACACTTCTTAGAAAGCACAAATAATTGTTAATGGGGATTAACAAAACCTTGTGAGATTCAAAAAAGGCAAGATAAGGATGTCCATTGTCTCCAACTTTGTTCATTTCAGCTCTTCAGATATTGAACAGAGATATAAGATCAGTGAATTATGAGAGTTAAGATTAAAAAGAAATTTATAAGGTATGTTAAGAAGAGAAATAGCAGATAAAGATAAATGGCTGATGTTTCAGGATTTAAGAAATTTGGTTATAATATACAGATGGGAAAATTTATGATTAAAAGGGTTGAAATCTACATTGTGTTTTGATCTAAAAAAGAATGTTTATAAAATGATTTATCATTGATAAATGATGTCAGAGAAATTCCCTGAGAAGGTATAAAGGAAATCAAACATATGTTGGAAATGCTCAAAGTTTTTCTTTTAGGATTAGTGGATAAACAGTTACAAAAAAGGCATGGCAAATTATTACAATATATGATCACAGTACCAAGATTACAATATGCACAGTTATTGAAAGACCTATTATTGAGAAATGGTTAGTGAAGTTGACAGATTCATTAATTTCTTTTATTAGAATAAAAGACATTATTACATTTATTGCTCACAGACTTTTTGTGAAAAAATGAGCAAAATGAATATGATAGTGGTTTTGATGATTAAACAGGATAGATTATAGAAAGAAGAGCAATATGATGTAATCTTAGAGAGAAAGGTCAAAATATTTTGTACTTATAACTGCTATGACAAATACTGGAAGCCACTTATATTTTTACTTTTTTTCTTTTCTATTTTTCTTCATTTTTTTACTTGCATTTTATATATTCTTTTATTTATTTATTTCCCTTTTTTCTTTTATACTTTCTAAGTTTGTGTCAACTTTTATCTTCTTGTTTAAAAGTTGTAATAGAAATTATATATATGAAAACGAGAAAATAAAGTTTCCATCTTCCCCTATAGCCCTTCTTAACCTATGAGGTATCCTAAAAGAATCATGCATTGTAAATAAAGCTTAAAGCATCAGTGAATAGGAGATTGAGTGGAGCACTTGTATTCTAGATATTACAATACAATTAGCAGCCTCAGCATGATAAATCTTTGTGAATCTAAATTAATTTATTCATTTATCCATAATTTATAACCTACCTTCTATAATAATTAACAAGATCGCTTATAACCCTAAGCTAAAAGATAATAAAACAAAACTGCAAAAGGAAGAAAAAATATATAAATGGATCATTTTTATTATTTATAATTCTTCCAGTCTGCAAAAAAAGGGGAGAGGAGGAGAAAATGGGGTTACTTCCTGCTTCCCCCATGTGCAAACAGAAAATTATAGCTAGAATAATAGTCTTGACAAGGAGAAGAAAGCTATTAAATCAAGGAAGCAGCAAGGATAAGTAGATTTCCTTCCCCTGCACCATGACTTTTATCAAAATTCCATTTCCCTCTTTTACATCAGTTTTAGGAGCAGTTTTCTAACTGTAGCTCTTTTATAAAATGGAGATTTCCCAATTTTGAGAGTAGCACTTATAAATACTTTCCCCCAAAATGATGTATATACCATAAGGCAAGAGAAGCTGTTGGAGAAAGAAGCAAAGCAGTGACCATAAACACCCACCATTTCGCAAGCCACTTCCTCTGGGTTATCTGTTTCCATATTGAAACTGAACTCTATTGCTTCGTTGTCTTTGTGCTTCCCTTTCAGCTTCTTGGGATCTTCTACCCAAAGTCTCAAAGCCAAAGAGGAATGTATCCCATCCTCCTCCTCCTCTGCCAGCTCCACTCTGAGTCCTGTGTCTTCCGCAAAGAAAGCATGGTTTAAGAGGTCTTTGATGGAGAGCCTGAAATAGAATATATTTAACGTGAGAGAGTTATGAAAGAGGTCTGAATGTGCCTTTGGTATTCCAAACATGTATTACTATAATTGCTGAGCGTTTCTTTTCAAAATTATTATACTTTCCTTAGAGATATTCCCAAACTGACATAATACAGGTAGTCCTCGACTTACGACATTTCATTTAATGACTGTTCAAAGTTACCAGGGCATTGAAAAAAGTGACTTTTGATCATTTTTCACTTATGACCATTGCAGCATCCCCATGGTCACGTGATCAAAATTCAGATGCTTGCCAACTGACTTGTATTTATGACGGGTTGCAGTGTCCTGGGGTCAGGGTGTTCACCTTTGGCACCTTCTGACAAACAAAGTCAATGGGGAAACCAGATTCACTTAACAACCGCATTACTAAATTAACAACTAGTGATTCACTTAACAACTCTCGCAAGAAAGGTCATAAAATGGGGCAAAACTCACTTAACAAACATCTCACTTAGCAACAGAAATTTTGGGCTCAATTGCAACCGTAAGCTGAAGACTACCTGTACCTATATTATTTAATAGATTTATACTTTATCTTTCGGAACAAATATCCTTCCCCCAATAGGATTTAAAAGAAATTAAAAGCAAGCAATAATTTAAATACCAATAAAAAAACCCAGGACCCTGATGAGAACACCATTTACTCAAAGGAAGAGTCAGATGAAGTCAAATGAATCTTAAGATGATCTTTGCTCTATTTGCCACTTAGATGTTAAAAAGATGCAGAGAGAGCACCGAGCCCTATAGTACACTGCAAAGGAACAGTCATGGACTGGACCTCTCACTCCCTATCAGCACCATTTGGAGCCAACTTGAAGAAAGGAGCTGAACCAGCGTAATGTTGCACTGCTCAGCCCGAGCTCCTGCACCTGGCCCAAAAGGATACCATGGTTGATGCTATTGAAAGCTGTTGAATGATCGAGAAAAGCAAGGATGGATGCAGCATCCCCATTCTGCTCCCCAACTGCAACCCATACCATTTATGTCCCATAATCAAGCCTGAAACCTGACTGAAAGGGGTCCAGATAATCTATTTCAGCCAGGACTCTTTGAAGCTGTAGCACAATCACTTTTTCCACCAGCTTTCCATCCACAAGGGAAAGTGGATGGAAATTGTCCAAACAAGTGGGATCCAGTGAAGGTTTCTCAAGGTGGGGACAGATTAAGGTTTCCTTAAATAATACCGGGAACACTCCCTGCAGCAGCAATGTATTAATTATTGCCTGGATCCACCTGCAAATCACACTTCTAAAGGCTTTTACCAACTAGGATAGGTAAGGATCTAATAAATAACTAACAGCCTCAAGGACTTTGTCCACTTCCTCATATCCAACAAAGTCAAACTGTTCCCAAATAACTGGATAAGTCTGTTCTTTGAGCATCTTTAATGGACTTGCTCCAACTGAGAAGGGGCGTTGGTCCTACCTGAGACGCTCCTTCTCATTGTGTGGAAACAGCAGCCAGTGTGGGTAGCATTCGCCCAATCAGCTGAAGGACTGAGTCAGCCAATAACATTAAAGCCCACCCTTGTTGCCGGGCAGGTCCAGCTTTTGGCGAAGGACTATAACGGCAGACTCGGCATGTGGGTAGGCAGGAAGGAAAAAACCCAAGAAGGAAACCAACAAAGGACCAGACAGGCAAGGGAGGGTCTGGCTGCTGTCTCCACACAACGAGAAGGAGCATCTCAGGTAGGACCAACACCCCTTCTCCATTGTTGGTGGAGACAGCAGCCAGTGTGGGACATACCCCAGTTCACTGTCCCAAAGTCTGGGAGGGGCCAGGCTGGTCTGAAACAACTTCACTGGCCACAACCCGCTGTAACACCTGACAACCAAACGCGGCTTCAGCCGAAGCAAACTTTTTTTTTTTTTTTAAATTGATTTATATGCCGCCCTTCTCCGGAGACTCAGGGCGGCTTACAATGCGTTAAGCAATTGTCCAGTTTATAGTGCCGTATGAACGGCGCAGGCGAGGTCCAGGTAGCCACTCTGCAAATCTCCAACAACGGAGCTTGAGTAGCCCAGGCCACCGACGTGGCCGCACTGCGTGTGGAATGAGCCGTCATCCAGGAAGGTCACGGCAGAGAATGGAAGTCATAAGCTGAAGCGATGGTCTGTCGAATCCAGCGGCCAATAGTAGAAGACAACACCTTGAGACCCAATGAGACGGGAAGGAAGGAGACAAATAATGCTTCCGACCGACGGATATCCACAGTCTGCTTGATGTAAATCCGTAACGCTTGCCTGACGTCCAGAGTGTGCCAACGGCGCTCACGAGGATGAGATGGGCGCGGACAGAAATTTGGTAGAATAAGTTCCTGTGAGCGATGGAAGACCGAGTTGACCTTCGGAACGAAGGTAGGATCCAAGCGGAGGACAACACGGTCTGGATGAAACACACAGAGATCAGCTCGGATGGACAAGGCCGCCACCTCCGAAATGCGGCGAGCTGAGGTCACAGCCACCAAAAAGGCGACTTTACAAGACAGCAATCGGAGAGAGGTCGTCCTCAGCGGTTCATATGGAGGACCCAGGAGGGATTCGAGAACCAACGGAAGGTCCCAGGTAGGGTAACGATGCAGGACCGGAGGAGACAGGTTTGTGGCGCCCCGCAGAAACCGTCTAATCAGAGGATGTTGAGCCAGCGATGACAGCGAACCTCAGGTAAGAACAGAAGAAATGGCGGCCACCTGGCGACGCAACGTGTTGGGTGCAAGGCCGTCGGAGAGACCTCGCTGGAGAAAGACAAGAATGTCCACAATAGAAGGTTGGAAAACATTCACCCCAGCCCGGTCACACTATGAGCAGAAAGACCGCCAAGTCACAGAATAGATCCGGTCCATGGAGGGGCGTCTCGAAGCCTGGATCATCTTAATCACATCCTCCGGAACATGAGCACTCTTCAGGGTGAGCCGCTCAACCTCCAGATGGTCAGGCTGAGCCAAGAAAGGTCCAGATGGCTCAACGCCCCTTGCATCAGTGCGTCCGCGTCGAGAGGAATGCGCCAGGAGAGAGCGACAGAGAGACCAAGTCCGCAAACCATGCTCTGCGTGGCCAATGAGGAGCCAAGAGAATCACCTCTGCCCATTCATCCAGAATCTGGCGGATGACCCTGGGCAGCAAGGATGTCGGGGGGAAAGCGTGCAACAGACCATCTGGCCATGGAGCCCGAAGTGCGTCGATGGCTTCCGCCTGAGGTTCCGGAAACCGGGCAAAGAAACGGGACAGCTGAGCATTGGCATGTGTCGCAAACAGGTCCACAATTGGAGCTCCGAACCGATGAACCAGGTCCTGAAATATCCTGGGATCAAGACACCATTCTGCATTGTCCATTGCTTGATGGCTTAGCCAATCTGCTTGAGCATTGGCGACCCCGGATATGTGCTCCGCCTGGAGCGATTTGAGATGACGTTCCGCCCAGAGACCCAGTTTCATGGCCAGAGACAAGAGGGACTTGGACCTGGTGCCCCCTAACTTGTTCAAATGTGCCTTGGCCGTCACATTGTCTGTTAGCACAAGGACATGAGTCCCGGAGACCAGATGGCGAAAGGCTCTGAGGGCTAGGAAGACAGCTTGCAACTCCAACCAGTTGATCGGACGACGAGCCTCCAAGTCGCTCCACGTCCCTTGGGCCAGTTAACCTTGGCAATGGGCACCCCAGGCCCGGAGACTGGTGTCGGAGGTCACCACCACCCGGTGGAATTCTAGGAAGAGACAGCCCGCTGATATTGCTGGGGACCGCCACCACTGGAGGGATCTGAGGACTGAGGAGGGAACAGGGACCGGTCTAGTTGAAGTGCCTCTGCCCGACTTCTGTAAAGGTAAAAGAAACCATTGAAGCTCCCGTGCGTGGAGCTGAGCCCAGGGAACAATGGCAATGGCCGAAATCATCTTCCCCAAGAGCTGAGAAAGAATACAAGGTGAGCTGGACCGACATCCCTCAATCCGAGACAGCAAGTGTCGCAGACTCTCTTGGCGGTCAGGGGAGAGAAACACCCTACCCTGAACAGAATCAATTAGGGCCCCTAAATGAACTAGAGAGGTGGAGGGAACAAGGTTGCTCTTTTCCAGATTCACAGAAAACCCATGGGAGGCCAATGTCTCTAGGATGAGTTTAACATCTAGTATAGCTTGGTGAGTGGAAGAGGACAACACCAGAATGTCATCCAAGTAACAAAGGAGTCTAATAGACTGAACCCTGAGGGAAGCAGCCAAAGCCGCCAACACTTTAGTAAATGTACAAGGGGCAGACAAAAGCCCAAAGGGCAAGGCCCTGTACTGATAATGAACTCCCCCGTAACAAAACCTCAGATACCTTCTATGAGAAGGGAGGATAGGGATATGCAAGTAAGCCTCCGTTAGGTCGATAGAAGAAAGGAGATCGCCCCTCCTAACACCGTCAAGGATAGATTTCAACGACTGCATCTTAAATTTACGGTATACAACATACCGATTTAACCGTTTTAGGTCCAGAATGGGTCTCCACCCCCCCCCCCCGAGGACTTAGGGACTAGAAAAACCCGGGAATAGAAAAACCCGGGAATAGAAACCCGACCCGACTTGTTCGGGCGGAACAAGTTGGATAGCCCTGATGGAAAGGAGATGCTGTACCGCAGCGTCCATATGCGCCCTCTTTTCGGGATTACAAGAAAGTGGACAGCAAACAAAGGTGCTCGGGGGAGGGGAAAGAAATTCTATGGCCAACCCTGATCTTAAAGTAGCCAGGACCCACTTATCAGAAGTAGAATTCTCCCAAGCGGCGACAAAGATGGCTAATCTGCCGCCAATGGGAGGATTCAAGATGCGCCGGTAGGAATGACCTCCTTCCCCTTGAAAGGGCCGCCTAGACACAAAGGACTTTCCCCGGGAGGGCCTATCTTGAGATCCCCGCTGCCTGTTAAAACTACTATAAGACCTAGGGGAAGAGAAGGGAGCCGATCCCACGCCATCAGCACCTCGGAAATTAGAGCGAGGGACATACGGGGCAAATCGTGAGTCTCCCCTTCGAAATACAGGTGCCAAAACCTTCTTCTTATCCCTGGTCTTGGTGAGGAAAGGTTCCAAGACATCACCAAATCGGCAGGACACCCCCAAAAGGAACTGAGGCCAGATGCCACTTATGGTGGACGTCGGCCTGCCAGTGGTGAAGCAGACAAGGCGACGGGCAGTGACTGTGGAGGCCAACGCTTTGGAAGCGAAGCGAGCAGCGTTCAGTGTGGTGTCCGCTGAAAACTGCAAGGCTGCGACAATTTTATGAAAGTCCTGTCTGACCCATTTGTCCTCTGGAGACAGCTTCTCCTGAAGCTGGCGCAGCCAAAGCAAGGTGGAACGGTTAAAAAACGATGCTGTAGTGGCTGCCCTGATAGCCCAGGCAGAATTCTGATGTGCTCGCTGGAGAACCAAATCCGAACGACGTTCATCCAGCCGAAGGCCCTCATCAGGATCACCCGGAACGTTGGCGTTAGGCAATAGAGCGGCGATAGGGGCGTCCACCGATGGCACCTGAAGAAGAGAATCTAGTTCAGCAGTGGCGTGAAAGTTCTTGCGATCATTTAATGAGGGCGAAGGAGCCGCACCTGGCGAAGACCACTGTCGCTTCACCACGTCTACAAACAGAGGAGGTGTCAGGATAGAAGTAATAGGCCTGGCAGGCTCTATGAACATGGGATCCAATGCCTCAGAAGTTGGAACTGGATCCGCAGCAGGCGAGGACAAACGAGCAGTGTTGACGGCCTTAAATAGTAAGGACTTAAATAAAGACTGTGGGAATAGCCCCGTAAAGGCCGGTTGCTCTTGGGGTAAGTTCTCATCATCAGACAGAGCCGAGTCACAATAGTCTACATCTGTCAAAACTGAAGGTTGACTCGAGTGAGAACCAGGGGCCCGGGATTGAGAGTCCTCAGTGGCCCTTCCCTCAGGAGAAACAGAAGAAATTGACCGCACAGATTCAGGGCGGTTATGTGGTTGCTCCCACGCGGCTAAGGATTTCTGCACTGTGTTTTCGGTAAGAAGCTGAAGTTGCTCAGGGAACAATTGACAGGAAATCGCCGCTACAGGAAACAAGGTTGTAGGTGCAGAGGCGACCAGTTGTATAACCTCCGGAACAGACACAGGCTGAGGAGGAGGATCAGGAGAACCCCACAGATCAGAAGTTGAAATGGTCACAGGGCAATCTCTCAAGGACAACTGGTCTGGCGTATCGGGTCTGGGAAGCGACCCAGTAGGTGGGTTGTCAGCCACAGGACCGGTCACGACACTCTTTGCAGCAATATCAGCGCTCGCCTTCTCGCAGAGCTTTGTTAACACCTTGTCCCTACACCTCTCAGATTTAGAAGATACCCCATGTTTGTGTCCCTTTTGGCGAGGCCGCGAGGGGTAAGAAGATGGTAATGAGTCCTTAGAAGAGCCTGTTTCCTGAGTTTTGTTGTGAGAGGCAGGGTTAGACTGGACATGAGCAGCAGTACTGGCCGAACGGCCATGTTTCAATTTTGCCAGGGCTTTAGGCATAGCTGCAAACCAAGGTCTTGACCGGCACAATAGAGCCTCAACAGGCGGCCCTTGATGGCACAGCAAAGGTATCAACGGAAGCGTAGAAGCTCCTCAAACACAATTCTGGAATAGGTGAAGGGAGCGCTAAAAAACTCCACAAACTGGTAAGCATAATAAACGAGGGAGCGTAAGAACTCCACCAGGAGTAAGTTGATAAACAAAGGGAGCGTAAAGGCTCCACAAACCAGTGTTTAATCTCAAGTAAGGGAGCGTAATAACTCCACAGTCCAGTCCTTTGGTGTGCTTGAGGGAGCACTAACACTCCACAAACTCCAAGGTGAGACGAAAGTCCTTTTGATATACACAAAATGGCCGCTGCGATCACCAGCAGACAACAAAATGGCGGCTAGCAGCCCCAGCAACGTGAGCCAGGAACTGACCAGGCGAGGCAGGAGCCCCAGAGAGTGTCCAGATGACAGCTCAATCTCAGCTGACGGGGGGATAGCGCCAGGCTCCGCGCCTTGGAGGGAGCCGACAGCCGGCAAGGGAGGCGGTCAGATGAGGCAGGCCATTGTCGAGGAGAATAAACAACCCCCAGCTGACAGGGGGAACTAGCCGGGCTCTGAGGCAGCAGAAATGCAATCCCCGGCAGCAGGAGACAGCCCAGATCGGCGAAAGGCACAGTCGCTAAATTGAAAGGTCCGATGTAAGCAGGGACGGCTTGTCAACCAAACAAAATGGCTGCCGCAAGCTCTGAGGAAAAAAACCGCCGCCGTTTGCAACGCTGGTGGCCGAAACAACAGTGGATAAAGCGGCTCCAATTAGCATCCCCACGGCCCGAAAAATGACTCCCTCCCCCCCGGAGGGGAAGGAAACCGGACAAATAAGGATCCCAATAAGCCACAATAGTCAGTAAAGGGGCAGATACAACTCACAACGTCGAATAAATCAGTCCAAAGTCAGCCAAGTTATGAGGGAGGGAGAAAAGGCCGTAGTCGAGCAATCCAAAGTCCAATAATCAGCACACCAGACACAATCGAAGTCAAACAGTCCAAAGTCAAAAAACAGCCAAACACGATTTAGAGCTATAGAAAAAAGTGTTGAAAGACAGAGTCAAAGACCCACATGCCCATCCAACTGAAGGACTGAGTCAAAAGCTGGATCTGCCCGGCAACAAGGGCGGGCTTTAATGTTATTGGCTGACTCAGTCCTTCAGCTGATTGGATGAGTGCTACCCACACTGGCTGCTGTCTCCACCAACAATGGAGAATGAACTGATTTTATGCATCAGGTGCTCAACAAATTCTGCCACACGGCCCTGTAATTGTTCATCCAAGCCCTTCTTTCTTAGGCAGGACCAGGTGACCTTAAACAGGACTACCAGGCTGCACTCTGTGGACAAATAATAGTGGAGAAATAGCCATCCATCCATTCTCCTCCTTCACCCATCCCATATTCTATGATGTGTGAATTTCTGATCAAATATTAGCTCTTTTTTTTTTTTTTTGAGAAGGACCTGAAAAGCAATTAAAATATCATCCCCCTTAAAAACTTTGAAGCCCAGGAGGGATGATAAAGCAGAAATTCCTGCAAAAGGGGAAACACATAATTCCACTGAATTTCTTTTTTTAAAAGATTTTACTGAAGCTTCAGATATACTGAAGCGGAGTCACAAGTACATGGACTTAGATTTCAAAGACAGTGGATACTGTAGGATCATAGGCATTTGGGACTGCTTTCAAACTGATGCAGAATCTTTCTATAAATGTGCCATCGTCTGACCAAGTTGCAAGGGAGCTATTGACCATGAGTGAGGCTAAGGAGAGACATGAGAAGTGAGATCAAGTTACTGAGTGGGAGGAGAAGTAAACTAATGTTTCGTGCATCTCCTTCTCTATTACTAAGGCTTTATAAATTAAAGCAACAGGTCTCCAATGTAACAGTCCTTTTTTGGTGTGATTCAAATAGGCATTGCATTTTTCTGTGCCACAGAGAAAAGATAAATGGCTAAGATTTTAAACTCCAATGGAATATCTAATCTTCTCACCTTACTCCTTTTTGCATTCATTTGAGGAATGTAGAATCCATCATTTTTCACTGTATAAAAACTAGACAAAATCAAGAATTTTCATTTTGACTGATTCTGTGTTTCTACAATACTTTCCTTATATATGTCTTAACAGTCATCCTTTTGGGAAATGCCAGGTAAATCCCATTTGCTATATGGCTTCATGAGCTTCATTCCCTTTGACTTCAAAGGGACTTTCGCAGGTGTTTAAAGCACAAATGTTTTGCTTAATCAGATTTTTTTTTCCTGTACCAACAAATTGCTATTAACACTCAAATACTATCACTTAATTTGCACAATTCAAAGCAAGTAAGGAGAGACACAAAATGGATCTGCCCACCTTTCAGACTTGTTCTGCTGAATGCAACCTTCAATGATCTCTTTTACTTCTGGGTCTGTCACCTTATTAAAACTAGCAGGTTTAATGCCCTAGAAGAGAAGGGACATGGTCATTAACAAAATTACACAGGAGATTTCTCTTCTACAGTTGTACAGAATTATGGAAAATTCCGAAGCTTACAAAAGAAGTCCTTTAAACAGCCAATATAGTAAAATAGCTTTAGCTATCACACACATAAATATATGTACATAAATTAAAACAAAACATTTCAGTCTGTCCTGAATTAATAGCTCCCTTCCTTTAAATGCCAGGTATTAGTTCTAAAATCAGATCTGATTGAAAAGAATCCAAATGAATGCAGTGCTCTGAATTTTTTGGAAGATGAATCTTTGTTAATATGAATAGAATAGAATAGAATAGAATAGAATAGAATAGAATAGAATAGAATAGAATAGAATAGAATAGAATAAACAGAGTTGGAAGGGACCTTGGAGTTCTTCTATTCCAACCACCTGCTTAGGCAGGAAACTCTACACCACTTCAAACAAATGGTTATCCAACATCATCTTAAAAATTTCCAGTGTTGGAGCATTCACAACTTCTGCAGGCAAGCTGTTCCACTGATTAATTGTTCTCACTGTCAGGAAATTTCTCCTTAGTTCTCTCTCCTTGATTAGTTTCCACCCATTGCTTCTTGTTCTACATTCAGGTGCTTTGGAGAATAGTTTGAATCCCTCTTCTTTGTGGCAACCCCTGAGATATTGGAACACTGCTATCAAGTCTCCCCTAGTCCTTCTTTTCATTAAAATAGACATACCCAGTTCCTGCAACCGTTCTTCATAAGTTTTAGCCTCTAGTCCCCTAATCATCTTTGTTGCTCTTCTCTGCACTCGTTCTAGAGTCTCAACATCTATTTTACATCATGGCAACCAAAACTGAATGCAGTATTCCAAGTGTGGCCTTACCAAGGCATTATAAAGTGGTATTAATACTTCATGTGATATTGATTCTATCCCTCTGTTTATGCAGCCCAGAACTGTGTTGGCTTTTTTGGCAGCTGCTGCACACTGCTGGCTCATATCTAAATGGTTGTCCACTAGGACTCCAAGATCCCTCTCACAGTTACTACTATTGAGCAAGGTACCACATATACTTTACCTGTGCATTTTGTTTTTCTTGCCTAAATGTAGAACCTTACTTTTTTCACTGTTGAATTTCATTCTGTTAGATAGTGCCCAAAGTTCAAGTCTGTCAAGATCCTTTTGTATCTTGAGCCTATCTTCCGGCGTGTTGGCTATTCCTGCCAGCTTGGTGTCATCTGAAAATTTGATGAGTTTCCCATCTATCCCCTCGTTTCATTTGATAAAAATGTTGAAGAGTACTGGACCTAAAACAGAGCCTTGGGGTACTCCACTGCATACTTCCCTCCATGTAGATGCAGTTCCATTGAGGACTACACATAGAGTGCGGTTAGTCAGCAAGTTACGAATCCATCTGGTGGTGATGCTGTCTAATCCACATTTTTCTACTTTATCTAGTAGTAGGTTATGGTCTACTTTATCAAATGCTTTACTGAAGTCCAAGTAAATTATATCGACAGTATTTCTCTGGTCCACTAATTTTGTCACTTTGTCAAAGAATGCAATAAAATTAATCTGGCATGATCTGTTTTTGGCTTTTGGTTATTATTTTGTTTGCTTCTAGGTGTTCGGTGATTCGTTGCTTGATTATCTTTTCCAGAATCTTCCCTGGTATTGAAGTCAGGCTGATAGGTCTGTAGTTTCCTGGATCTGTTTTTTTTCTTTTTCCTTTTTTTGAAGATGGGAGCTACATCAGTTCTTTTCCAGTCTTCTGGCAGTTCCCCTGTGCTCCAGGATCTTTGAAAGATAATAGTTCAGTGGTTCTGAGATCTCGTCTGCTAGTTCCTTCAGAACCTAGGGGTGTAATCCATCCGGTCCTGGTGATTTGAACTCATCTAGGGTAGACAGGTGTTCACTTACCATTTTCTTCCCTATTTTAATTTGTGTTCCTAATCTATATTTTGTGGTGCTGTTTTTGATAGGTTGGACTATTTTTTCCTTTTGTGTAAAGACAGATGCAAAAAATGAGTTTAGTTCTGCTTTCTTCCTGTTGCTTGTCACCTTCTTGCCACTTTCTCTCAGCAATGGACCAACTGATTCCTTGACTTTTTTCTTGTTTTTAACATGTTGGAAGAAGCTATTTTTTGTTATTTTTTACTTCTGTCGCCTTTCTTCATTGTGAGCCTTAGCTTTTCTCACTTCATCTTTACAGGCTCAGGCTATTTGCTGATATTCTGCCTTAAGTTATTTGTCCCTCTTTCCACTTTTTATACTTGTCCTTTTTGTCTTTCAAATTGTCAGAGTTCTTTATGCAGCCATGCTGGTTTCTTTTGAGAGCTATTATTTTTCTTCTTCATTGGTATTGTGCTAGACTGGGTTTTATAATCTCACTTTTCAAAATTTCCCAAGCTTCTTGAGCTGAGTTTCCCCTTGAGGATTCTCATCCACGGAATCCTTCCCAAGATCTCTCTAAGTTTATTGAAATTAACTCTCTTAAAGTCCAAGACTCTAGTTTGACTTTGTTCTATTATTTATGTTTGCATAATGTTGAATTCCAATATTGCGTGATCACTTGCCCCCAAGGTTCTTGTAGCTTCAACACCTTCTATCATTTCATCTCTATTAGTGAGAATTAAGTCCAATATGGGTCATCCTCTTGTTCCCTTCTCTACTTTTTGGGAAACAAAGTTGTCTGCTAGGTTTGTTAGGAACCTGTTGGATCTTCCACTTGGTGCAGTTTGTCTCCCAGTTGATGTCAGGGTAGTTAAAATCCCCCATTACTATTGTGATGTGCTTCCTACATACCTTAGTTAGCTGTCTAGCAAAAAGTTCATCTACTTCCTCTGTTTGGTTGGGTGGCCTATAGTATAGACCTATGGCAATGTCATTTCCCCCCTTTTAATGTTGACCCAAATGCATTCAAGATAATTTTCATCATTGTTGTGCTCTATTTCTGTAGAGATGTAGTTATTTTTTATATATAGTGCAACTCCACCTCCTCTTTTATTTGGTCTATTTCTTTTAAATAATTTATATCCCTCTAGCTGTATGTTCCATTGATGGGTTCCATCCCACCAAGTTTCCGTAATGGCAACAGTATCGTATCTGCCCTCATTTACTTGAATTTCTAATTCACCTTGCGCATTGGTGTATAGACATTTGAGTCCATTTTGATTGACTCTGTGTTTACTGTCTACATAACCTGTGTTGTGCCTGACTGCCCCTACTTTCTTGCCACCTGTTTGATTAGTGCACATTTTAAATGCTTGGTTTGCTTGACAGCAGGGCTGATAATCCTGACATGATTTTCCTTATTTTCTAAATTGATGGCTTTTATTAATTCCTTCTGAAAGTTTTTCATACATTTGGTTTTTAAAACTGTATTTAACTCTGCATGGGAGTGAGGGATATGTATGTACACACATATGGCCCTTTCAGAAAAGATAAATATGCATTATGATTTGAGAGTACATTGCCTTTGCCTGTCAAATATTTAAAATGTAAAAAAAATGCCCATTGTTCTGATGAATAGTTATTCCAGTGTAATGGTGTATATAATACAGCAGTCCCTAACCTTTCTGGCACCAGGGACTGGTTCTGAAAGAAAAATGGTCTTCCATGGATCGGGGAGGGATGGTTTTGCATGCAACCTAGATCAGGCGCATGCACAGATGAAGCTTTGCTTGCTCACCTGTACCCGTCCGCTGCTCGAGAATTGGGAACCCCTGATCATCCCTTTTTGGAAATAGTTACATATGTACTTCTCACATACATAAAATATGGTTAAGACTAAATATTCATACGGTACATAATTAGGCAAGGTAATAGTAGCTGTACAATGAAATAAAGCAAAGCATCTTTTTCAAAAGAATTCAAAAGTCATTAACAGCAGCAGCAGTTCGGAAAAAAGTATTCTAACCTGTGGGATACAATCTACCAGGAAGGGTTTTTTTTGTAGGCCACACTGAAATAAATTATTGCAGGACAATGCAACCTGTATAGGAGACTGTCTTAGCAGAGTGCACAAGACAATGTCTGTTAATAGAATTTTCCTGAAAGTGTTTTCTTTAGAAACCCAGCTGGGAAATATCATAACAAGATGTAATAAATAAAACCAACATAGAGGAACAACTTCAGCAAAAATAGGCAGAATCCTACTGGTTTTATAATAACTGACTTGCCCAGTTTCATAACTCTATTTTGTACATTTTGATTACTATACCAGCAAAATAAGATGTACACAATAGTCAGAGAAGAAAGGACTATGAAGCCTGAAACAAAGCCATTGGTTATTACTCAAGATCTCTTTTATGAAAAAATCTGTGCCAGCTGGCAGAAGAATAAGCAGAGAACTGTTGGGTTAGTTGTTGATTCAATAGTGACTTTAGGAAGGCAGTTGGTAAATTTTCAGAAAAGGGAGCAACAATGATTGGTGCACAGGCAAAAGCTGGTTAGAAATGTGGTTTGTTTCTGTTCCATTTTGGCTTAGGACAGCAAATTTTAAAAATACAAGCTTAACTTGCACATTCTACCAATTGAGTATCAAATAGCAATTTTTTCAGGGAGTGAAACAACTGAAAAGATTATCTACTCTACAATAAACTAACAAAATACTAGAAAATACTAGAATACATCTGGTAGTTGATTTGCATGACAGCAGGTTTAGCCAACACAGGTTTAGCCCAATAGGCTAATTTGCTTTAGGCCTATCTTATATAGGTTTGCCCTCTTGAAGAAGTTAATTGTGTACCTACACTGGTTACTTTTCTGTAGATCTGAGCTGCATTCTGACATTCAGAATATGGGTATTCAGAAGTTGCCATCTCTAACATGCACATTCCAAAAGCATAGACATCCACTGACTCATCGTAATGTTCTTCATACATCTCAGGAGCCATGAATTCAGGAGTTCCTGAAATAAAAGATGAGAAAGACCAATGTGTTATTACAGTCATGTTAGATTGTGGTCACTCAATGAATATTTCCCAAGAGCCACTTATTTCTATGTTGTAATATTCAATATATTCAATAATGAATTCATTCTCCAAGCAGATTCTTACCTTCAAGCAAACAGGAAGTAGCACTTGCTGAAGTAGGATTTATATATCTCTCTATCTATATGTGTATATCTGCCTGCCTGCCTGCCTGCCTGCCTGCCTGCCTGCCTGCCTGCCTGCCTATCTATCTATCTATCTATCTATCTATCTATCTATCTATCTATCTATCATCTATCTATCTATCTTTGTTTTAAAAAAAAGTACTTCAGAGGGAAAAAAATCCAAACAGTCCAATTAAGACTGAGTGTGCCTAGTGGTTACTCTATGCTAATCTACTATATTAGGCATGGGGGAGAGAATTTTCTCTTTGAAAAAGCTCTTAATATACTTTATGTTGTGACTGCAGATTAAAGGCACTATCACTATATTTCCTGCTGCACTATATTTTTATCTTTTGACATCTATTTTAACTTTGGAATATTTTAATAACTATATCGTGTATAGCAACTTTGACCAATATGGCACTGCAGATTCCTGTCTTTATAGATGACAAAGAGACATGGCACAAGCAGCTGCCCAAGAGAAATACCAAACACATTTACAGTATATTCACCAATAACACTCTTCGCAAATGAAGTGCGCATTAAGGTGGCAAGTCCCAAGTCCCCTATCTTCACTGAACCAGTAGGTCCTGTGATGAAGATGTTGTCACATTTCAAATCACGATGAATGATAGGAGGAGTCCTTGTGTGCAGAAAATGTAGCCCTTTTAAAATCTGTCGGCACCAGCTCCTCAACACCTTTGGCTTCATGAGTTTGAAACGCTTTAAATACCTGTAAAGAAATGAGTATGTTTGGAGAAAGCCAAAAAGCATTTATGCATTAAATCAATACAGACATAGTTTTAAGTTAGTCAAGATTCCATGTACCATGATCAACCCTCAGAGGTTCCATAAAATGTTACACTCTCTTATCTCAGGAATTTCATAGTCCTGAGTTGTATTCCAAGTTAGCATTATTAAAGTAGTTTAGCTTTCCTAAGCTAAACAGAGAAATAGAATGTCTATGGGTGAGCAAAAAACCAATGGGAGCAGGAGTCACTTCCGACTTCCTGTTGGCTTCCCTATCAACTTTCCTTATGGGAAGCTGGCAGAGAGCACTGGAAATGACGATCATGTGATTATGGCCAACCGCAGTGCTGAAAAGGCCACAACTTTGCCAAATTTCAATCACAGGAATAACAGAATCCAAAGTTTGGATGAATTTTTCTAAGTTAGTCCGTTTGAGGTATGTCGATTCAAATATTGTTGCCTACAATGCACTGTTTTACCTAACTGAAAGTTACAAGCATACAGGAAAGTTTTAGTAGTATATAGGTTGAGAAAAAGAGAAAAGAAATATCTTATTACAATTCCCTCCCCCCCAAAAACTCTGGCAGTACAAATTGTATTACAATCCATGCTGCTTTACAGATTTCAAAAAGAGGTTAGTTGATTTATCTGCTTAATACAAAAACTTGGTCATGAGCTATGTAATTCATAGGAAAGACCCAATACACAATTTAATGATTGATCATGACAGTTCTCCTACAGTAGTTATAAATATATCTTCTTCACAAAGAAACCCAATAGCGCTAGTAGATACTCTAAATACACCAAATTCAAGAATGAAAGTACTTGACATTTTGATATTTCTTATTTTTCTTATTCCTTACTGAATATTCTTATATTCAGGAAGTTATCAATTCATTTTTACTAATATTTGGGTAAAAGGAAGAAAAAACAAAAGACAAAATTTCATGGCATAAATTTCATCTAATCTGTAACACACTTTTATAAAGAATTATTACTTACTTAATGGGCTTCTGCATTTGCAATATAATCATCCTAATACATCTTAATTCTTTCTTGACTATAACCAATCCATTGAAATCACTTATGAATTATTTAGATGCAGTGAATATAAGCATAACACAGCAAATTAAAAACACGTTAAGACATAAATCAGCTTGAAAACAGTAATTCTAGAAACACCGAAGTATTTAAAAATATATCTGTTTCATCTTCAACACTGCCATGAATTACTGTTCAAGTGATTTCTCTGCTTTTTCCTAATGCTTCCATCCATTCCTCCAGTCTTTCTAACTGAACCAATCATAAAATGGTAGTGTTAGTTCACAATTTATCACACTCCATTATTGTTTTATTGTTTTATTTATTCCATTCACCATATATGGTGTATCAAATTAAGTCTTATAATTTATTGGAAATGATTATTGACTGACTCATTTAAACTTAACATTTCTTAACTTACTGTACTTCCATGAAACAGATCTTATGTAAGCTAGATAGAAAGCAGCTACAATTCAGTCAGCTGGATACTTTGATGTATTTTAGAAGAACCATAAAGTGGCTTCTTTGCTGCATGTCATAGAGCTGGCTAATTGATAATTGAACAACAATATGGTTAGTGTCCAAAACACTACTGGCAATTGTGAACAACATTTTAAAAAATGCTGCAAATATTTATTCTGTTAATGAGAAAATCAGGAAATACATACGTTTTCAGTGTTCCAGATGTCATCAGTTCAGTTACCAATACAATACACTTCTTTCCTTTAACCGTTGATTCCCAAGAATCATAAAATCGGACAATGTTGGGGTGTTGTAGCCCCTTCAGCATTTCAGCTTCTTCTTTAAACCTCTGCTGTTCTGCTTTGGTCAGCTTCCTGTCCTAAAAATATGAAAAGGTGTACCATAATCATTAAGTTATCTGCAGCTACAGTAACACTTCAGCTACTAATATTTTATCAATATTATGGCAGCATTTAGAAGCAGGCCATATAAAGACTTCACTTTTCTCACAGACTGAAGAAGACCAAGTTAAACCACTAACCAAACCAATAAACAGTTGTGATATGGTATTTAAATTAACATTTAAATGGAAAAAAAATAAAAAAGTAAACATCTAAAATATTGCAACATGAACAAAGCAATTTACTAATTTGCTTAGAAGTTTTCTTCCTTTCCTTTTCTCCTAACCCGCCCCCCCAACCTGCAAATAACCAATATTAGCAATCCATTAAACAATACAGTTTTATATTTTCAGTATTGCAAGTAATTATTCAGGCCATTTCCCATGCATGAAAGCTTGTTAGACTATATCTTCCAAATTACAGAACACTCTAGTATGGCTAGCTAACTATTCATTAAATCTAGTTTATGCCTAAGTCATAATCTGACAAATTTTAATCGGGGTTGTGTAGAATTGTCCAGTGTGAGACAATGCTAGTACGAATGTCTCTGTAATACAGGTAGTCTTAAACTTACAACTATTCATTTAATGACAATTCAAAATTACAACAGCACTGAAAAAAATTAACTTACAATTGTTTTTTACATGACCACCACAGCATCCCCATGGTCACATGGTCAAATTTCAGACACTTTGGCAACTGACTCATATTTATGATGGTTGCAGTGTCATGTGATCAATTTTGTGACCTTCTGACAAGCAAAGTCAATAGGGAAACCAAATTCAATTAACAACCATGTTACTAACTTAATAACTGCAGTGAGTCACTTAATAACTGTGGCAAAGAAGTCATAAAATGGGACAAAACGTAACAAGACACTTAACAACTGTCTTGCTTAACAATGGAAATTTTGGGCTCAATTGTGGCCGTAAGTCAAGGACTACCTGTGCAGGTCTGAAAATATACTATGTTGTTTCTGTGTATCCAGAGTCATAGGGGCATTGTCTTTCCAGAGAAGAAATCTTACTGTATCAGTCTTCAAGAATTGTAATGGAATGTATGAATGACTTTTGGGAAAAAGGAAGACAGAAGCTGCCTAGACAACAATCAGACAAAAGAGGCAGGAGCTAGCAGTCACTCAACGGTCAAAGAAAGAAACTTTGGAAGGACTCACACTAGTGGATGAAGCAGTAAAAACTGGAGGGGGGAAGTTTGTGCCTTCAGATTTACAAGATTCTGTTAATATAGCCTTACAATAAAGTAGAATTAGTTCATCTTGTCATATTTCCTGTCTGGTTTATCTGGGAGGGTAAGCTGCCCGCACTGCCACATTCTGGACCAACCAAATGTTGCAAAATTCAAATGAGAAATGACCAGGATATAAGTGAGTAAGCACAGGGTCTTGTGATCCAGAAAAGGGCACAGTTGACGCACAACACAAAGTTTAGATACTTTATGTTTGGTTAGGTGCTATAAGGCAGGCAGAGTACCTGCTGGGATTCAATAGCAAATAAAGACTGAGCCTTGGCTAGATCCAATTGGCACTCTGTTTCTGCTACATACTGTTTAACGAATGCTTTGGCCTGATCATATCCCATGCGGAGTAGAAGACCTAGAGAGAAGCCCATGGATGAGTTTTCAGTTGCCACTTCCTGTTTCCCTGCACATTGAAAATCATCACTCATGGGGCAAGGCCAAAAGGAATAAAGCATAGTCTGAGCCAATACTTCAGTATGATCATCCACGTTCTACTCTCACTTTCATGAAGCCTGACTCTAGTCACCGGGTGGTATTATAAACACATTTTGGGACTTGATGAGCTGATCTTAGAAATTTGGATTGTAAAAGTTACAATGGTACACAGTTGAAGAAGGGGCTCTACTAGGCACCATAAAGTTGTGCTATTGGCTTGGCTTCTAATGATGTAAGTGTTGCAGATATATAATAGCCACCTCTTGTCTTTAGGAATTTAAGAATGGCAAATGAGTACATTTCCAGCAATGTAGCCCCCATTAGCTTTCCTTTTCTGGTAGGATTTGGATGGAAGATCACCACTGAAGTCCACAGTTGTCAATTAGACTGGAACACTGTAAAAAGAAGCCAGAAGAATGCAGTGGCCAATAATCTCTACACTCTTGCCAAGAAGACAGCATGGATGTCTATGAAGTCACCAGGAGCTAAATTTGACTCAAAGTAATGAATGTGTGAATGTAAGTTAAGACTCTTAATGCCTCTGCATTAATGCACAGCATAAATTTCATAACACACTCATCTAGCAAAACTAGAAAATTTGTATGAAAAGGAAATTAGCAATAATCAGATGGATAGCTTGGGTAGCATCCCACCATGACTATGTCTCTGGTACCTTAAGGAATATCAGAGCTTCTTGTTTTTTTATTTGTGACAAACCCCTTTCCTCCAGTTTTGATACATAAAAGTACCTCATAAACCATTCATTACAAATAAATAAACTGACCGCATTTTAAGAAGCTTCAATAGATGGAAACAAGCTTTTCTTCTCCCAAAATACTTTGCCAATGTCATCTTGCCCTGTTTTGTCTGTTTTGTGGATTTTTTGACCTGTATATAAGTTTTTATTGAGACAGTAAGATGTTCTGGGATTCCCATTTTTCTAAGCACATTCCACAGTGTGACACAATCAACACAACTGAAGGGCTTTCTACAATTAATGAAGCACATCCTAACTTTTTTTTGGCATTGTTTGGCTTTCTTAATTATGCAGCATGCATCATCAGTAGTGTCTCGTGTTCCTGGGCATTTTCTGAAGCCAGCTTGGACATCTGGTATCTCTTTTTCCATGGAAGATTCTAATATGGAAATCCTGTGCTAGCTGAAGCTTCAAGGGCTTCAAGGGCACATTGGATCAGTTCAACTGGAAGGGCATTAATGAGTCTGAGCAGGATCTTCTAATTCAGGAATGGCCCCAACTGACACATAATCTGTAGTTGTGCAAAGGACTTCTTAGCCATGACTGTTACTTGCTCCTCAAACAGGAGCCTTTGAGTCCAAAGAACATTAATTGCAGGTGGCCACCAGAACTTTTGAAAGACTATGCACAGAAAGGACGTTGTCTTACCTGAACGTCCCTTTTCAGGGCGCTGAGACTACAATCCATAGCTGGGTTGTTTCCTCATTGCTTGACTTTGACTGGGTGATATTTTTACTATAAGATCTCTTCGTGCTGTGGCCACGCCCCTCCTTCCCATAATGCACCAGTCTTTGAACGAAGGCGCGACCACCTATGTAAGGAAGCAGAACGGACATGAAACAAGTAACGAACATTGATAACGTCAACCAGGGCAAGGCCCCATAACAAATAAGGGAGGGAATGGATTGTAGTTGCAGCGCCCTGAAAAGGGACGTTCAGGTAAGACAACGTCCTTTTTCCAGCGCGCTGCTCCTACAATCCATAGCTGGGATATACCCAAGCGCAAACTCCAAGGGCGGGAGACTGACTGCTCCCTGAGTCCTGGGTCACATGGACGCGTTGTAGCACTCTACGGCCAAAGGAAGCCTCAGTGGAGGCAAAGGTATCAACCCTATAGTGTCTAATGAAGGGTGTTACAGAAGACCATGTGGCGCCTGACAGATGTCCGAAACTGACGCTTGCGTAGCCCAGGCTGCAGTGGTTGCTGCACTGCGCGTAGAGTGCAGTAAAATCCGGTTAGGAGCGGGCTGTGCCTTTTGTTCATAGGCCGTCGAAATGCATGCTTTAATCCACCTGCCCACTGTGGATGGAGATGTTTTCTGGCCCATAGAAGCTGGAAGGAAAGACATTAGCAGGGCCTCTGTCCTCTGAAAGGAAGCTGTTCTGCGAATGTAGCGATGGAGAGCCCTGCGAACGTCCAGGGTGTGCCAATCTTTTTCACGCTGGTGTTTGGGAGACGGACAGAAGTCCGGTAGTATGAGTTCCTGGGCACGGTGGAAATAGGAGTTCACTTTTGGCAGAAAGGGGGGATCCAGTCGAAGCACTACAGTATTTGCATGGAATACACAGAGGTCCTTTCTGATCGACAAGGCGGAAAGTTCGGAGATTCTCCTGGCTGAAGTGATCGCTAGTAGGAAGGCCATCTTAAAGGACAAAAATTTAAGGGGAACTGACCCAAGAGGTTCAAAAGGTGGAAACATAAGCGCCTGAAGGACCAGTGACAGATCCCAGGTCGGGTACCGATGAACAGGCGGGGACATAAGTTCATAGCCCCGTGTAAGAAACCTCTGATCAGCGGATGGAGAGACAGCAAAGAATAAGGCGGGCACCGGATGACTGTAGACAGTGCCGCTGCCTGGCGACGTAGAGTAGATGGCGACAAGCCCTTGTCCAGGCCAGACTGCAAAAAATCCAGAATGTTAGCAATTTGAACCGTGGTAGGATCCACAAGCTTGGTAGCACACCAGGAGCAGAAAACTCTCCACGACGACTCATATATCTGTGACGTCGAAGGTCGCCGGGAAGCCTGGATTGTATCTATGACGGAGTCGGAGAGACGGTCCTTCCTCAGGATGACCTGTTCAAATGCCAGACGGCCAATTGGAGCCACCCTGGATCTGGGTGGCTTATGGCCCCCTGGCAGAGGGATAGATGGTCCAGCGGGATCACCCACGGGCGTTGTACGGATAGTGGCACAAGATCCACATACCAGGGTCGATGTGGCCAGTTGGGCGCCACTAGGAGAAGGTCGGCCTGCTCTCCAACAGCTTCCGAATCACCTAAGGAATCAGGGGAATTGGAGGAAATGCATATAAGAGATCTTTGGGCCAACTGCATCTGAGTGTGTTGTGGGTCTCCGCCGTCGGGCACGGGTAATGAGTCACATAGCGAGGAAATTGGGCGTTGGACTGGCTGGCGAACAAATCTATGACGGGCACGCCGAAGAGAAGAGTCACTTCGTGAAACAGGCTGGGCTGTAGTTGCCACTCTGATTGATCGATTTGTTGTCTGCTGAGCCAATCGGCCCGG